CAATTTCCTTTGCAAGTATGAGGCCGCCAAGCAATGCCTTGTATTCAGATTAATTATTAGATGCCTTAAATTTGAACCGTATAGATTATTCAAGTACCACCGCGTTCGGCCCTTTTAAGATAATTCCAGCTCCATAGCCGCAAAGGTTTGACGACCCGTCTACATGCAACTTCACATGTTGGTAACAATGTGCATCTGAGTGGTGAATTCGTTGATGAATTCTGCAAGTACTTGAGCCTTAAGAGGTCGTCGGGTCTCAAAGTGGATATCAAATTAGGATAATTCCACCGCTCATGTCATTAGCCATCCTGCTAACTTTGGTTTTCGTACCACCATTTGATAACTTCAAAAGTAATGTCTTAGTGGCCGGGCTGCGTGAACCGGTGCTAACACTGCTTTCTCCATTAACTAGTATTAGGTCTCAATATCTTGCAATGTTCAGCCAATAAAGTACACTGGTACTTGCTCAGGTACTTCATGTAAAAAGACCGAACTGATAGCCTTGTCTGATACGGCTAAATAGATAATCATATCCTGTCCTGGTCTCGATTTTGTTAGGATGAGAGGAGCTGCCAACATGTTTTTATACTGGACGAAGGCTGTTTCACACTCGTCTGTCCAAGTGAATTTTTGGGATTTCTTGAGAAGATCAATGAAAGACCGAGATCTTTCTGCCATTGCAGGCAAGAACCTGGCTAGTGCAGCTATTCGGCCAGCTAGCCATTGAATGATATCTTGACACTTATCTGGATTTGCTTGAATTCCTCTTTCTGAAAGCATGAATCCTAAGAATTTTTCATCGGCTACCCCAAATGTGCATTTCTCAGGATTAAACCACATCACATGTTGTCTTGCTTCAGCTGATACCTTAGTTAAGTGGGCAACATGACTGTCAAGAGATATGGATTTAACTACCATATCATCAATGTATACTTCCATACACCTCCTTATTTGTTCTGGGAAAATCTTATCCATCTATTTTTGATATGTTGCCCCTGCGTTTTTAAGGCCGAAGGGCATAACTTTATAACAAATGTTCACCGAGTCCATTATAAAGACCGTATTCTCTTTATGGGGGATACATCCGGATCTTGTTATATCCAGAATATCCATACGGTGGCTCCATTAACCAAAGTATCAATATTGGAGAGGGGATAAGCATCCTTGGGGCATGCTTTATTTAGATCAGTGAAATCAGTGCACATCCTTCACTTTTCACTTGCCTTTCTTACCATCACAATATTAGTCAGCCAAGTGGAGTATCGTACTTCTCGGATAAATTCGATTTGTAATAGCTTATTAGTCTCTTCTCAGACTACTTGTGCTCTATCACCTTCTATCTTCCTCTTTTTCTAGGCGATTGGCTTGGCCCCCTTGTAAATCGATAGACGATGACATAGGAAATCTAGATCTGTACCTGGCATATCTGAGGCCGACCATGCAAACAGGTCGTCATTGCTTAATAGCACCTTTTGAAGTGCTTGTTGTTCGTCTGAGGACAGGCCTGTTCTGAGGTATGTGACCTGTTCAGGTTTTTTTCCTAGTTGAAAAGGTTTCTTATCTTCACTGGGTTCAACCCGAAGCCTTTCATCTATTCTTGGGTCAAGTTCTACATCTAGTTCTATTCTTGACCGAGGAAATACGATGTTGACATCTCGGCTTGGCACAGGGAGGGGTTTTAAATGCAAACTTGCAAAATAACATTCTCTGGCCAACTTTTGATCTGCACAGACCGTGATAGTTTTGCCTCTGTCGTAGGGAAATTTCATAGCCAAGTGAAGAGTGGTACTATGACCTTTAACTTGTTGAGGGACGGTCGGCCGAGCAGTATATTATATGAGGTGCTTGCATGTACCACTAGGTAAGTTGCCTTAATACGTCTTTCATTCTGCTCTGAACTGAATAATGTATATAAATCCATGCAGCCTCGGGTTTCCACTCGCTGTCCTGAAAATCCAACAAGTGGTTCATTGTACTCCTTTAGTTCTTCTTTCGGTATTCCTAGTTGTTTAAAGGTATTCTAATACATGATGTCGGCTGAGCTCCCTTAATCAATTAGGGTCTTACGGACAGTGCAGTTAAGAACATCAACACTTATAACCATGAAGTCATCCTGAACTCGGTGTGCCCTCTAAAAATCCTTATCGATAAACGTGATAGGAGAAATTCAGATTCCGCTTCCTAATGATATGTGATTCACTGATCGAATATATCTTAAATGTCTTTTTCTGGTCGAGTTGGTGGACCCTCTTCCAGCAAATCCTCCTACTATGGTATTAATAATTCAGCAAGGGTATTTCTTGTGCTCGTCCTGATGCTTGACAGGTGGTTCTCTCGATCTACTATGTTGTCGTTCTGTTCTCCTCTCAATATTTCTTCTTGATGGCTCAAATTGGTAATCCCTCCCCTCTCGGTGTGTGTTTGTACGAATCCCTGAAGATGCTCAGCTTTAATCAAATCCTCAATGCGATCTTTAAGGGTTGTACATTCTTCAGTGGTATATCCTCTGTTTCTGTGACAACGACATAATTTTGACTTGTCTGCCCGCGAAGGGGTATTTGCACACCTAGGAATGTTTAGTATCTTGGTTGTCAATACTTGCTCGAGTTTCCTTGACCGATTAGTATTTAAAGTAGTATCTCGGTTGCCAATACTTGCCTTCTTCTTGAGCAGGCAGTGTATCTTGAGAGGGTAGATAGGTCCTGATTTCACTCTTTAGATCGGTGTTTTCTCTCATTAAGACCGATAGCTCAAGAGCATCTTTTTCTCTTAATTGCTGTATCTCCATCATTTTAGCCCTTAATTGTTTTACCATCGAAAAGAGGTTCTCATCCACCCTCTCAGCCAAAACTTCAGGTATAGGTTGATTAAGCGTGATCTCTTCCTGTTGATGAAAAACTCCCAATTGTTAGTTCTATCCTTCATGTTGGCTTCTTGTTAACACCATGATTGATTGAAGTTGGGGCAATTCGTGCCCCACAGTGGGCGTCAAAATATTCCTGGCAAGGATACATTGTTTCTAATAGTCCCTTCTTCTGTCCTATAGTATGAAGTCTTCGTGGATATTCTAGGTTCTGCTTTTATATGATGTGAGGATGACACCTGCAAAAAGCACTCCAATAATAAAGTCAGATGTCGATTTAGGCAATAAATACTATTTACTATTCACAAGTCTACTCTTTTATCTATACCTTTTAGTTTCTTTCTATAAGCAATATATTGAGTTAATAGACTTCATGACTAAGCCCTAACTTTAACCTTCTAATTAAATAGATATTAATGACTATCTTTTTTTAGTCTCTTTAATCATCTTTATTAATTTATTTTAATATGACTTGAGAAATGTTCGTCCTTTAAACTAAGAAAGTATTCAAATTCATATTTTTATCGTAATGACCGAACAGTATCTTATCCAGTATAAATAATATTTAAAGTAATGTAAACAAAAAGAATAAAAAATTATTATTATTAAGGAGAATAAAAAATATATCAAATATACAAAAAAAATATTATGTATAAGAAAGTATTTTATGATCTTTCTTAACATGATTATATTTGATATTATTTAATATAATAAAAATTTATTATCATATATTTATTTATATTTAAATTATAATTTTTATTTACTTTAAAATAAAATAATTTAATAAAAAATAAATAAACCCCATATTTATTAGTTCATATACATAAAATTATTAACATCTCCTAATGTGTTTTAAAATAATTACGTTTTTCTAATTTTATTTTCTTATGATAATTTTAATATTTACTTAACTTAATATTATATTATTGTTATTGTAAAAAAATTGTATTATTTATATTATGTAAGTATTTTTATAATTATAATTATATAAAAATTATTTTAATATTTTTTAATAAATATTCACATATAAGTAAATAATAATAAATCTATTTAAAATTAGCTGCACAAATATGGAACAGATAGAGCAACTTTTTACTTGCACGCAAATATAACAGTATATATTATCTGTGTCCGTCTCCGTATACAAATAAAAATACACATACTTGCGTCCATATATAGCTAAGTAAACCAAATTAAATAATGTAAATTAAATAATTTATTATTCTTCTATTTAAATACTTATCATATTTATTCTATACAAATATTATTTTGCCATATGAGTTTTTTCTTTTCTATTTTTTCTTAATTATACACATAAATATCCTTTGCAAACAAAAATGAGAAAATAATTTTGTTAATATTTTAAGTTATATGAACTATTTACTATGCCAGATTAAAACTTGAGAGAAGTTTTGTTTCATTCACGCGTTTTCTTAAAAAGCAGAAACAAAAACTGAACGACTTGTGATGTGTAACAATCATAGTGTTAGAGTGACATGAAAGCTAAAGCACGTGAAGATGTTAGTTTGTCTCCTCACGTTTAAAACCTTACAATTTTTTTTCAATTTAGTGAATAGAACAAAAGTATTAACTGTTATGAATGATAAAAGAGTCAGAGGAAAAAGCCAACTTTTAATGCTGTTTTTGTGCCTGTTTTCTCTTGAACAGAACAAAAGTATTAACTGTTATCTCAATTCCAGTTGATAGTCACCCTTTTAGATTATTAATTTTTTGATGACTCTATTTTCACTCCTTTTTAAATAATTTTGATCCCAAAATTTTTATTGGTTAATTAAATTGATAATAATAATATTTAAATATCACTTCTTTAGTTTTCTATACCATTGCAGTTTTTTCATATACCTACAATTCCTTTCTTGTTGTAATGGTGGGTTTGGATAAATGCTTAGCTTGCATGCTGTTCATGCAGTTTCAACTTTAATCACTTTTTGTCAGTAATTTGTCTTGTTTACGGTGTTACTCAAACTCACATGATAAATGACACAAACTTGTAAACGGAAGCTCTTTAACTCTTACTTTAACCTTAATTTCTGCCTCCTAGTGCTATAAATTTCATCTAATTTTTGAACCAAATTCGTCAATATTTCTCATCATAAACATTTGTGACAACCCAAAAATGGCACCATCAATTTCAGCACCAACGAAATTCCTTTCCTTCTCATTTCTTTTGATATCAATAATAGTTTATCAAACAAATGGTCAATTGCCAATTCAAACAACCATGGTGTTATATCTGCAAGACATAGCAAGAGGACCTAATGCAACAGTTGCTCCAGTGATTGGTCTGAGTGGAAGGGATTGGTCATACAACTCATTTGGAACCATATTTGTAGTTGATGACCCTGTAATGATGAGTGCAAACCCATCTTCTCCTGTAGTGGGTAGAGCCCAAGGTATGCTTGTAGTGTCAGCTCAAGATGGTGCTAATGTGAATGTGGTGCTCTCAATTGTGTTCAATAACATGCAATACAGTGACAGCACATTGGAACTACAAGGCATTAGTCGCCAACGTCAAGATTATAAGGAGGTGTCTGTGGTGTCTGGGACTGGCAGGTTTCGCTTTGCAAGGGGCTTTGCTGCATTGCAGACTGCGTATTATGATCCTCAAACTACTCACTCTGTTGTTCGCTTGACTATAAATTTGGCACAAACAAGATAAAATTAAGAATATCAAGTTGTATGTATAATAATGATTGGTTGTTTATCAACCAAGTGTGTTAATAAATGAAAAAGGAGCATAAATGCATCCTTGATTTTTATGTTTGGATTTTATTTTATTTTTTTATGTTCTTAGTGTTATCCATTGCATGCACCTATCTCGAATAATTAATCTTGTTTGGTATAGCAATGCATAAAAATAATTGTCTACTCGGATACATAAAGTTAATGCAATCCAATGTATTAACAATATTAAATATTATTTTTTTATAAAAAATATAATATATAATTTTTTTTATTATATGTAATATTGTATAAATTTAAAAAATAATAATATATACTTATCACTTATATGATTAATTACTTTAAATTCTGGTCATATTTTAAATTAAAGATAAATTTTGTTTACAATATAATACAAATATATAAATATGGCTTGTATATTGAAAAATAAAAATTATATTTATAAAAAATATGCTTTTACCTTTAATAATAACGGTTAAGATTACTTTAATATACAGTGTACATATAGTCATATTCTAACTTCTAATTCCCTATAGATTATATCTTCATTTTCTATTTTTGACAAGAAAATGTTTTTTAAACAGTAAAAATGAAAAGCTAGAATTTTTCTACTTTACTTTTAAAAAATTATTTTGATATAATGACAATAATAATCAGACAGTAATGAAATTATAAAACTGAGATTCAAACTTAATATAATTTAGAAATTGATCAAAAATGTTAATTTTAATTATATAATTTTTATAATTTGTTTTGAATTTTAAAAAATTAATCTCTGTAATTTATTAATGTTTAATAAAAATATTTATTATTAATAATATAAATATTTTTTTTAACTTACAAATTTTATTAAATTTTAAAATAATCATATAATATATTTTAAATTTTTATTTTAATTTAATTATACTTATGCAATGAACGAAAAATTTACTAATAGAAAAAAATTTAAATAAACTTTTAATTCTGATAAATGTTTCTATTTTTAAACAACACTCTCTTAATGGATCTGTAAGTGTCTTAATTGAATATGTAAGTATTTTGTTCTTTAACATTTTAAAGAAATAAAATATTTTTTTTATTAGACATTAAGTACTAATAATTTTTTTAATAGCAGAGACTAATTTTTAATTCTTTTAAATTATTCATTAAAAACTAAATATTTACAAAGTATTTTGTAAGGTCCAGTTATAAAAATAATAAAATTTATAAGAACTACAAAAATAATAAAATAGTAAAAAAATTTCAAATGCCTTGAGGCAATTCTAAAACTCAATTCTAATTTTGTGTGATAAATATCATTTCTTGCTCACAAAAGTCTTTTGGAAAGGGAGAGAAAATTAATAATAGAACTTTTTGAGGAAAAAAATCATTCATTAAATTTAAGTCAATTTAAATAAACATAAGGAAATTATATATCTTGAAAATTGAGACATAAACTAATTTTTTTTAAAAAAACTGAACAATTATAAAATTTGAGGATCAACTTGTATACACTTAGCCATAACATTGAGAAAATATTAATCCAAAGCCAACCATCATGAGACATGTAAGAATAATAGTATTTTTAATTTTTTTTACTTTTAATTTTTTTAACATGTACAATATTTGTACATAAATATTACACACATTAAACTTTAATTAAAAATTGTAATATTTAATACTATTAATGCAACAATTTTATTGGATTCTATAATTTTAATAAAACTTTATACTTACATATCATACAAAAAGTTATACATGACTACCATCTAAGAATTTCTAACAATCATTGCGAGTTGTAGCTACATGAAAGCTTAAAGCACATTTCATGTGTTATATGTTAGTTCATCTCATCATCATCGATTACAATTCTAACCAAACACACGAGTTTTCTCAAGTTAGTGAGAAAAACAAAACTATTCACCATCACAAAATCATGAATAGTTAGCTCAAGTTGTTTGCTGTTGGTAGAGTCATGCATGCTTTGCCATACTAAGAGTAAAAAGTCTATTTCTAATGCTTCTTTTGCGCCGCATCTTATATTGGATTCATTTAATTACCATTGATCTCAATCCAACTAAGAGTAAAAAGAATAAAATAAAACTATTCACTGTCACAAAATCATGAACAGCTAGCTCAAGTTGTTGGCTATTGCTGGAGTCATATATGCCTTACCATACTAAGAGTAAAAGACCTACTTCTAATGCTTCTTTTGTGCCACATCTTATATTAGATTCATTTCATTACCATTGATCTCAATCCATACTAAGAGTAAAAAGAATAAAACAAAACTATTCACTGTCACAAAATCATGAACAACTAGCTCAAGTTGTTGGCTGTTGCTGGAGTCATACATGTATTGTCATACTAAGAGTAAAAAGCCTACTTCTAGTGCTTCTTTTGCGCCCCATCTTATATTGGATTCATTTCATTACCATTGACCTCAATCCATACTAAGAGTAAAAAGCCTACTTCTAGTGTTTCTTTTGCGCCGCATCTTATATTAGATTCATTTCATTACTATTGACCTCAATCCATATAAGAGTAAAAAGCCTACTTCTAATGCTTCTTTTGCGCCACATCTTATATTGGATTCATTTCATTACCACTAATCTCAATCCAGTGGAACAACATTTTCATAACCAAACTTTTATATCCCTGGTTTTCTATAAAACCACTTTGATTTTTCCTATAGCTTTAACTTTAGCCGATGGTACAACTTCAACCTTATTTACTTTTTGTTACAAATGTGTTCATGAAGTTATAAAAAACCATTATTAAATTTGTTGCTTTAACCATAATATATACTTCTTACTACTATAAATTTGATCTAATTTTACAAACAAAATTCATCAACATTTCTCATACATTGTGTGAAAAGAAAAATGGTACCATCGATTCAATCTCCCACCAAATTCATGTCCCTTTCAATGCTTTTGATATCCATCATCATGATGGTTTGTGAAGTTAATGGTCAATTGCTGCCGCCTAGTCAAAGAACCATTGTGTTGTACCTACAAGATATAGCACAAGGGCCTAATGCAACAGTTGCTCCAGTAATTGGGCTCAGAGGAAAAGATTGGTCCTTCAACACATTTGGAACCATATTTGTAGTTGGTGACCCACTCACATTAAACCCAAGTCCATCATCCACTACAGTGGGCTGGGCCCAAGGTTTGCTTGTAGCAACAGCTCATGATGGTGCAAATGTGAATGTGGTGTTGTCAATTGTGTTCAACAATTTGGAATTCAAGGGTAGCTCCTTGCAGCTCCAAGGCATTAGTAATCAGCGTGAGAATGATAAAGAGGTGTCAGTGGTGTCTGGAACAGGCATGTTTCGCTTTGCAAGGGGCTTTGCTTCATTTCATACCATAATTTATGATCCTGACCTCGCCCACAGTGTTATTCGCTTGACTATAAATTTGAGACAAACAATAGAAAATTAAGAATCTAAAATCATATGTATAATATATGGTTGGTTGTTTATGAACCAATTATGCAATAAAAAAAGGGTTTTACTAGCATATGTTGATATTTCAGTTTGATTTATTAAGTATTATTTGTAAGAGTAATATGTTTTTCACATATCATTAGGTGTTATATCTCTCCTGCAATTAAACTTTCAACTCAAATTTGATTTAATCAAACTCTTTTTTTATAAAATTTATAAAGGTTCTTTAAAAAGTTCTCAAGACAACTCTTATAATCTTTATTTTATGTTTAATTCGTCATTCTTTCTTTTTCTTTTATCTCATAAAATTTAAATTGTGAAAGATTTAAATTCTCCTCAATTATTGAAAGGTCTAGTATGAGGGAAAAAAATTGAGCTCAATTTTTCACAATAAAATAAAACTGACCCAATTCAAGTTTGATTCAATTAATTCCAAATGGATTAGTTAAAAAGTACTTGAGCTTAATCCGACACAAACCAACCTAACCTTCTTCCACTATCCTGAGACAAAGGTTTAAGGATAACCAAACACGTCTTCAAATATTTCATCACTCGGGGCCCTCTCCCACTTGGCCCACGCATATCCATCCATCAATCCCCAGACGCGTCCATTTCTTTCTCTATGATTTGGGTTGGTTTCCATTTAGTAGAACTTGAACTTCTAAGAAGCTATCACAATAGCTTAGTTAATGCTGTAAGTGACCCGGGTGCATTGGATAGGGACCATGAAACTTCTTCTATCATGTATATAGGTAAGATCACTGGATAGTTAATTATTAGATATTGTATTAATTCATGATATATCACACTCCCTAAAACTACACTTCTCGACAATCATCAGACACTTCATGTTCTAATGAAGAAAGTGACACTTCTATGATCATACCTTTGTAAAAAGACAACACACTTGTTCTGTAGGTCACTTTCAGATTTTCATAAAAGAGAGAAGCTTATATGCAGTTATATAAGAATAAAATTTACATAAAGATATGTGTAAAATCTGGATTTTTTAAAAAATAAAGCTACGGAACTCAAAAAACTTGTACCAAAAATAAAAGAACATAGGGAAACAAGTATCATTGCTCTGTTTAAAATGGGTCCCTTTCCCTTAAGAGCGTGTTTAGTTGTAAAGAACACAAAATTATAAGAACAATTGTTGGCTCATGCTTAAACCCTCTAAAAAATAGTCTAAAAAGACAACTGAGAAAGCCGCCTAAACTTTTATCTCCTATTTCCCACTGGAGTAGTGTTGACACAGACATGGGTACCAGTAACTAATTTTGATGGGTTGTTTAAAATTTCCTTCTTGTTGATTAAATAATAGCTTTTTATAATTGAATTCGATAATAGAATGTTTGCTCTAGCTTTTTGGTTTATTTGAAGATCGGCAGATGAATTAATCCTCTAGAATGATACAGGGAGTACTTTCTTAAGATCATTTGGGGAAGAATCTTGTCTCAGATCAGATGGTGCTAAAGCTCATTAGGGAATAATCAACTAATGAATATTTGATACTGAATTATAATGTTAATATTCTGGGGGTGAAAAAAAACTTTAATTATCCTTTCACATTATCAGTAGCCCAGAAAGGACAAATGAACCAGCCCACTAACTTCCAGTTCATGCTAATATCATCCGTTATATATTGATTAAAAAAATTCAAGCATTAGTTAAAAAAAAATAAGTAAAACAGTTAATATTGATTTGATCACAAAATGAGAATGACACATGACAAAGAAAATATATATAAAATAATAGCATTAAAAATGAAGTTTTAAATTTATTAAAAATTAGTTGCATAATTTTGGTTGAAAAGTTCCATTCCAATTAACCCACCCTATAAATACATAACTCTGTTTGCATAAACCACACCAGAAGTACTCTTGTACTGTTTACAAATGGATGAAAATGAGGAACAGCATCCACAACCGGATATAGTACTGCCAATAGATGTTATTGAATCAAATTGCTTGTCTCAAAGATCTTCTTTGTCCTCTATTCTAACACAATTCCATGCAGGGTACTTCAGGATTGGTTTATCTCTCTCTAGCCAAGCCTTTTTATGGAAGATCCTTATTGAGCCAATCCAAGATGCACATGCTCTTAGACGCATGTTTTCAACCATACCCTTTTCTGCCTTATTTCTCTTATGGTCACTGGCCTTCTTCACACTAGTCATACTCTCTTTTCTATACGTTCTCAAATGTATGTTTCATTTTCATATGGTTAAGGGTGAGTTCTTAAACCAAGTAGGGGTAAATTACTTTTTTGTCCCCTGGATTTCATGGCTACTTTTGCTAGAATCATCACCATTCCTCAGCCCAACCACACTATATTACAAAATACTTTGGTGGGTGTTTGTTGTTCCTGTGTTGATGCTTGATGTGAAGATTTATGGTCAATGGTTTACAAAAGGGAAGAGGTTTCTATCAACAGTGGCAAATCCAACAAGCCAATTGTCTGTGATTGGAAACTTGGTGGGTGCACAAGCTGCTGCACAAATGGGTTGGAAAGAGAGTGCACTATGCATGTTTTCTTTGGGTATTTCACATTACTTAGTACTTTTTGTGACACTCTATCAGAGATTGCCAGGGAACAATAGCCTCCCTTCAATGCTACAACCAGTGTTCTTCTTGTTCTTTGCAGCACCAAGCATGGCAAGCTTGGCTTGGGACTCCATTTGTGGCAAGTTTGACACCACATGCAAGATACTGTTCTTCCTCTCCCTCTTCCTTTTCATGTCCCTGGTAATTTAATTTCTTACTTGAGTTATGAAAGTGAAGAAAAAGAAATTTTGAGTCTACTATTTTGCTTGGGAGTCCTAAAGAAAGATATACTTTAAATGCTGTCATACAAAATATTTCTTAGTAGCCGGTGGATCCGTTTTTATTAAGAAAAAATTATGGTGCAAAACTTGGAATTGATGTTATCAAATTGTTTACGTTTCGTGCCATTGCTTGGTTTGTTTTATTCATCATTTTGAAGTATCTAAGTTGCAATCCACGAAAGCTGGTCCCTATTCATGACTTACTTTATAAGTGTGAAAATACGTTAAAAAAAACTTGTAAATATAAATATATATAGAAGTTATAAATAATAGTATTGAAATCAGCTTAATTTCATAATCATTCAAATGTGAATCTAAACACATGCACACATGCTTGTATTATTGTTTATCTGAAGTCTTAGAATTTCTACCTTGTGGTCCCCTCTGGCATTAATGCCAACGCAAAACTGCTGTATTTAATCAGGAATTTCTCCATTTATTCTTTGAGGTGAGTAGGAACTTAGGATAGAATAGATCATTATTTGAAATACTTAAAAATTGTAAAAAATAAAATAAAATATGGCACTAATTAAAAAAAGTTTAGTAAATTACTTATCTTCTGTATTTTTGGACAAATTAACAGGTTTCAAGGCCCCTGCTATTTAAGAAGTCGATGAGGAAGTTCAATGTGGCATGGTGGGCTTATTCTTTTCCTCTCACGGCTTTGGCATTGGCCTCAGCAGAGTATGCACAAGAAGTTAAAGGAGTTGTGGCTCATGCCATTATGTTTGTCTTATCATCAATCTCAGCTTTGGTGTCTTTAATCTTAATAGTTATCACTGCTTTCAACATTATGCGTGCCCTTGCTTCCTCGCAACAAAAGCATTGTATGACAATGTGATCATGATTAGTCAACGACAACAAGAGCAATGCTAGAAATACGTATATACATACACATTTTTCTTGTCGATTGAATTTCTTTTTGCACTAAATGGTTTTAGTCTAGTCACACAAAAAAATAAATTTGACTCCACTTTCTATTTAATGAGATCCATATAAAATTTATCAAATAACATAAAGCGTGTGGGTAATAATGTATCCCAAAGAGTGTTAGTAGTATTTCTCCTCTTGATTGGAAAGCTCAATTTTAATGAGGATTGAAATGGGGGGAAATTATGGGGAAATTGCACTATTGGTACATATACTATTTTTTTGCTTTTGGTCAAAACTATGAGGGTATATACAAGTAGGTTTGTGAATGGTAAAGAAGCAACTGAGACATAATATAAATGAGAGTGTCACTAATATTGGGCTACACAAACTTGAAAACCTAAGGTGTGTTGACGTTGGGGCCCATAACTACCTTCTTCTTTTTTCCAACCCCATTTAAATCACTTAAAATCCTCAACTTTACTCCACAAACCCGTTTGTAGAACCCTAAATGAAAGCCTAATCTAACTTGACCCAGATAAGCCCCATTACTACCACTATTGGACATAGAAGAAAAAGAAAAAGATGGTTGACCAAAAAAAGAAAAAGAAATATTATCTATGTTATCAATCCTCTTCTACTCTCTAAAAAGCGTTGTCAAAATCACCCCTTCAGATAAACTTCCTCCACGAAGACAAAGAGAGAGCTTTATCCAATGCCTCTAAATTTGTGTTTTCGAGACTATTTGTTTCTAAACAACTCTTTTTATTTTTTCTTTTGTCTTAACCTTCTTTTGTGAACTTGGCTTCTTCTTATGTTGCTCATCTTTTTCCATTTCTTTTTGTTAGTGAAATTCGAATCCTAAACCATTTTACAGATTAAGTTGGCGCTATGTCAAAGTGATTCATGAATATTTTCAACTTTTTTCATATCCTAAAATGTTTCATTTTCTTTTAATCTAAGGACTATGTAACAAATTATTTTTTATAATAAAATTAAAATAATAATTCTAACAAAAAAAAATGCAAATTCTTTACTCATCGATGATCAGAAAATTCCTATAAAGTACTTATATTTATACATTTTTTTTTCATCTTTTGATTGATGATTGATATATTTTTTTTCACAAAGTCATTTTCACTTGATAACATTGCTATTCAATCATACTTCAAGTTTTTCTAGCATATTCAATGAGTTGTTTCATATTGTCTCCTGCTGATGGGTGCAATCTAAATTCCTTCCATTCGAACAGTACCATCTTAACAAATAAAATATGAATTTTTATTAACTTTAACTCTTAAGATTGAGATTAAGTATCTATGAATAAAAAAAATTTATAAAAAAAAGTAAATAGTTATATTATTAAAATTAAAAAAATATAATAAATATTTTTTTAATAAAATTTTACTATTATTAGTTGTTTATTCTGAATTTTAAAGACTTAAGTTAAGAAAATTTATAAAATATTAATACATTTAAACTAAGTAACTTCATATTACAATTTTACTTCTAAAGAGGAATGTTTTTTTTTTTGTTTAGCAACATAACTAGACAAGTATTGTCATAGTGTCATTCATTGGATCACTTACACATGTATAGAAGATTTGAGAGTGTGAGAGAGTCTCACCAATGGGAACAGAAGCAACAAACTGATACAATTGTATTAATAACACCACACATCTCACATGCTAAGGTATCACTCTCCTCACATGTTGGTGGCATTAATAGGGAATCCATCGTCCCAACCAAGTTCACACATGACAGTAACAGCAGCATCTTCATGTGGTGTTTTATTTTGGGCCAAGTCTTAGGTTCATGAACCTTGGAAAGCCCATATTGATGTGGGCGATATATCGATTCTTTTCTCGTCATTCACACTGTCTGCAATTATATCATCGCCAGGCCGGACAATTGCTTTCATGTCTGTCTCTGATGTAAGTTCTTAACTTAGACGTTTGTTTGATTTATAATTTTTTATTTTAATTATAAGATAATATTTTGTCTTTATCTATTTTTATTATTATAATTTGTACATAAATAGTAAAAATAAAAGTAAAATTTATTTTCAAAATTTCTTATATAAATATTTAAAATATAAAATATATATTTTTGAAACTAAACAGTCTCTTAATTTTTGAAATTGTATACTTACTGTATTTTAGTTTTTAAGATTTTATTGTTACTTTTTAACTTTGCACAATGATATTTAATTACATATTTTTTTAATACGAAATGACAATAAAAAAGATTGTTTTACAAAGTCAATAACAAATTAAAATGCACAATTTTAATAATTTTAAGGAGTAATCTAAAATTTTACAAATTTTTACTATCGGCAGCATTCTTTTAATAATTTTAGTGTTTATGTAGTATAAAGTTAAGTAAAATTGACTTTAATGAAATTAATTTTGAGTTTCAAAAAAAAAATTTGAACCCTACAAGTTTTATTAGAATGTGTATTTTTATTAAGAAGTGTGAGAAATGATTTTTTAATTTTTATATAACAAAAAAATCTTAGCATTTTGGCAATTAAAAATCAACATTATGTATGAAGTTGAATATATTCTATATATATATAGGAAAGAGGTTAAATTACACCAGTACAAGTTACATTTATTCTTACATTATTAATAACTTAATATAAAAAATAAAATTTTATCAATAAATTACATTTATATATTACCTAAATTAGTTTATTCAAATTTTATTAAAATGAAAAACTATAAAAATTTCATTTAAAGATCTTTATTTTATATATTTAAAAAATATATATTACATTAATTTTGATATATATATATATATATATATATAGAGAGAGAGAGAGAGAGAGAGAGAGAAATATTAAAAAATTATAAAACTAAAAAAAGAAATTACTCAAGTTTATTTAATAGATTTAAATTTTGTCAAATAAATCGCCATCTAAATTCATCTTTATCTGTTTCTATTCCATTTAACATAAATATCTAAACTTTAAATTTAAAGTTTTGAGTAGATTGAATGGTCTCACAAATTTATTTCTTTGTACTCATTGATATTATGAGATAAACAGTTTAATTAAATCTTATTTATTAAATTATCAATAAATACAATTTTATTTTGATAAAATAAATTAAAAAGTTATGAATAATCTTTGTAAGTTCAAACTCTTTCTACTCCCTATATATTAAACTATGACCTGTATTGTTGGTACCTCCTTTACCAAGATGATTATCATGTAGAATGGAAGTTCATGCTTTGTTGCACAAGCTCAGGAGGTAGGGCCTCATCAATGGCAAAATATATGTCACAAGTCTCAGGCTTCCAAATCATAAAATAAAAATTTCAGAAGCACCACTTTAGATGATTCAGATGCTCATAGTTCACATGCATACCAAAATAATTCAAAGGCACAAAACTATATATATCACACCCATCATTGGATCAAAAGGCCAAAATTGCAGACAGACAAACAACGATAACAACTCCACAAGCTCGTGTCACACGCATAACAAGGGTTTAGAAGTACAATTATTCAGTTTTTCTTTTTTTCCTTTGCTACTTTGTTTTTGTTTGTCCAGTCCCCACTTGTTCTGAAAATTTTTGACAAATTTCATTAATAGAACATTTTTTCCCAGTCGCAACCAAACCAAATTCCATTGGGACACCAATTTTTTTACCTTTCTACACAGACTTCCTTGACTGACAAATCCTATCTCAGCACAAGTAATATCAACAATGTTTGAACATATAAGATGAAAAGACAAATTAAACAACTTTATTTCAGATTCTTGGTTCAAATATTTTTCAATTTTTTATGCATGGTATAACAGGCCAATTAAGTTTGCTAACACCTTGTCAACCCATGAAAATCTATTTCGTATTTGTGTCTTTATTTCCCAGAAAACCCTGGTTTTCATGAACATGGAATCAAATTCATCAAGCGTAAGCTATTTTCTAAATCAAAGCTAGCAAGCGTGTACATTGAATCACACATGTCATCATTCCAATGCCAGAACTTGTCAGTGTTCTACATGATACCGCTAAACAAATACATTATTCACATCAAATTAGTTATGATATTTATCTAATAAAAATTAAGGTATCAGTATAAACATTATAAGTCTATACTAATATAATATAATATATTTTATTAACACAATTCTATTGATATATAAAATTAATATATACATGCAACAGAGAATGTCGTAATGGTTTTTTTTTTTCTAATAGTACGAAACACCATAAAAACTATACCAATTAATAATTAACACATCATAATTTTATTTTAAATAAAAAACAAATTATTTTATCATACAAAATTTAGATTTAAAGTGATGTATGTCAATTATTGTTTGGTTTGCAACTATTAAAGTATAGTAAGGAACTTGATTTTTTAAAATACAATATTTAATTCTTATAAACAGATAAAATATAACATTAGAAGAGATTTACCGTTTTTAAATAATGAATTCATATGGTTCAATTTAAATTCTTTAACCTTCAGATATGAAAATTTTCATGCTTAAAATTATTTAAATGAATAGTTAAAGTACAACACACACATACATAGTTAATTAATGAAACAATTATATAAAGAAAACATTAATTCGAAGAAAGCAAAGTACTTTTATAATGATACGTGAGTAATATTGACTTTACTTAAATGTGCCGAATTTTATATAATAAGATGAAGATAAATTATTTGACTGGGTATGCCGTTTATAGGGCAACGACGGTCAAACATGCTTCTAGAATCTAGAGTCTAGTTATTCTCTTTCAGCATCTCTTCTCTTCTCCCTGCGTTCAAGCTTGAAAGTTCTTTCACCTATTCATTTGCATAGCCTTTCTACTCTACTAGCTCAGCATGTTAAACACTTGTAGCATCTTCAATGAGATTTCTTCCCCTCGTTTTCAAAAAAAGGTAGCTGACATACCAAAATATAATTCCTTCTATAAACCACTACGCACAGTGAAAAAATTAGGTCTTAAGGTTAAAAACAAAATGATGAAGAGAATAATCATTATTTCAGGGTTGAAGTTTCTCTTCTTCATATCTAATATCCATATGCATTATATGAGAACTAAAAGCGGATCTTAGTAACCGGTACATTAAAAATACAGAATAAAGAATCAAAATATAAAAAGATTTTATTAAAATTCTATTAAAAATTAAGGTAAAATTATATTTATGCTATTTTAATATAAAATTTTACTTTAATTTCTTTATCAATGCTTTAAAATACACGTTAGCATTTTTCTTTGAAAACTAATAAACTCTAGATGAACTGTATATGCGAGGCTTGAAAAAATCAATGCCAATAGAAGTTATGAATTCGAAGGCCATTGGCATAAATGCTTAGGAAATAGGGGCGCCACAATGATATAGAAGTTTAATTTTGGGCAAAAAACTGTGTAAAGGCTTCAAACGAGGAAGTGCAACTTTGGCAATAAACCAAGGAATTTGAATTTGGAATTTTTTAAAGCTCTATGCCTTGTTAACCGAAGTTTCTCGGCGAGTTTGTAGAGGAACAACTACTCTCTCTACCTCTTGAAGAATATGAATTTGACATGTTTTTGGGTTGACATGGTTTTTTTAGGCTCTGAATTTTCATATATGATAATCAATAGTGGGGAGTTGACCAAACTACGATTCCAATGCTTTTCAACTTGTCCTGTATTATATATATTTAGCCTAATATATTTAATGGGTAGAAACTAGAAACCCCACCAAACGTAATATTTGATGCATATTCGCTTTGCTTTAAAAGTTGGGACCTGTTATGCCATACGGGTTTGGTGCATTGGAGTGGAATTTAATGAGTGGTAATTTGCCTTATAACTAAGGGGTTCGGGAATTTTATCTCTAAACCTACCAATAGCATGGAGAGATAAATAGAGTCCTCAAAAGGGAATAAAAGACAAAGTAAAGCCACCAACTGAGGACAGCGAGACACATTGCTCTAAAGGGTGGCCACCTTGGTTCCCTATGCTTATGTCCTTTGGAATCAACTATATCAAATAATACATGAGAGGTTGAGGCCAACTCTAGTAGGATTTGATGGGGTCGGTTGGGTGTCTTTAGGAAATAGCCTTGCTTGCTTTGTTTTTGTTTCTTCCTTCATATGTACTAGAAAAAACCGATTGGGACCTCCTCTGCCCATCTGCTTTTCTTTCTCTCCCCTTGTTTTATTTGAATTTATTACTTTTTCTACCAAAGAAAAATAATAATAAAACTTTGATTTTTCGAAGTCTCCCATCATACCTACCACGTTGGATCATGCGTCTATCACTTGAACAGGAGTTAGTACTCTTGTAAGGCCTGGCATAACTAAAGGAAGATACACAAATAAATCCAATGATATCTTCAAGGATGTTAAGGCCACTAATGTCAGAAAGATGAGGCCAAAATAATATGTCGTTTGTTTGTTTAAACTTTCATTTTTTACACATATCTTTGTTGTCAATTTAATTCTTACAAAGAAAAAGTTTTTAAATTGGTAATATGTGCACAATTCTCCTTAATATAACTTTATTAGGATGAAAATTTAGCCCATATAAGTAAACAGAGATGTAGTTGAAGATTTTATGTATGGAAACCGATATATATTATGAATCAAATCAAAATAGAATCATCATATGAACTGGTTTAATTATTTTGTTCTTTTTCCAATTTCCAAAGCTGACAAAATAATTACTTATTTCAAATAAATCAGTTTCCATACCTTAACTGCAGTTGAGTTACGCATAACAACCCAACTTTTTACGAAAACGTATTAATTCGTCCATATCAGAATTTGTTATGCGAGGTTAATGACACATTGAAAGGGGGAAGAAAATAAAATTTTGAATAATTGAATTATAAAGAATCTATTATTGAAGGGAATGGCATCTTAGCAATGCCTCTGTCAAAATTGAGATCACTAACTACAACACTAGCACTCATACATATGTGATCCTGACGAACATGTCCACTAATTCTACCACTGACATTGCTTTTTACCAACCTCTTCGGGGCCAACCCATCACTAGTAGTAGAAGCTGTCTCTGACCCACAATTGTCAAAACCTTCAACTTCAACCCCTCCCTCATTCCTTCTGGTTGTGATCCAATCATCATCATCACCATCATCATGATGCCGTGCCCAACATGGCACCCCTGAACACAAAGCTAAACTTCTCACCCTTCCAATAGCTGAAATTTCAAAACTTTTTGTGTGAACGAAATTTCCAAAGTTTTCTGATTCTTCCACACAACTCCAAAAGCCTTGTTCAAGAACACTTTTTGGGGAACTTGAATTAGACTCCAGAACTTGCTTATTGCTATTGGAACAAAATTCCCCAAGAAATGGATGCTTCAAAAGTTCACTGGCTGTCCATCTCTCTTGAGGATTCCTCCTCAAACACTTCCCCAAGAAATCCTTAGCTTCCTCAGATAGAAAACAAGGAATCTCAGGAACCTCACCAGAATATGCAATGTGATAAAGCACTGAAAAAGGGTCTGCCACATTAGGCCATGGTGCACTACCAGTGGCCATTTCAATCACAGTGCATCCAAGTGACCAAACATCACTAGGACACCCTTGTTCCTCCCCACGCGCCACCTCCGGCGCCATAAACATAGGCGTGCCACAGATCGGCGCAGCTGCATCGGCAGCACCCTTGGCATACCCAAAATCTCCAATTTTAGCCCCATCTTCACCAATTAAGATGTTGGCACCCTTGATGTCACAATGCACCAACCCTTTTGAATGCAAGTACTCTAGCCCTTGCATAATTTGCCTTGTGTAGCATTTGATCACCGGTTCCTTTATCCGCCCACCGTGCCGGCGAGTCGCCTGAAGAAGGGTGCCAAAGGGCATGTACTCCATGAAGAAATTGAACATAAGCTTGTTGTTCTCCATGGTAATGTCACACCCTTTGTATGTAACCACATAAGGACTACTTAGAGAAGATAGAATTGTTTGCTCTTTCTTTAAAGGCTCTGATTGAGATAGCTCCGATGACTTGACGGCGAAGACGCCGCCGCAGCACGTGGCGATGGAGACGGTGGCAGTTGATCCGTGGCCTATGGTGTGGCCTCTGTTCCACACCATGTTTGGAAAGAAAAGAAAATATCAAAGGTTTTGTTTAGTGCAGAATTTTGAGTTGGTTATTGTGACCTTTTATATGTGTAACTTGGTAATTGAATAAGGACAGTTTTGAGCATGAGCCTTTAAAGAATGGTTTTTTTTTTTTTTGAAAGGTTCTTTATATTGGTTGGATACTTAATTTGGTTGGCGCTCACTCTCCATCCTTTTATTTTTCTCTTTCTAGAGTTGTCATTAGGTTCAACAGAGGTCACCAACGTGTCCTAATTTAGGTGGCTTAGGTTCTTCGTCGGCAATGGCTTGGCAGTTCACACGTGGAAATGGGTTTTAATTATGATTGAAGTTTAAGTGTGTGCGCTATTCGGGTTGGCTTTAGATTGGTGCAAATCAAGGGGAGGGGTTAAGGGTTGGGATGAGGTAGATGAGATGGCAATCAAAGGGTAGATTCCTTGTTTTGTATCTTAGTTAACTAAACTTTGAAAAAGTTAATTTGGGGTTGCATGTGGCAAGATGAATTTGGTGGGTTGAAGTGTTGAACCACCAAATGTTTGAAACTTTGGTATCTTTTCACAAGTTAGTATTAACATAGAGGGTTGAATTTCGTATTGAAATGTGAACTCAGTGGGTTATTTGAATCATCAACAATCAACATTAAATGTAGTTAGTTTGGATAAAATAAGTTATTTTCAACTTAATAAAGAAGATTTATTTATTTTTTATATTAATTTTTTTAATAAAGACTTTTATAAAAATTTATTCAAATTAAATTATAATTAATTTTATTTATTTTTGTGTGTATAGATGTAATATTTTTTAAAAATGTATAAAAAAAACACCTTTTTGTATGTTTCTAAAAAAAAACACCTTTTCGTGTAAACGTGTAGTCTTGACAGTACAAATCGTAGACGGTGATGAATGGTATAAGTCAACTGGTTATTGTGTTTTAAATAGAAGTCAAAAACGAAAAAGGGAAAAATTCATCGTTTTGCCCCATTCTATGATATTTATTTATGCCTTCGGAATGACCGTCGTGTCACGAGTCTTTCCACTAATTTCCCCAATAAAATAAATGAACTCGTCTTGGTTTAGCGTGGACTTTTTTCTATCAACGTGACAAAATTTAGATGAAATTTTTTATTAAAAAAATTAAAATACTATTTCAATAATTGATAATATTATTCAAATAAAATATTGTTTTTAATTGACAAACAACACTTAAAAATAGTATAGAAATTTTGTTTTAAACAATATTCATAGTATCGCACGTGTATGTATATGTTAAGGTAAGTAACGATTCATATAAAGTTATTAAACAAAAGCAACATAAATTATTTAAATTAAAAAGTTAAAAAGTATATTGTGGTCTATGTTTTTGTAACTTGACTGAATGTTGGATCAAATTAAGATGACAATTTCTAAATGAGAATAGATATCGTTGAAGTTTTCAAAAAGTGAAGGGTCATATATGAAACTCATTTAAGGATGAAAGTACGCGTTTGTCTATTTGATGCCAAGCAATAAATAAATAAAAAATTTAGAGTATGTTTGTTTGATTTTTAAAAAGAGTTTTCTCTTTTTCAAAAACTAAAATTATATATATTTTTAATCTTTAAAAAGAGAAAACTCTTTCAAAAAATGCAAACAAACATACTTTTACTTTTCTAATTTTGTTTTGACAATTTGTGTATATTAAATTAAATAATATTAAATTATAGAATTAGCATATTTTTTAATAATAATAATAATTAGTCAATCGATAATTGGTTAAAGAAAAAATAAAATATTCAATGTCTTATATTTATTCCAAAGTTTTAATTTGGCTTTTATTATTGTTTTTACCCATATGATCTTTTATTCTTTATCATTCCACGTTAATACTTCCCATATCACACTCAACAAAAGCCTTATACTAACCCAATACAAGTTAAATCAATTTATTATTTAATATATTATATAACATCAAAATAAATTTTATTATTAAATTGATAATGATTCAACCAATAAAAATTAAAAGATTAATCTTGAACTACTAAAAAGGTAATTTTTTTATTGAAAAATAATATTACTTACGTTTGTATAGTTTTGATATAATAAATAACTTTTAATAAAAAACATCTTTTAATTGTTTAAAAATACTTCAAAATTTTTTTATTGACAAAATCATATTTTAAAATTATTTTTAATATATATATATATATATATCAATCGAGTTATATTAATATAAATTACATTATTTTATATTATAAAAAATTATACAACTTTTTTTTTATCGATTCAACTGTTAAATTAGACATTATATTTATTATTCACGTCAAAAATTATTAAAATTAAAAAATTGCAAAAAAAAATATATTTTTTAAAAATATATTTATATTAACATTAAGTTATTGAAAAATTTTGCATACATAATATATATAATAAGAGTTTTAAATTTAATGAATAATTTTAAATTTATTATTATATACAATGATGAGCAAAATAGGAATTTTAAATTTAATGATAGTAATTTGTTAACTTTTATCCGAGGAGTCAATTTTAGGAAACATTTTCAAACTTCGTTACTAGGACAACACAATTTCGCCCAAAAAGCACCAAATGTCGTATTACTCCACGCCTACTTCTAGAAGCCGGAAATGCACAAGTGAATATGTCTCCAAAATTTGACCCCAAGTAAAGTAATCATCATGATAATCTTAACCCAAAGATAATAATAACAACATAATAATAATCATTACAATATTAGACGGGGATGCAAGCACAGAAATGATTATGTGTTCTGATTCACTTTTATTTTTTTGGTACTTGTTTTCGTTAAACACATTCATTTTCAGTTCCAAGTATCATGTGTTACATGATATGATTGGATGGATGTGAATCCTATTATAATATACTACTCAAAACAAATGATCATGGTCAAAAAGTTTGGTTTTTAATTAGAAACGAATCAAATAATTCGAAATCATTTGAATGTGACTGTTTTTTGACATTGATTAACAGCCTTTAACTTAACGAAACCTATCATTACGTGTGAGAGCTTTCATCCCCTGATATAACACATAGATGTGTCCAAGATCTTAGGCGTGAAATAAACGTTAACTTTCAGTATCACTCATTCATGAATTCATGCATACAAGAGAAATACATTAATCTATTAACATGCCAAACATACCCAATTTAATGCTTCATAAAACACATTTAATGAAGCACTTTATACCATAAAGGGTTATTGACATGATGGTATGAAATAGAGGTGAAAGGAAGGAAAGTTTTAAAGTGGCTCTATTTAAGAAATTAATAAATAAAATTATATTTTTTATTTGTGGGTGGAAAAACACAAGGCAACTTGAATTGAATTGTTCCATTTGGAGTAGTTAGTGAATAGCTGTGAAGCTAATTCAGAGTTAGATGTGTTAGTTGGAGGTGTGTGCCGATTCTTAATTAGCATAACTCAATGGCGTGCCTTGCAAGGGTTCAGTGATCAACATTCAAATCACCCTTTCGTCACACGCAAGTCACGTGCTCCTCTTTTCTCTGCATATAACGTAAAAGGTTTTTGCGTGGTTATGGGAAAGAAGAATAGAAGTGGGTCCAATTCTTACGACATAAAGACAGCACGTGTGAATTAAGACCATAAACAGCACGTTGTGTGTAAGTGTGGACATGAAGCTTCTACGTGTATCTCTATCCTACAAAAACAAATCTACAATATTAAAACTCATTAATTACATCCCAACTTTACGTTTTTTCTTTTATTATACTTTCTCTTTGGAGGCAATAGCTACGTGGTCCTTCTTTGATCAGTTAATATTAAAATGATTTTGTTAATAAGTGTTTTAAAGATCTTCATTCCAAATAATAACTTTTTATTAAAAATTTATTAAGAATTACGAGAGAAATGTAGTATCATATATATATATATATATATATATATATATATATATATTAATCAGTGTTCGAAAGATATTAATTAGCATTTTATAATAAAATAAAAAATAGAAATATCAATTTTTATCTAATTTTTACGTATATAAAGTAAAATAAATACTTGTTCATAAAGTTGATTATTTTTAGATACTTAAAGTCAACAATAAAATATAATATTAAATCAATAAAAAAATCAGAACATAAGATATTAATTTTAAGCACTTCTGTTTAATACATGTGTGCTCAAAATTAAAGTTTAATGTCCTAATTAAATTTTTATTAATAAAATTAAATATTTTATAATTTTTATAAAAAATTCAAAAATAAAAATATGAAAGTAAAAAGATGTGATTGATGATCTAAGAAAAAATATGTGGAAAATATAAATTACTATTTAAAATAGTAATTGTTAGATTTGCTTATAAATACACTTCACTTTCATTGAAACCAACTGTATAAATTTAAAATAAAACTTATATGTTGTATTATAGGTGCTATTTTTTAGTTAAAATTAAAATATTATTTTTAAAAATATATATTTAATGAATTGCAAATTATTAAGATAAAATTTTAATTTTAATTAAAAATCACATTAAAATTATCTATAATATTGGAGCTAAATTTCGTCTTAAAATTGGATATATAATAGCATGATTTATTTTCACAATTTTAATCAATATTTTCATGCTTAGTTGTGGCATTGTGGTTGAAGTATATATCTTTCATATAATGAATGGTGCTATAAAACATCAAGACAAGATATTTGACATCCGCAATCGACGACTCACCATAATTGAAATCAGCATCAAACTCACCACAATTGCCAAACCCTTGGATCGATCCTTTTCTTTCCTTTTGGGTAAATTTTGGGTTTTATATTTTGTTTTCACCTTCTTTTAGCAAGCTTGTGTCATGACGTAACCTTTAATTGAGCAAATTAAATAATTTAACTTGTGACAGGAAAACGATACTTATAGCTCTTAATTTCGTATCAGTCAACATGTGATTCTCTTTTTGTTTTAAGGAGAAGACACAAAAGGTGCAAGTGTGAGTGACCAGCTCATGTTTAGCTAAAGGGTAATGGTGAAGTAGTAAAAAATTTGAAAAAATAAAAATGTTTTTTCAGATTTAAGAAACATTGTTTTTTTTTCCCTTAAAATATGCATGATTAGTTAAATTAAACTAAAAAATATTAATTGAAAATATGCGAACAGAAGTTTGCCAAAAGAAAGGAGAATTTAAAGAAATAAAAAGTCGCTTTTGTAATTCATAAAACATTCTAATCGACAAAAAAAAAGTTTGCTGGAAAATATTTAAAGTTAAACGACGCGTTTTCTTTGTTAACCTTTTAGTTTAGTTTTACCTTTATCCCTTCGCTTTTTATCAGCTCTCAATAATAATGTCTTTAGGAATCGTAGCAATGTGTTTCTCAATTCATTATTTCTTCTCCACTATTATATATATTTAGTTCACCTGTATAGCTTGGTCTAATACTGTGGGAAGATTACATTTATCCATTATTTTAATTTCCCTTTAAACCTTTTGGTTTCATTTCTTAATTTATGAAATCATATTGACATTTTCAAAATCTAGTAGCGGATTTTAATTAACACATTTTCCTTTGAGAAAAGCTCATAATCAATATGTCAACAAAAAAATTAGTTGAAAAACCAAGTTCTAATATAACATAATTACAATCAAACAAAACAAAAAAATCAATCAATTACCACCAAAATATTAATGTTAAGCATCCACTTAATAGATTTTGGATGTCGGATGTCAAACACAAAACTTATTACTTGTAAATTGTATCAAATTTAGATTTTGCGGACACATATATTTGACATAAATATAAGCTAACATACGCAAAATCTAATATACTACTCTACATATTAGTTTAATAAATGAAACTGTAAAAAGATATTGAACTGGGTTTGGCATGTTAAATTGATTTAACACAAATAATTAGTATTAAATTTTAAAACATTTGTTAGTGTACGTTTCTAAATTTTGGTCTTACGTAAAATGTGTAAAATGCAAAAAATAAAGATCATAATTTAATATTAATCTCACATATAATAGACATAAAGTTTGTCAATGTAAATTGGAGTCAAAAGTGTCAATCCATTCTTGCCATCTTACCACAATTATGTTGTGTTATACGCTCACTCACCCACCTTTCAACATTGCGTTGATATGAGAATGATCATGGAACAACATAAAATCTCCCACCTTTCAATATTGCTTTGATTTGAGTGTGATCATGGAACAACGTAATCTTACCCACCTTTCAATATTGCTTTGATTTGAGTTTGATCATGGAACGAACACCATTAAAATTTACACTAAATAGTCATTACCATGTCGTTTTGTTTATTTTATTGTGGCTGGGCTTATAATATATATATTTTTACATTACAAATGGCCTGGTGGGTTGCATGACAAAATTTTTATTTTCTGAAATTTAAGCCCAACTTTTAGCAGCCAAGTCAAACTAGAAGTTAACAAATTAAAAAAATAAAAGTCGCAATTGATAGGCCCAAGAAAACATATAGAAGTTGCGATTCTCAGTTTCATATGCGTTGACAAAAAAGAAAGATTCACAGGCACAAGCTTGTTAAGTTTTCAACATATTCAGATAAAAATTAAATAAGTATCAAATTTAATAAAATAATATTTTTTTTATTAAAACAAATTTTATTACATTTATAAAATTTCACACATTATAAATGTAAATATGAAAATAGTTTCTTAAATAATTTTTTTTTGCCATGTTTGAGTTTCTTTATTTCTATATTTTTATAAACTTTTTATTTTAGTCTGTGGTCACTATAATGTTGCTACTTATTAATTTTTTGTTGGATCATGTAAGTGATAAGACTAAAGCTAAAACTTTGAAACAATGTAAAAATAAAAATAAAAAATTTGAAAAAACTAAAAGCAAAATAATCCCAAAAGGTGAGATCAATTTCATACTTATAACTTCATAGTTTAAATACTAGATACTTTATTATCTACTATTAGTAGATTACATATATATATACAAATATTCAAACTATGTAAAATTTTATATACATAATAACTTCATGGTAATATTATTATAATTAACAGTTAAATTGATAAAATATTATTAGTGGTTTCATTTGATCAAACGAAAATGTTCATAAGTTTTAATTAATAGGTATACTATATAGGCACCAATCATGTAGAATATAAATTTAATATGTTGATTAAATTTTGTGTATATAGCTTTTGAGTTCTTTTTAAACTCTCTCTAATAATATATATTTTGTTTATAAAAAAAAAATATTAGTTAAACATTGCAGGATATCAAAGTGCATATATATTACTGTTACAGAAAAAATGTTATTTATTAATAAAATCAAAATCAAAATATTAAAAGAGCTTTTGTTTTAGTTTTTATTTAATAAAAATTAATTATTAATATAGATTTTAAAGGTTTACATTAATAAATAAAATATATTATACTAAATTTGATGTACTAATATTATATAGTAATTTTTTACTAACAGTTAATATTATTAATCGATATAGTCCATTATATTATTAATACAAACTCATATTTATACTATTAATGTGATTTTTATTAAAAAATTATACTAATACAAATTAATTTATATTAAATTAATAATAAATGACAAATTTTTCAGTGTAGATACCTATCATTTTCGGTGTCTGCAAGAAACATGTTAGGATTATCTTCCTGCATATAAACAAAATGTCTTGTGAACAATTTTAGCCCCTTTATTAAATAATTATATACAATATCATATATAATATCAACTTTTAATTATTTAAAATAATAAAATTAAGACAAAAGTGAGCCATTATTGAGTAGCATCACTGCATAGATTTTCTTATAGATGTAGGGATTTTTTTTTTTTGCGCCAATACTATTCATTTTGTTGAATGATTTTCTCTCTAAGAAAGGGTGTTCAAAGCATGACCAAAGCGCGCTGGTTTTTATCTTCTGATATTATTTTGATTATATAAAACCTGCTCTAGTTCTTGTTATATAAAATGGCATGTAAAAATTATTTCCTAACTAATAAAGAGAAAACTTCCTACACGCAATCTCTGAAAGCTGACGTTAAATCATGCATATAATTCAAGTTAAAGAGAGCTTAGCAATTCAATCAATTATTTATTCAATCAAACCAATGGAAAAATTTTCAAACTGCGTGCATATGTTACTGTGACAAATCAAAACTTTATTGAACGATCATGAAAGGCTCGTGCAGTAGAAAATTATAATCCTTGCTCATGATTGCACAAAATTTTGAAGAGCAAGGTCATGCAACAAATATCACTATGAGTCAGAAGCATGGGAATGGTCAATTAGCCTGACAATTCAAGAATCATAGCTTATTGCTTACTTGAACTTTCAATTTGCCAGTGAAAGCATGCCAAAAATAAATGATGAAGCCCACAAGTCACGACCAAACTAGTTACATACAGACTGGATTCAAAAGTAATGCACAAAATCTAGTTGCTATTTTCCAATGCTATAGTGTAGGATTTGGTAATGTTAGGCTCTGGCGTGTAGAACACAACGACAAAAAGCTTCGTTGAACAGTAATCTAATTAATTGCTAGATCAAAAGCACTATATATGTTGATAAAATAGCAGGCATTTTGTTAGGTCTGCTAACGACGTTAGGGTTGTGTAGTATCTCTCTAAGATGAAAGTCGCGTCACTAAAATAATGTATACTCTTTATGGGACTTAGCTGAGAGTTAATGATATATATTCCCAGTCACATGTAATTTAAAGGGCTAATGACTTTCTTTTATCATGTTTTAATGGCATAAATTAAATTGCCTTTATTATCAGCTTACAAGAAATTATTCACTTGCACCTATATTAAACTCCAGCTTGAATTAACTTTCTAACTGGTAAGTAATATAGCCTTGCAATTATGATAGATTACTGTTGCTATTTTTTTACGATAAGAAAGTAATTTTGTTTACTGTTTATGAAAAAATTAAAATGATGAAACTTTTGAAAAAGTTTATCTTAACTTGTATAAAAGGTTTAATCATTTAACTTACTCCTTGGATTTATTTTATTTTTTACAAGTATTTGTTAATAAGTTTATCTAAACTACTTATAAGTTTATATGATAAGAAGTGTATTAATTAATCACAATTCACAAACTTTAGGCATGAAATGCGCTTCCTTTACATGCATTGTCTCCAACAAAAGTTTTGAGAAATAAGCTTATAAGCTAGTTAGGACTTGATTAGATATTATGAACTTTATCTTCTTTTGGGGATGCATGATTTTGTCAAGGCAAAAAAGTAGTATCTTTGATCCAAAAGAAAAGATAATAACAATAAAGAGAACAATCCCAGCATACTTACTGCAATCAGATTGTGTAATATATTTAGTCAACTGCTTGACCAGTGATCAAGATACGCAAAAGACAACTTGAAGATGACTCTCTTTGTGAGTCGGTGTTCATTAATTTTTTTTATCACTTTAAAAGTATCTTTACGCGTCCAAGGAGTGACATCCTCTTTCAACTACTCTCAGACGGTTTTCTTGAATTCTTTTCCCTTTTGCCCTATATTGCCATTTTTTACACGCAACTGCTACTTCCTTTCTTCTTTTCTCACCTCCATTGTTCTTTTCTCATTAGGAGGATATAGCTTCTACCATGGGAAATATTCCAAAGTGGTAAGGACATCAATTCATAAAAATAAATAATATGTATTTATTATTAAATGTTTACTGCATTAAAAATATAGAAGTATAATAGTTATTTTTCAATAAAAATTTATTATTACATGCTTAAAATTAACTCCAAAGATTGAATTTAACAAAACTGATTAACAAAACATACACGGGACAACACAACGTTCCATTGATTATCATATCCGCAAATAATAAGTTCTTTTATATATAAAGTTTCCATTGTTTTGTGTACATTTTCAGCAAACCACTGAAAGGTATAACAACTGATCCAACCAAATAAAAAATGATCTATGTCAAATATTAATACTTTCCTGAATTTCAAATGGAAAAACAAATGAACAAATGAAAAGGTCATAAAATCAACTTAATTTAATCAAATCAAATTAATTTCGTAAAAAAATTGAAAAGGGTAAACTAATTCCCTGAAAGATTGGAATTGCTGAGTTTATTGCTTTCCATTGCTACTTGTGATGTTGCCATTGTTGTTGCTGGTTGTCATGTTGTCATTGGTATTATTATTATTACTACTGTTGTTGTTGTTGTTGTTGTGTTGCTGAGCACCACCAATTATGGAAGTGATGGCTGCTGCCAAAACTGCAGTGAAGTTTGGATCAGCAGCAATGGCAGCACTAACTGTGTCAGTAATCCGTGGTGGTACCTGTGGAGTGCGATTAACCAATTGTGAAGAAGGGTCTGCATCATGTGACATTTGTAGACCAGAAAATTTTGATTGGTTGTAAAGTGCCTGACCAAATATCTGAGGCATTAATGACGCTGGAGAGTTTGCAAAATTCTGAGGAACCCCTGGGAAGGGAATTTGTAACTGGCTTGAAGGCCTTGGGAGCTGCAGAGAATTTGGATTTGGAGATTGAGTTAGGTCCAATGTAACAGTTGGGAATGGAGCAGATGCTGAGATAGTTGCCATGCTTGAAGAGCATGGAAGGAGTGTCCTTGTGAAGAAGTTTGGATTCATTAGGCTGTCAGCACTTGACATTGATCCTGAAAGCAGCATTCTTGCAGCTGAGGAAGTGGTTTGTGCCATTGCCATAGCTGCTGGAGGCAAAGGGTGGTTGTGATTTCCTTCATATGTTGTGATAAGTACTGTTCGGTCTTCAGCACACCTTTGTACCTGTTAATTTTAAATACCAATTATGGGATTAAAAATATCATTTTATTTTTAACCTACCATACAAAAAATTAGCCTTCAATTTATTAGTACTCATATATATGGAAACTTATTATCCAATTGGTTGAGTCAATACATAAAGATGAAGGTAATTACAACTAATGACACATAATTTGATAAAACTATTGTGTGGACATGACATATGTACCTGTTTTCTAACTGGGCAACCAGCAGCCATGGTGCACCTGTAATAAGCTCTAGGACATGGGTTTCCTTTGGCCATCTTTTGTCCATACTTTCGCCATTGACAACCATCAGTGATCTAAGACAATTAAAATTTTTCGATCAGCTAAAAAGAACAATTTATGATGAACAATTTGTAAAATTGAAGCACACATATTGACTCTTATCATACCATGGGTGCTTCTGATCGGGCTCTAACTGAAACTCTTGCCTTTCTCATGGTTGACTCAGCCTGATCAACATTCTTTGGAGGACTGAATCTTGGAATTTTATCACCGGCAAAAGCATGACCTGAAGGACTATCCTCCCTTTCATTCTCCCTACCATATTCCTTCTTCTCTCGTTGATCATATGCAACTCCTTCATCACTAACATTCACATTCTTACTGGTCCCCAATTCCTTGGAAGCCACTTCTACGTTGTTATTATTATTATTAACTGGTGATCCTGATGGATCTTGACTTCTTCCCGCTGATGAAGAAGAGGGTTCATCGGTGTCAGCGTTAGTAGCCAAACCAAGATCCATGAATTGCCTTGGCACCAATACCCCACCATTCTCATTTTGTTTCTTTTCTTCTAATTTTCCATCAAACTCTTCTTGTTCTTCAGCTTCCACACCCTTCTGCTCCTGCATCAAATTCACCAAATGCATGTGCAGAGCTTTGTAATTGGTATTAACCTGATCAAGCATCTCCCTTAACCTGTGATTCTCTCCCTTTGTTCTCTCAATCTCAGCTTGAAGAACAGCCAGCTGAAAATGTTCATTGCAAATGCTCAATTTCAAAATACGCCTTAAAAGAAAAGAAATGAAAACATGCGCGCGGGCGCACACGCACATACATATCTTTATCTTTACCTCATTTTTAGTTCTTTTATCTTCTGAATAACCTGACATGTCATCTTCCACCATGGATTGATCACTAGTAGTATTGGTAGTAAGAAGATTCAAACCAGTCTATTGAAAAAAATTATAGGCTCATCATGATCACACCAACAAGATGATAATACAAAAAATGATTGACCTTAATTTGAAAACCAAATAAAATTAATATGAAAGACATGATGATGCGTCACTCACGTTTACTTTGCATTCCAACATAGGAGGAGTGGAGGAACGATCATGTGTTTGGTGATCAGTGTCGGGGACAGAGGCAGAGGTAGAGGCGGCAACCTTGTCATCTTTGTTGTTGTTCTTGTCGGAGAAGAAGTCCATCTCTGATGGAGAAGAGACATGGTTGTTTGAAGAAGAGCTAAGGTTGACTTGGAAGGGGATGGAAGGTGGTGAAGAAGAAGACCCTTTGGTGCTAATTGTGGCTTCCATGTTGTTGTTGGGACTAAGTTTCCACTTAGCATGATTTATGTCTTCAGGGAAAGAGTTCAGAACAATTGGTTTGTGGAGGAAGAAGCTCCCAATTGGATCTGAATCCATGGAGAGTCCACCACCTCTAACCATAAATTCCAATAGAGAGAGAGAAAGAAATTGAGACCAGAAGGAGAGAGAGAAAGCTAGAGAGGTCTGTGAAGTCTTTATAATAATGCAATGGACTCGGCAATAAAATGGGACAGCTGAGACCTGAGAAGATGACCAGAAGTGTAGATTTTAAAAAACAATGTGTTTTCTATGTTAGTTTTGAACGTCGAAGTTTTATTACGTTTATTAATGTTTGTGAATATTACATTTACTATATGTTTAATAAAGTTTTAACTAAGTATATTTTAAATGAAATGAATAACGAGTGATGCTGATAAGTACGAAATATGTTTCAATAAAAACATAATGCCTATCTCGTTTCACATTTATATATTTTCAATCGTGGATGGATCTTATTTCGATTTTCAATTGTTGTTTGCAAATCGTTCAAACGAATAGAACCGTTTGCGGATAAAACTCAACATTAATTTTTGTTCACTTTAAAATATAACTTTGAAAGAGTCTTATCGAATATGCGTAAAAAAGAAATTCATCAGAAAAAAAAAGATAAGTTTAAAAACGGTGATGATAGTGTTTTTCAAAATCTAAGGATAATTGTGCTAATTAACTATAAAAGTCGTATAGAAATTATAATAACTTGGAAAGAAACTTGAGATAATAAGCATGATATCCCAAAACACAGGTTGTTGACCAAACTACATTCAACAATTTCAACCAATCATAGGAACAAAAAAGTATGGAAATTAATATGGGTACGTAAGTTGAATTTACTTTAGAAAGAGATGCGATGTTGTTTAAGTGTTCTTGGGCATTATTAATTTAATTAGATTTTTTACTATTTGGTGAGAATGAAGGAGATTGACGCGTTCCAAAATTCACTGCCCCTGTTGCCCCGGCGCTTTGAGTTGAGCCTCGTGATCGTGAAAAGTGTAGTCTCAGTCAACGTTTCTAATGGGCCCCACTTTGTGACGACTATGTGTGGGTCCCTCATCCTTGCAACCTTGACTTCGACCCACGTTACCTTTAGACTTTAGATTCTCCATTTTCTCTCTCCTTTTCTGTAAAATTTAGTAACAAAAAAGAGAGAGATTTATGTCATTAATAAAAAAAAAATACATTAAAGAGTGTGTTTCTTTTCAATGGAAAAGTTAATTACTTTTATTTCTCCTCATAAAATAATGGTATGCCGTTTTGTTAAACAAATTAAGAAACTGCCTGCTTCCAAATTAAAAGTTCGACCCAACTTTTTTTTTCTTTTTAGTCTATTATTAGATTATCTGTCTATATACTTGTAAATAAATAAATGAATTATAAGACGTGCTCAAGTTAAATTAACGACTATTTAGGTCCTAATTCCTGAATTAAGCCCACAAAAGGTCTTTCCCTACTCAAAGGATCATTGGTAAAATGCGACTGATATTACTGCAGGCATTAACTACATAGTTTCTAGTACGCGATAGAGAATTTATTTGAGTTTTATTATAGTTTGTTCATAAATATTTTTATTTTAACATGAATTTATCATTATAAAAACATAATAAATATTTAATGTCTTCTTTGTTTAATGATTAAAAAATTATAAATGTTGTGGGATGGAGTTCAACCAAACGGGGAGCAATGATCCAAAATGCAAATGCAAGTCTGAAGTCAATATAGATGGATTCTGGTGGGGAAAGAATCATAAAGATGAGTACAAATTCGTGGAAAGCTCGCCCAAAAAGGTCGTTTTAACATTATTATTATACAGTTAAAAGAAATAGTTAGTATTTTGACAAAATATAAAGATTATGGTTAAATATATTAAAATAACCAAAATATTTATTTAATTAGTCAGGTTCTTCTTACTTCTCAGAAGAGCTTAGAAGGAGACCCCACTTTTTGTGCGTATATGTTTTAGTACTTGATTCTTCACACGCACTTTTAACATTTCTTTCGACATAATTATGCTCTCTCCCTTTTGGGTACTAAACATAATCATGCTCTTTTAATTATATTATTTTGTCCCCAATCTTGGTCTTGCAAATGAATCTACGCTCTCATCACTGCATTTTAAACGCAATTAGGACTCGATTCTGTAGATAGAAGATCTTCGTTATCAATATATATATGATAATAATATATAATTTAACTTTAAGGTTTACAACTTTTATATAAAATATTAATATATTGCAATAATTTTATATGTTTAAATATTGTTTGGGATGTATGTTGTTAATTTTGTGATTTGTACATAGTATTATAATTTACTTTGGAAAACAAATCTATTTATTATGACATAATTCCTAAGTGCAGAATGTGATAAAAAATATATATATATATAATTTAATTCCTATTCAATTACCACGTTCATGACTTGTGATAATTCTCTACTCCTAGTTAATTATCACCTTTTCATGTTTTATATTACATAAAATTATGTTTCTCTTCTAAAGTTTAAAGAATGTTATCTTCTCACGTTCCTATGTACGTTTATCTGCTCTTTATTAATTGACTGTTGTCGTTATTTATTTCCTCCCTTTAAATTAATTCATTTTTAGTTTTTTTTTTTTTTGTCTCATATGCAAATTGTCCATCTTTCTATTTAAATCTACACTAAGGTTTTGTTTTGTCTTTTGTTCTTTTTGTGTGTGTGTTTAACGTAAAAACTATTTTAGAAAATATAACTAATATAGTAAATCTATCTCTCTCTTCCCTTATAAATTTTCTTTTTTTCCTGAATTTTTTACTTCAAATATGTTTCTCCAACTTGTAAATTTATTAGTCATAACATTTCATATTCCATTTATTCCTAGAATCATTGTATTTCAGTAATAATAATCAAATTATTTTTATTATTTTATGCTCGATATCAACGTTGTAAAAATAATGGATGATTTACTAAAATAATATTCTATTAAAATATTATTAAGATAATATTGTTTTGAAACATATTATGAAATTAAGGTTATTTTTGGTAGAAGCTTTTATTGTTAGAAAAGTTAACTTTTGACAGTTTTTTAACAGCAAGAAAATAAACCAGTACAAATATGTCAAAAAATAATATGGTTTTCGGTAACAATTTCTAGCAGCTTTAGAAATCAGAAAGTAAATTATCATTAAAAATTATTTTTAGCGCCTAAAAATGATTAAAAATTAAAGTTTCTAATAAACACGGCCTTATTTTAGTAATATATTTTAATAAGATTTTCAAATAAACACCCTTACTAAAAGGATAAATAGCTAACACAGGGTCTTATGTTTTATATAAACACAGTCATTTTGAATGTTTGTTATTGAAAAAAATCGAAGTAGTATCATCTAAGAAGGTGAAAGATACCGTATACATGACATTCTATATATATATATATATATATATATATATTGGATCCATTTTGAAATCAACATGATGTATATAATTAATTATAGCTATAACCTTTTTCTAATACAGTTGAAATTATTAATATACACATTATGAATCTATATTAATAAGAAAATGATACTATTAAGCTATGTTATTAGGTTAAGGGAAAAAGAAACAAAACAACGATATTAGGATAGTATAGTTAGAATATGCACGTAGTGCTACCACAATACAACACATAGTTCGTGTAGATCTATTGTGTGTGCATTAATATTTTAATTTCTATTAAATAATTAGTTGCTTATAAATATTAATATAAATAATATTAATTAATAGTTAACATTTTTTATTTCCTAATAAATAACATTTTTTTTTTGTTTCTAAAATAGGTAGTGTTATCATTAACGTCTATTACATGCGAACAATATTGCTTTCCAATCATTTCTTATAATCTTTGTTAAACATTTTCGTTAAAATTGATTGCCGTTTTCAAAACATTTAAAATTATAATTTTAATTGATATAGAAATTGAAAATATATTCCAATCCACACCAATTCAGATTCAGCTACAAATTTAACGAAGTTGAAATGTCCCCGAATGATTCAAATATTATTTTCTACTATTTGAAAAAGAAAGGAAAATAAAACTTGGCATACACATGTGTAGTATGAATCCTCTGCTTGTTTACATTTAAAACGTACATATCTGTTTGTTCAAACACAAAATTAAAATATAGAGCGGACACATATACAGAAGATAGGGTATTTTTTAATAAAATAACACTCTATAATTCAGAGATTAGCGTTTAAAAATTCGATGCATATTTATTCGGTTCAAATGCGTGTCCAAACATACTATATGTTTATTAAAAAATATATTTTAATGGTTATAATACTTTTTTAGATTTTATTTTATGTAAATTTATTTCAATTATTAATGATCATTTTATAATACTAATGATAATTAATTATTTTCTTTCAGTTTTATTTTTAAAAAATTAATTAATATTTTTTACTAGAATTAAAATATTAATCCTTGTATTATGACTAAAATAAGTAAATAAAATAATCATGGAAATATAAAAAAATATAAAGGTGCTTTAATACTGTAAATTTAAGAAAGTATTTTATACTCTCTTTAAATTAAGGGTTGCAATTTCTAATATTAACATCTTTTTTAACTAAATTATTGGCTTCATTATCTATCAAATTAAAATTAACAGTCATGATTATTTTATGTGTAAGAGATGTATAAAATACTCTGTATAAAATACTCTCAATTACAAAAAAGTACTATATATTTTACTAAATATAAATATGTAAACTTTTAAAATTTAAAAATTAGTTTAGTTAATTATCCTCTTACAGCTTTTTTCTTCTAAAAAACATAAACTAGGGAGGAACATGGATGATGAAAAATGATTTATAAAAACGACATTACTTCAAGGCTAATTATGTGAAAATTGTCAATTTTCGAAGTGAATTCTATAAAAAATGAACGCAACATTTTATGACTGCTTTTAGCTTATTTAAAATAGAATGACTTTATATTGCTAAATGAATCATAGCTAGATTTTTGGAGTAGAGTATAATGTGTTGGTCGGTTTTACTTTTTTGAAGTTTAACATTGGAGAAAGAAAGCGAAGCTCATAATTTTATAAGTTGTGAACCCAACTAGGACTAGCTTTCGGCTGGTTTTTCTTCGTTATTCTCTTTAATTTCTTAACAGGTTCATAAACGCGTAATCTAAACCATGTTCTTTGGGCATGTATTTACATTTGAAAGAAATTTATAGAAGCAAAGAAAAACAAAGCAAGTATTGATATAGAGTTTATAAAATTATCGTTTAACAAAGTGTTTCAAACAAATGCTAATTAGTATTTTTAAGACATTCATTTTTAAACAAATATATAGCATGTATTATTATTATTTTTTAATAAATTAAATAATAAAAAGCTTTAAAGACTAAAAGTAAAATTTTATTATATTTAAAAGATAAAATTAATAATTGGTTCTTTAACTTATTTTAGTTTAGTCCTTTATTTTGTTTTATTATAGTTCTTCATCTCTTTTGTTTGATTTCAATTCGGTCATATTTATCAAATATGGCAGCGAAAAATTACAAGGATTAACAAAAAATCATAATGTGACAATAAAAAAATCGTAACAATTGATAGATAGGACCAATTTTGAACCAAATAAAAATATAAGAGACTAAAATATAATAAAATAAAATAAAATTAAACAACCAAAATATTAATTTTGCTTTTAAAAACACTAAATATATTTTAATCATAAATTACTCCAAGGTGGATACAGGCATGAACCCATGGCTCATTTGCACGTGTGAATCATTCGGTTCATTATCTCTTAAGATAATATTATAATATAAAATCAAAGTAATCAAAATTTAAAAGAAATGATTTTGGTCCAGAAAACGCAAAGGAGTGCACTATTAGTCAACAGTCAGCTTAAACAAACAACTCTCGTACTCACGGGACAAGAGTGAAGGCTGATGTCGTTTTCGGATAACGTTGAAGGACTTGTCTGCTTTGCAGCCAGAAAATTATTATTGTCCTTTTAATTAATTATAATTATAATTATAATTATAATTATAATTATATATCACTTAGATTAGTTTATGCATATATTTTCATCACATTTAATTATAAAAAAATAATTCCATCAAAATTAATTTTATATTCAACTTTAAACTAAACCGATACAAAATTGCATTATAGCATCAGTTAAACGCATACTTTTTCACGAGTTATCCCATCCATATTGTGAAGTTGGTGTCGTTCCTTCGATCTCTAACACAAGTTGATTGGGAAGAAGGATTGATAGAAAATGGTCAAATTCATAATAAATTTCCAACCAAAAATATGGATGGAATCAAATCCGGTGACTCGTTGAAATGTGTAATAGGAATGTTCGCAAACCTAAATCATGTCCCAATCCATCCCAGCATTGTTGACACATGTCCAACACTCAATGGATCACACCAACTTGTTCAATTGTAATTTGAACATAACATTTTGTTGGTCATTGCATGCATAAAAACCACAGAAAATAGAGACCATAAAATAAAGAGAAACAATGACACCAACAACAACCAAAGACCACATTTACTTATTACAGAATGACCAGAACCGTTTCAAAATTATTCCCTACTTCCTAGTCAAATTTCTCAAAGCCTCAAAGGTGTATACACTCATGAGGAAACAAGCCAAGAGTAACAAGAACCATAGTTTGAGTTTATGGCACCATTATGGTTATACTAAATCACTACCTAAGATAAAGGGTACAGAAGTTTACTAGGAAATCAACCAGTACTAATTAACTATCTAGACAGTTAAGTAATGTGTCATCCATGACTTGAAGCGAGACCAGGCCAGCTGAACAGCGGCTTCATCTTCGTCGGGCATTCCCATGCTCTTCCTTCTCTTGATCCCTTCTGGAGACCTGTTCATGAATGCATGTCTGTTGCCAGGATATATGTGTACCTCATGTGGAACTCCAGATGCTTTCAGCCTCTCCTCCAAGGCCTTGGCAGCCTGAGACATCAAACAATGTCCAAACATGATATTGCTTGAACTAAAGAATTTTGGGATTTAGAACATGAACATGTGTTCTCCCTCTCTTCCCTTCCCCATTTCCGAACAAAAAAATTCTAGTTGGACGATGAAACTGCAGAATCCAGTGGCGATTAAATAATGAAAAGTGGAAACAGCCTGAATATGTACATTGAGAGATAACATGTGCATCAAGGTTGGAATAAAAAGGTAGTGTTTTAAGAGAATATTCAACCTAAGAGTTATGGGATTAGCTGTTATCAAAGCAACAGAATTAATATTTATAGCATTTTACATCTTATGTGCATTGACAACAAAGGAATGATAGAAAGGGTAATGCCTATTAGGTTTTGTTTCTTTAAGAGGTAAAATTCTAGGCTCACTAGGTGGGGAAATTCATGGCCTGCAGACCTCTGAACCTCACAATTTTTCCCTTTAAAAGACATCTCATGTTGGGAAATTGGACTGTGTATCATTAAGGCTTCAAGACTTCCTCAACTTTACTCTAGTGTATGCTGTGCTTGGTAAGGGAGGTAAATAAATAGAAGACAAAAAATAGAGAGAAGGATGAAAATTAAAGGATACAGAGGTTATAATTTTCAGTTGTTGAAGCTAGACAAAGAAGGTGAATAGGCATGGATGAAAATGGTCCAGATGGAAGTAAGATGGAATGCAAACGATGGAAAAATGTGTGACAAAATAGAATGCAACTAGTGGTCACTCCACTTTCATTTTATTCCTCTTTACTTTGTTAGAAGGATCCAAGAAACCATGCAGTGGTATTGACATCTCGTTTTGAGCCCTCCATGTTTTTATCTACCCTGCGTACATCATTAGTGTGAGATCGAGAGTCTCTTGAATACCAATTCTCATCAAGAGACACTAAATGCCTGTTGGGTTAGGATTTAAAGGGCTGGAAGTTATTTGCTGATATCAAACACTTCATAATAACTGCACCAACAAGGCAACATGTTTAGAAAAGGTATTAGAATCACAAAAAGAGGAGTCAATGTAATGCTAATATGCTCCACCACAGATGCAAATTGCTTCTGTAATAGAACATTGAGTTCAAGTACTCATTCTACACATACTCTCAAACTAAGGAGGCATAATAACCTTTCAAACGTATACCTTCAATTAAGCTTCAAAATTGATTTTACTTTACATTACCCAAATCAATTGACAATCATAAAATCATTTTTCTACAGCCTAAGACAAACAATCACAAGGCTTTAGATGTTTTCTGTTTATTCTCTTAACAAGAAATCATATTATGATTTTCGCTTCTCATTTACAACATTTCACCATTAGGCTTTTTTACCAAGCATATTCTCTGCACGAGATCAGAATTCAAGAGTTGCTCTGCATACCAATCACCACTAAAAGAAACTAAATGCATGCATTATAAGGTAGGGAAACCTCTCTGCTTCTCAAAGAAAAAAATAAAAGTGATGTTCAGTTGGAAAACATGCCAGCATAAAAATGACCAGCAAACGTGGGTTGCAAAGTGCAAACATATTCTCATACCGTAACATCTGAAAAGCCAACAAAATCATCCAGCTCTCCAAAGTGTGCCTGAATAGGAGCCTTGGCTTGGGCAGGGTCTGCAAGTTCAGAGGAAGGAACTCCATAGAAAGCTACAACTGCATCAACATTTGGAACTACGACAGAGCTTGCAATGGCAAGAGCACCCCCCATACAAAATCCAGTAACACCAGCCTGTTGCAATGGAAGATAAATCAACATCTTGTTTAACCAATGACTTTCCTCTAACTTAAGAAAAATGGTATTTTCAAATTTAGAAAGTTAGATCGAGAGAGAGAATTGAACAACCAGACATAAACAGAGACAAACCTTCTTTGAACCATTTGCTTTAAGCCAGTTAACTGAAGCATGGATATCCTTAACAGCACCTTGCCAATCAAGACCATCAAACAAATGTTGTGCTTCTGCAACATCAAGACCAACCTTTCCTCTGTACAGACTGGAGGGGGAGGTGCGGAGGCAAAACTGATCAGTCATCCAAATACAGCATATGCTACTGCATAATACAAAAGAACAGAGATTAAGAAATTTTGGGTAGCACCAGTTATCTTACTCTGGAATAAGAGCTTTAAATCCACGACCAAGTTGAGAAATCATCACAGCATGATTTTTAATTTCAAAATCCACACCCCACCACTCCTGAAGCACAACAATTCCAGGAGCATCGCTTTTGCCAACAATATAGGCATCAAATGCCTAATCATTGAAAACAGAAAATTAGCAATGGGGGTTCCAATGCAGGTAGAAACATATGATATGATACAGCATAAGAAACACCGTGAATAGGAATGATAAGTTATAAATCACACATTTATGCTGCAAAGTGAAAAGCACATTAAGGACCTGTCCAAAAAAGCTTATGAAAAACAACTTGCAACTCCCATAAGCTGTTTTCAACTTATTTCAATAAGCTTCTTTGTATAATTAATCAAAATAATTTGTTTTCAACTTATCCCAATAAGTTTTATGGCTAAATTTATACATAAACCATTGATTAAAACAAGCTTATGGAATAAATGCTTAAATAAACAGTACATCCAAAAGCACCCTAAAGCTGAAATGCATGCAAATTTCATCCATGGTGGTCCTAGATCACTAGCACAGTCGTAATTCGTAATTCTAATTCACCGTTTCCAGACATTAATTACCCTCCAAACCTGACAACTTTCCAATATTATTTTGTGAATACCATTCCAAATAGAGAGATGATATTGGGTATTGGGAAGAGTCCAAGATAACAATTAAAATTGATAGTTCAATATATTAACACGTTCATGCTAAGAAGGAAACTTTTTTCACAATGCAAGGCTAATCAATACCTCCAAGTACAACTCAAAAATCCATTACCCCAGGAAGAAAAAAAAACATTTTATTTGAAGAGAAAATAAAATGGGAAATTATGAATAAAAAGCAGCAAAAGAAACCAAAAATATGAAATTGGAAAGGATTGTGGTGACTCACAGTGTCATCCCTCCGAATGCGGATTTTGTTGAAAGGAGCAGAATCAGCTATGGAACGCACTGAGAAGCGAGAGGAAAAGGGTGAAATGGTCCTAAGAGGAACCGCGGCGAAGAATCTCGGAGCAATACGCAACATTCCTCACTCACTACACTGCACTGCACAACGCAGGTCTGATTTCATTCGAAGTATGTTGTTTTCAGGTGTGTTTTCAATTGAAAATAGGACCACGCTCTGAACCGGTAACCAGACCCCATCAAATCAAGGAAAAACCGATTAATTTAACTTTTATAATTTTAAATTTATTAATTTTTATAATATATAGTAATTAACTTAATTTTGAGTTCTTTAATGACATAGTTTTGAGTTTAACGATGAAATGGCATTTACACCTTTATTCTCATGGTATTTTCAAATTTAATTGTAAAAAAATTTAACCTTGTAACATATAATTTTATTTTAAAATATAAAGAATACGATATTGTTAACGATTAATCTTGTATATTCATATTTTTATTTAAATTGTATAAGTAGAGATGAATGTTATATTAAAAAAGAAATAGATTAAATTAATAAATAAATAATTAAAAATTAACAAAATAATAAAAATTTCTTCAAAAATTAAAAATCAAATAATAAATAAAAACTATAAATTTTTATATTACTGAAAAATATGAATGAACTAGTAAGAGTTGTTCTACTTTGACTGAATCAATAAGTTCTAACGAATCAGTTTTATTATAATTTACAAATTAAAGATAAATTTATATATATATATGATATTTACTTATTTAAAAAGATATTAATTTATTTTATAATTTTACATTAGTAAATAATTTTTATAGTTTATTTTTAAATTTTTAATTAATATTTCAAGACAATAATTTAAAGTGTTTATAATGACATTTTGTTTTACTTGAAAAAAACTTAATTCTCGTATGTTCTAAAAAAATAAAAATTACACTTTCTTTGCCAATGGGCTATTGGAGAAAGTTGATTGCAGGCTGAAAAGTGAGTGTGAGCCTAAAATGCATAGTTTGGGGTCGATTTGGAATGTGGAATAAACTTCAGAGTCTGATGAATGTTTAATGGTTTTTACTTTTTGTTACATTTTTTCTTTTATCTTTCAATTTTTTTAAGAATATTAATTATTTTCAGATATTAAATTCTAAAAATAAGATTTCAGATTCAGAAGAATAATACAAAAAGAAAAAACCTTATTTTGGGCTTTATTGTTCAAAAGCCCAACATGCCTGCTAGTCAGTTGTCATGGTAACATATGGTCAGAGATATCCACTCTAATGATCCACAAAAAAAAATAAAAAAATAAAAAAATAAGATATCTACTCAAATTCCCTTGACCATAAAAAAATAAAATTCAGACGCCGCTTTTCATGAACAAGGATGATAATTGGACTTAGGTTGAATGATAGAAATAAACATATTCATGATTAAAATGAAAATTATTTGTTAAATAAATATGGTTGTTTTCCCGTAAAAATTTTATGAGAAGGGCTATTTTATTATTGATCAACCTTTCACATGTATCTCAACAATTTTATAGTCACCCTTGCAAGTTTTAAATTACTAACAAAATTTTCTAATTTTAAAATTGGAAACCATAACTTCTACTATTATCGTTTAACACCTTTGTCTTTGTGGTTAGTCTGTAGTGTTACTGCAAATTCATTTTTAAATTTGTTGGTAAAGTTAGAATGTCCTTTGTATTTTAATAATAATAAAAATAATAAATTATAATTCGTTAAATATAAATTAAATAAAAAATTTAAATAAAATATAAAAAATTTTAAATGTATATTAATATAAAAAATTATATATATATACATATATATATATATATATATATAATTTTCCTGTTTATTATAAGACACTCTGTTCCACTAATATTGTAACAAAATGACAACCTCACCACCACTAACGACAACGACACAAGCCTATACATGGTGACAGAGCCGTCCCGTGCATCCCAACTACACAGTCACAAGAACAACAGTCTCAACAAACCACAAGAAAAACATGGGAACTACAAATTTAAAAAAGAAAAATGGTGAATCCTTTAGGAATAGCATGGATTCACTCGGTAAAAGAAAAACAACAGTAAGATCAAAATCACAAAAACAAGAATGATTACTTTGAATTAGAAAACATTGAATCCTATGAGAATGACACAGAGAGCGAAACAAGGAAAGAAATGCCAATGAGATACTCTTTTTAAAACACGTTTAGTTATTAATTAAATATTAAAAAGTTTTTAGTCTTATTTTTGATAAATTTTAATTAATAATAAAAATATTAAAAACATGTTATATAGTATATTCTTTAACATTCTCGAATAAAATAGACGTCTCCATGTTATGAATAATATCGTTAAGAGTGGGTATGAATTAAATTTGTATAAAACTAAATCAAATTTATTTTAAATTTAATTATATAAATTAAATTTTAAATTAATCTAATTTATTTGTTTTAAAATTAGTTTAAAATTAATTTTAAAATTTAGATATGATTTAAAATCAATTTCAACTCTAATAAAATATACTATAATATTTTTTATATTATTATTGAATTATTATATTAAAAAATAAAAATTAATATTAAATTATATTTGTACATATTTTAATAAATTAATAATATATTTTTATTACATTGATATTGTATTAAAATTAAATTCATATTTTTTATTTTATATTATTTATTTACCACACAAAAATTAATTATATAAATTAAATTTTAAATAAATTTATTTTCTTTTTTTAAAATTAGTTTTAAATTTTAGATTTGATTTAAAATCAGTTTAAAATCTGATTTTGATTGAAATCAGTTTTAATTCTAATAGTTTATGTTAAGTTATTTTAAATTTAATTTTAAAAAATTAATTTTTAATATATTTATAAATTTAATTTTTAATATAAAACTACTTTGTTGTACTGTACCGTTACATTTAAATTAATATATTTTAATAATTTTTATTAATTATATTATAAAATATATTATTTTTAAAATTTATTTTTATTAAACAGAGTTTATGAAAGTTTAAATTAAAACTTATAAAAATAACAAAAAATTAAAATTTATAAAAAATATTAAGATTGAATAATGATAAAAATATTGTTATAATATTTTTTAAAATTAAAAACATAAATTTAAATATAAAAATAATTAATTCAAAATATCTGTTATATTTTTAATATAATAATTATATTTAAAAATTATTATTTTATATATTTAATTTTAATTATAAAAATTAAAGTTAATAAAAAATATTAGATACCTCCTTCGATCTTATTTTAAGAAATAAAAAATTAAATTGTTAGAATCAAGAAAAATATTAAGTCAGTTATTTTTTTATAAATATAAATTTTATTTTAAAAATATCTATGATATTAAATGATGTAGTTAGTAATTTGTATATTTAATTATACTAATAAAAGAAGAGTATAAAAAAATTTAATAATTAATGTATCTTGAATCTATCATTTGTTTCTTATAATAAAAATTAAAAAAATATTTTATTTCTTATAAAAAAAGATGAGAGGTAGTATAAAATAAAATCATAAAATTTTTTTATGAAATATTAGTTGTAAATTTTTACAAGATGTAAAAGAATATCAGTAATAAAAATATACTATAAAGGTATAATAAGTTAGGACATAAAATAATATCTCCGTATACAAAATGAATTTGGATAAAAAAAGAAAAAATGAGTTTTAGATTAAAAATATTAAATCGATTAAAAAATAAGATGATTTAAAAAAACAAATTTAATATAAATTAAGTTTTTTAAAATTAATTTAACATTATAACTGGTTTTTTTGACCGGTAGGTATATGACCGGGGAGTCCGAAATGTTTTGAAAACTCACGAGGGACCACAAAACATTCATTCCACATAAAATTAGAACTCTTTAGCCTAGTTTCTGTGCGGTCCTGCATGCAACTAGTCTTGGGTGTATACTGAACACACACACATGGACCATACGTATCTTGTATCACAATTTACCTGATCGTTGAAATCCATCACAAGTTTTTTGTATCACGGGCCTCTCTTTCAACACGTACAGGTTGCTAACACTTCTAGATGCTGCCCAGTAGTTCACATGTACCTGCAAAATGGATTACAATTTCACAATAAAACCTCCAATAATTGAGCTGGATGCTGGCATAGTAACAACGAAGAAGCGTCCATAAACTGTAATTTGATACATTAAAATTTGGTTAAAATATTCGTTTAATTCTCATAATTACCACTCGTTTATAAATAATTATATATTACTTCTTATACAAATATTTTATTACACTTCAATTTCTGACATATTACTCGGTAACAATAATTTAATAAATAGTAATTCTTACTAATAGTATTAAAATGACATGGATTGAACTCAATAAAACACTAATACATAAACTTTTAAGATATATAGACTAATTCATAATTAAATGGATGTGAATTACAAATACTAAATACATATTTTAACCTTCAAAAAATTATGCCCTAAAAAAAAAAATATTTATTGCGTAGGCAAACCAGCCATTTTTTTTTTTGTTATAAATAAGGCACACGAAGAGACACATTGGTTAACTATCATCGTATACATAGCGTTTTCTTATCACCTTAGCTAGCTCGAATCAATGGCCAACCAACACTCTCTCTTCCTCTATGAAAAACAGTGGTATAAGCAAAATTATAAAAGGGTAACGGATAGCTTGCTTTTAATCCTTCTCTTATTGCTGCTTTGTTACCGTGTTATCTCTGTCAACTATTACTCTTTCCCTTGGTTTGTTGCCCTTTGTTGCGAATCATGGTTCACCATCTCTTGGTTTTTCACCCTCACCACTCAATGGAATCCAGCAATTATCGAAACCTACCCAGATCGTCTCTTGCAAAGGTATCTAACTATTGACCCTTTAAACATGGCTATATATAGCCGTTTCAATGTAATGCCTATTTAATTAAGTAATTATCACTTGTCGTTGATATTACAGTTATTATTAAAAAATTAAAATATTTATTATATACTTTTAACGTTAACTCATAATATTTGTATTAATATTTTATCTTTTGTTAAACAAAGTTTAAACTAGTAAGAGACGACAAAATATACGGAACTTTGTGTCTGTATGTACTGAATTCATAGTTATTGTACTAAAAAACATATCATTTACTAATAATTTGACATTAGATTAGCTTTTATCCATATAGTTGTTTTAACGAAATTTAAAATATTAATATAAAACAATATCAATTTATACTAATAATATAGTATATTATATTAACAAATTACTCTGTTGATAAAAAAGATAATATACCATTAATAGATTAAATGTACAGCATTTTATTTTGTCAATATAGACCCTCGACATCTATGTACTCATAATTAATAATTTGTTATATAAAAAAGATTATATTAACGAAAATAATTCTAAATTTGTTAATAAATTACAATTTTTTTGTAGTTTTGATTATGCATTGCATGCCTTTTGTTGTTGGTTGGTGAGTTTTCTGAACAGGGTGCAAGAGCTTCCGGCAGTGGACTTGTTTGTGACAACTGCGGACCCTATGCTTGAACCACCCATAATAACAGTGAACACTGTGCTATCTTTATTGGCACTTGATTACCCAGCTCACAAGTTAGCTTGTTATGTTTCCGACGATGGGTGTTCCCCTCTTACCTTCTACGCTCTTCAAGAAGCTTCTGAATTTGCCAAGTTTTGGGTACCATTTTGTAAGAAGTACGAGGTGCAAGTTAGAGCTCCTTTCAGATACTTCTCCGATGAGCCTGAGGCCTCCAAGGCCAACAACATACCGGAATTCAGACAAGAATGGTTAAGAACGAAGGTATGTTCCACAATTATATCATAATGAAATTAAACATGCGTGTTAAGTTTTAGAGATAGGCAATGAGTTTAATTTGAGGACAAAGAAACAAAAACGGTAAGTCTACGGTTAAATTATTATTTTTGGTTTAGCATTTGACACCGTTTTCTTTTTGGATTTTATATAAAAAAAAATCTAATATTATAATTTGTATGAAGAATATTCGCAAATTGGCATTATTATTTGCCAAAATTATAATAATAGGTTTTTTTTTATTTTTAATTACGTCCGGTTTGAATAAGACTTTAAAAAAGTTCTTATAAGAAAAATAAATAGAACTTATGTCAATTAAAAGTAGTTTATATACTTCTCAAATTTTAATTTTAAATTATGAAAAATGTTTAATTTATTTTAGTACTCAATTCTTTACTTTACCAAATATTTATCTATAAGTTTATCCAAATTAAACTTTAGTTAAATTAGATTATATGAATTTAGTGTTTATTTTAAATTTTGTAATTTATTTGTAAAAATAATTTACGCCTCAATTTGATTCTTATATAAAAATAAATATTTTATTTTTTTATACAAATAATTCAATAAAATCTAACATTATTATAATTTTCATATACAAGAATTGATTTAAAAATATCTTTTATAACATTATTTTTTATATAAAAAAAGTGCAACCCTATCTTTTATGTAACAACTAAAATGAAAGTTGTGTGTAAAAAATAAATTATTAATTTAACTGAAGTTTTAATTCGGACGATGTCTCTGGCCATCAACCTCAAAATGGATTTGTCTGGTTGTGAGTTGGCAGGATATGTATGATCTTCTTAGCCGCAGAATAGAGTTAGAAGCGTCCCGAAAATGTCGACTTGATGGAGAATTTGCAGTTTTCTCAAACACTGAGAAGACAAATCATCCAACCATAATCAAGGTTTAACTCCAATTAATACTCCATTATTTACGTCAAGTATATATGAGACATCTGATTTTGATGTCCAAACATTGTTAACTTTTCATAATGCCATATAATCTTAATCTTTTAAGTCCATAAACTCCTACTTTTGTCACGTAATTGTGGCATACTGACATGTGTGACAATAGTTATCGTTTTAGATATTTTTAAGTGACAACAAATGGCCAACGCGGAATTTTTGTGTCTTTTTCGTCTCTATTAATGCATATCATCAGAACACTGCACCCTTCGTTTCTATTATCTTATTTCCAGAAATGAAACTATATATCATATATTCAATACTACACAAATAAAGTAAAATTGAGAAAAGAATAGAAATAGAGTAGCCCGGTACGTACGCATAGAATTTGTGGATTTGTTAGGTGCTGTTAGTATCATCAACATGTTTTGTAAAATAGATTGTTTGGTCTTTCTAAATATGATTTTATTTTATTTTGATTTTTTTTTATTACTTAGTGATAGTGTGTGATATTTATCTAATTATCTCACATTATATATCACCATAAAATTGTTTATTTAATGTGACATTACGGTTAAGTGATGATAATAATCACCTTTTAAAGAATTAAAATATATAAATTTATATAGTAGGGATTAAAAAACCTTTAAATTATACTATTTTTATCCAATCTTGCTCTATACTGACAAAACATTGATTTAATTATGAATTTGTAAGGTTTTATGGGAGAACAAGGAATGCCTTGCAGATGGGTTGCCACATTTGATCTACATATCTAGAGAAAAGAGGCCAAAGCAGCCACATCATTTCAAGGCTGGTGCCATGAACGTTTTGGTGAGAAACTGATTTCTTTAATTTCTTTAAAATTGTGAAACGTGAATATCACATTATCAAACTATTAATGTAGTTAGAGTTTAGTTAAAAGTTATATATATATATATATAACTTGTTGCATTAGTCACTACATGATGTGTCATCTATTCTATTCAAGTCAAGTGATTAGCATACTATAAACACTTACATATTTAATTTGTTAACTCTTTTATACGTTTAAAAATTTGTAAACGTGAATATAATGTAAAGTTATATAATTAATAATAATAAAATAAATATAAAACGCATGTTCAAACACCTACATTTTTGTCATGTTTTTCAACACAAACTTGTAGCATCTTTTTTGTTATTCTTTAACTCCTTTACTTATTTAATTAAACTTCCCTAATTGTTTTTCAGGCAAGAGTCTCTGGGTTGATGACCAATGCTCCCTTTATGCTGAACGTGGATTGTGATATGATTGTAAACAATCCAAAGATTGTTCTGCATGGGTTGTGCGTTTTGCTTGATTCCAAAGGAGAAAAGGAAGTTGCATTTGCTCAATGTCCCCAACAATTCTATGCTGCACTCAAGGACGATCCCTTTGGAAATCAGCTGGTAATTTTGTTTAAGGTGAGTGTAATTAAATACTTATATATTTATAGAAAGTTGATTCACTACTTCTAAAAAGAAATATATATATATATATATATATATATATATATATATTTATTTATTTATTTAAATAATGCAGCACTTGGCAGCTGGATTAGCTGGAATCCAAGGACCTTTCTACGGAGGAACAAACTGCCTACATAGAAGAAAAGTTATTTACGGTCTCTCTCCAGATAACGTGGAGAATGGTACTTGTTATTTCAGAGATATATTTATCGATTTCATGTTTCGAAGATGCAACTTTAGTGGTGGTCTATTATATTGTTGGTTGTTTAATCCTATGAAGAGTAAACATTCAAGTGAAAACACCATTTTAACTAATTGCAACATCAGTTTACTCTCTCAATCAATCACTCACTCACACACACATATATATATATATTAGGTCCTTTAAAAAATATTCATAGAGTATCTCAATAATATAAATTCATTTTTAGTCACTTGATTATACAAAATCAGAATTTCACTTTGTCTTTCAATCATACAAATATGATGTTTTGGTTTAGGCTCCAACGTCATGGTATATATGTATATAAGAACGTTTTTCATGGTACTCTTCTTGATCAAGAAAGTTTAAGGTATGTTTGAATTAGATTAAATTTTAGATAAAATATTGATTTCCAAAGAGGGATAAAAGTCTTTTGATTATAAGTTGATTTGAGTACAAAATATATAAATTAATTTCATCATATTAAATTAAAAATTTATTATAAATAGATTGATAGTGTAGAATTTTTTTTAGTCATATAAAAATTATATCTATAATATATTCTATAATTTAATTTCTGTTGTTTATCTTACATCTTCTAGCTAATTTTTTAGGAAACAGCATGTCAGAGGAGGAATTAAAACAAAAATTTGGAGCTTCAAAGGAGGTTGTGAAATCAGCAGCTCATGCTTTGAAAGGGAGAACATATTCCCCTAATCATATTAATATTTCAAAGGCTGTTGAAGTAGCAAGCCAAGTTGCTGGTTATGGATATGAATATGGCACTGCCTGGGGCAAGCAGGTCTCTAAGGAAAACTTTTTCACTGTTTATGTATATTAAATTGGTTAAATTAATTTTAGGTTTTTAAATTATTTAAAAAATTAAAATAAATTTTATATTTTCAAAGGTTTAATTAATTTTTTAAACTTATAAATTATTTTTAATTGGATTCTTTGTTATTATTTCATTAAATTAAATAATTAAATGATTTAGAGACCGAATTTTTAATTTAATTTTCAATAAATTTTAATATTATATAATAAATTTTGACTAAACTGGTGTATTTAATGGAATTCTAACGAAAATATGGTCAGAAATGCAATTATAGAATCATTAGGAAAACTTGTAAAATATAAGAATTTATTTTAATATACCCAAAGAGTTCAAAAGCTTATAAATTAAATTAATATTTAAGGATTGTCTTTCTAAGTTTTTTATTTTTATTTTTAAGTATTGAAATTGAAAGTCGATGAATTTCAGGTGGGTTGGAGGTATGGATCATTGACAGAGGATGTACTTACTGGGCTGAAAATACATGTAAAAGGTTGGAGATCAGAATTGTGTACACCGAACCCAATTGCATTCACAGGTTTTGCTCCAGGAGGTGGCCCAACTTCAATGGCCCAACAAAAGAGATGGGCCACAGGAGTTCTTGAGATCTTCTTTAGCAAGCACTGTCCTATTATTGGTACCCTTTTCCATAAGCTTACTTTGAGGGAATGCTTTGCTTATATGTGGATTACCAACTGGGGCTTGGGCCCAATCTTCGAAGTATCCTATGCTTGTCTCATTGCATATTGCATCATTACCAACTCCAATTTCTTGCCTCAGGTGAGCATTGAAAACTCACACACACACACACACACACAAAATAGATACTACTAGTATCAATTATTTGTGTAAGCATATCGATATACAAGTATTTGTGTAAGCAACTTAGCTTTCTTTTCAAACAATAAAAATAAACTTCATGTTTTAATTATCTAATGTTTACATTTATTTCCTACAAATATAACTTTGCATTTTGTTCAATCCAGGACATGGGCATGTGTATTCCTGTGGCATGTTTCGTAATTTACGCAGTATATACTCTCTTGGAATACTTGGCAGCAGGGATGTCAATAAGAGAATGGTGGAATAATCAAAGGATGTCAAGAATAACACCCATGAACGCTGGCTTTTGTGCATTTCTTACTGTCATACTTAAGTTGTTGAGAATATCTAACACTGTGTTTGACATAACAAAGAAAGATGTACCATCACATGCAAGGGATGGTGGAGAGGATAAGGATGCTGGTAGGTATACCTTTGATGAGTCCCTAGTTTTTTTGCCAGGCACTACCATTTTGCTTATGCAATTGGTAGCAATTGTTATCAAGTTATTGGGGTTGCAACCAACTCATAGTGGAAATGGGTGTGGACTAGGTGAGATTTTCTGTAGTGTTTATTTGATAGTTTGCTATTGGCCATTTCTTAGAGGACTATTTGAGAGGGGAAAGTATAGAATTCCCTTGTCTACAGTGTGCAAATCAGCTATCTTGACATGTTTCTTTGTACACCTATGTAGAAAGAACAATGCTGGTTGATGGAGATAAGAAACTAGGAAAGTCATGGCTAATGTAAGGACTATTTTTCATTTTGTGCAAATTATTAATTCAATAGGAATATTTTTATACAGAATAGAATGATTCCACCTTAATCAAAATCTCAAATTTGTTTTTTAATTAACTCAAAAAATATAATTTTTATATACTCGTGTTGACATTGTCTACTAAAGAATCCTAATATTAACTACCTTGAGTCCATAACTCTGGACTATTTTTCTTTAAGATTCCAATTCAATATTACTGATTAAATTAGAATAATTTTCAATTAATTTATATGCATGCTCACTAGTTTTTTCATAGCATTTATACTGTGAAGGTTTTGGTGCCCATATATGTGAAGGATCAAAATCCTTTGTCTCCTTCCATGTCCATCCTATGAGAATTTGACAACTCAATTAAAATTAGGCACATCAAATTCACATGTATCCAAACATTTTTTTAACACCGTTATCTCTCTATCTGTCACATTTCACTGTCCTTCCCTAATGAACAATTGCTCAAGAGGAATGAACAACCAAAACAAGCCAAATTCGTATGAGATAAGGAATGCAATATCAACATCACGTTCTTCTCAATCCCAAACAATTGAATTTGCTACAATATCATAAGTCTAATGCACAGATTTTTTTCGGTGACCAACAGTTAAATTCTACTTGATGAAATGGATTTCTTTTCTAATACTTAAATTCGTATGAAATAAGAAATGGAATATCAACGTCAAATTCTTCTCGACCCCATACAATTGAATGCGCTACAATATCGTAAGTCCAATGCACTCAACTCACGTTTCTGAACTTAAAAGGGTTAATGTAGAATTTTAACTGAGTTATCAAATTCTCATTGGAAAGGTAGGGAAAGGGGACTGAGAGGAGAAACAAGATTGAATCCACATTCAATTATAATTTTATATAAAACTCCAAAAAATTGTAAGATTTCATCTCAAAATAATGAAAACTCCTATTTCATATCACAAATGTTAATTAGTGTCCTTTAGGACACTGGTTAAATTAAAAATAAATAAAAAAATGTCAAAAAATATTATTAATACACATTCTTCTTTAATTTTTATGCATTATAACATAATTTTAAATATTTTTAATTTCTAATTTAAAATTAATGCCTTAAAAATATTAATTAGCAAGACACGTTTATTAATTTGCTATGTTTACGATCCTAATATATCTTTTTTCAACCATCCTTAAAATGAACATTAGATGGTTTATGACAATAATTTTTATTGCAATAAGTAATATGTTAAGAAAAGGACCCTATTTTATCTTATACTATTTTATAAAAGATAAAAATCAAACAATGTTAAAAAGCGTTTGATATTTTTTTAAAATAATCAACATTAAAATCCATTACTTACAAAAGAAAAAGAAAAAGAAATCCTAATTCTGGTATGGAAACCACAGCTGGTGTTCCCTGTTGTTGGTATTTCAGTTAAATAAGAGCTGTGAAAGTAAAGTAATATTTTTCCATCAACTGTTAGACAGTTAACAACAGTCCAGAGATCGAAAAATTAGTTTAAGAAGGAAAAAAGAAGAAGAAAAAGAAAAAACTGCTAATAAATAAAGGGAAAACAAATATTAAAAATGGAGAAAGGGAAGACAGCAGAGAAAGCAGTGGCTCAATTTTGTCACTTGACATTGCCGACGGCTACAAAGATACAATCATACAACCTTAACTTTCTCTCAATACCCATCATTTGTTTCTCACTCTAGATTTCAGTTGTTGTTGTCTTGTGTTGAGAGAGAGAGAAAGAGAGAGAGAGATGGCTATGAACCAATCAAGGGTTGTATTGCTGAGGGTGGGTTTAGTGGTGGTGGCTCTGTGCATAGCAGGGTACATAGTGGGTCCCCCTCTCTACTGGCATTTCATGGAAGGTTTGGCTGCAGTTAATCACTCTTCTGCTTCTTCTTCATGTGCCCCTTGTGTCTGTGATTGCTCTTCACAACCCATCCTTTCCATTCCCCAAGGTAAGTGCTTCTTCTCTCTCAGATCTGATTTCATCAATTTCTTAATTACCCATATCAAGATCTCGTTAAGAACTTAACATTTTCTTATCTGGGGATCCAATCCAGGGTTTGAATCACAATAAACGAAGTTTTTAAGATCTGGTTCAAATGAAATTCCTTTTTTTTAACTATACAAACTGGTAATTAGTTCAATCATGGGAATTGAATCATGGCTCCTTCTGAATCATGTGCTGCATGAGTGATTTGAAATGACACTTTTAATCCAACTTGTCAAATGATGATGCAGATTGGTTTGCTTCTTTAACATTACAATGCTAGGGTTTTTGAGGTTTTTCCTGTGTGAGACTAAAGTAGATCAGCGTAACTTTACAGCTTGCAAATTTTTACATGAATAGCTTTACGGGACTGGTTAGCACAGTTCCTAAAGCTATGAAAATGGTAGGGAAAGACTTAATGAATTGCTGAGAATAATTTGTGTTTGAATTTTGAAATACATGTTAGTGCCTAAGAAACTTGATCTACTACTCCCCCACCGCCCAAAAATATCTCCCTTGTATTCATGTTATACTTTTCCAAAGTTTTAAATGTGATATTAAGAAGACCTTATGAATAAAGTAATTGTCAATTGTTCATCTAACTAGAAGTAGTTAAAATTAAAAATTGTAGCCTAATTATATTATCAGTTCAAACTAATATGAAACTAAGCACCGTAGCCTTGGGTACTATTGTTTTTGGTTATCAATAATAAATAGACAAAATCAGTAATCACCTAAATTATAATTTCAATTTTTTGTTATAGGACAGAAATTCTACTTCCAATTGAACATCATCGTGGTTTTATCATAATGTACTGCTCCTTTCTCTTCATCTAACTGCAAATTAAGCGTGTACTTATTTCAGTTTTTTTCTGTCTCTGCAGGGCTGAGCAATACTACCTTTGGAGGTTGGTTTCTGTATGAATAAACTACACTGAATTATATATATAAAAAAATTCATTTTGTTCTTGTTATACCTTTTCTTTGTGACTTACACTTGTAGTATGATATTAGGACTGTAGTAGTTGAAGTAACATTTTTAAGTCATTTTAAGCAGTACGAACTGAATAATGGTGTTTTATGTCAATCCAGTAGTCATGTCAATGTGCTAAACAAAATTTGGTACTTTTGTTGCAAAATATTGTCTGAAGCAACTCAAAATCTATTGTATGTAAATAGAAGTATCGAAACTAATAAGAATGAATGTATCTTTCATGTTGCTTCATGGTTCAGGTGTGCTGTTACTCACTTTAAATATGAGTTAAAAATCTTAATCTAGTACTGGGTAAGCCTCTGCTAGAAAATGACATGAAAAGCTCTAGAACATAAATTTTATTTTGCCTGCAGACGTATTGTCAAAAAACATTGTTTTGTTAATGCTTTTTTGGATTCAACTAACTTTAACAATGCTTTTTCTTCTCTTGATTGGAACCGTTATCCAGATTGTGCAAAGCCTGATCCAGAAGTGAGTGGAGACACTGAAAAGAATTTTGCAGAGCTGTTGTCGGAAGAGCTCAAGCTCCGGGAAAATGAAGCCGTGGAAAGCCAGCAACGGGCTGACATGGCTCTGCTGGAGGCAAAGAAGATTGCATCCCAGTATCAGAAGGAAGCAGATAAGTGTAATTCAGGGATGGAAACATGCGAGGAGGCTAGGGAGAAGGCTGAGCTGGCATTAGTCGCGCAGAAAAAGCTTACTGCATTGTGGGAACTTAGAGCTCGTCAGAAAGGATGGAAAGAAGGGGTAGCCAAATCTCATGCTCAGTCTCAAGGGAAAGTACAGACTGCTTAGATAGAAACATACCTTGGCCTCCATGGAGTGATTGTTACATAATAGTTTTCAAACAAGTTATTTAAATGCTGGCAATAGCAAATCATTGTGGCTCCCATATGTGTTCTTCTGAAAGGTCTAGTGTAAAATACAAATGTTGTTGTATTCTAACATCCATTTTTGGGCTGTGTTGATTCCACATGTACCACTGTTTAAAGCTAGAAATTATTAAATGCTCTGATTTGAACCTTGCTTCAGAGTTCAGATTGTTGTTGCTTCTTTGTTGTATTTGATAAAATTAAATATTAATTGGCAGAGACTGAAGGAGAATCTCGTGGACCATCAACTAAAGGCTGGTTATTCAGTTCTTAGAACTTGGTTAATTTAAAGAATCCATTAACATTTTATTTTGATGTTACTCATTAACCATTTCTATTAACGATAACTCAAAATGCGTCTTCCTGTATAAATATAACTACTAAGCCACTAAGCCCTAACAATCACAAAATGACTTATGTAAGTAGTTTCATAATTAACCGTTATATTTAAATAAGAGGAAAAATTAATTTAAAATGAAATAATGAGTATTATTAAGAGTATGCCGCAATTTATTTAAGAAAAAAATATTTAATTTTGCTTAAAAATAAGATATTACTTGTTTTAGATTAATCAAAACTTTTATAGAGATTTGCCGAAGAATGTGACGAAGCAACATGCACCCGAAACTTTGCATGTGTTTAGACGCTTATTTAGTATCCACTCATTATTTATCAATTTTTATTTAAACCACTAAAAATTAACACCATATATTATGTTTTTTAACTTTTCTATTTACGCGTATTCCAGAAAAACACCACCACAGAGACACCTTTTGATGTCCTATTTAGATGTTCGTTAGATATTTTCCATTATTTATCATATATGTAAGTCAAGGTATGATTCAGTTAGATAAATAATTAATTTAACTTATATTAAGTGTAATTAAATATGATGTATTATCCAAAAAAAGAATACAAGTAAATTTGTGACTATTTCAGTTTGATAATTAATAGAAAATGAAAGGTGTAGAGGAGTGCGATCCAATAATCAGTCATCGGCCATCAATTTATGCTTTTGATATATACTAACGGTAGCAATTCTCATGAAAGCCTGAGCATCGGACACACGTTAAACGAGCTGAACTAAAGAATACAAATGAGAGCCATACATTCGTTGAATATTTTCATGTACGGGGAGATAATGGACATCACGATAGGTCTGACATTTTCTTGACGAGACTTAAACCACCATAACCAAAAAGCTGATATTTGCAACCTCCAACCCACAAGATACTTATTGCTCCCTCCGGTGCTTTCTTGGACTTGTTTCACCTGAAAAATCCCCATCTGAAAATCAAAGTAAAAATATGCGCGTCATGTGTCCGAGTGAATGAATCAAGACCAAAATATCAATTGATATTTTAGTTATATTTGTAATGTTCATATTGGAGTTCAACCTGTGGACTAATTTTGAGTTCAGGGTTGTTATCAACAATCATCTAATGATCTATTTATTATTATCCTAAAAATGATTAAGTTCATAAGACGATGTCTATGAATTAAAGTAAGAAGGCACATACATCCAAGTGTTTAGAATTTAGATAAATTTATTTTACCGTGCAGAAAGATTTTAACCAAAAGTTTTTTGAGAAAATTTAAGGAAAAAATATTTCTCAAAAACAATCTATCCGCAAACATCATGCACTAATCTATGGGGGAAAAAAGAAAGCAACTGTAAGAGCACTCACCAATCCATTTGCTGATTCCTGGGCAAAAGAATAATTGAGAGAAGTATCTAAACTGTTCCTTTCAGAGAGTCTCCAACATGTGGAAGGCGTACGGCAAGATCATCCAAGTTGGGGAAGCTTTGAATGCTCAGACCTTTCTCGTTTGCCAAATGCAATAGACATATGAAGCACAGATGAGGAGAGATGTCACTAATGTTTGCAGCAGCATTGCATTCGCTAGGAAAGTCGGCCAATATACTCCTGAAAGATACGGTGTCTTTTTGACCCTTCAGAATAAATAAAGGGTCAAAAAACAATTTAATGCAAGAATTAGAACTTTAAATTCAACCACAAAGAAAAAGTACTTAAATTGATAATCTACTTAGACATAGAACAGTAATGAAAAAAATATACAGCGTTAGCAATGGAACATAATCCTAAAAAAGGTTGAAACAACACAATATCGCAAAAAAAAATGTAGCAATCATTTTATTTTAGTGGGGCAAAACCAAAAGGGAATGAAATGTTTATAACTGGAAGACAAAATTATATACAAGGCATTCTTAAGAAATAGAGAAATTTTGACATACCTGAAAAGGAAGTTTAACAGATTCTTGAACGTGGTCCCAAAGTGTAATTTTAAGTGCCTGAACATCAACTTGTTTGGAAGTCTTGTCATACTGGACTTCAATTTTATTGACCTTTGTTATTTTAAAATAAAAATAAACTTCAGCTCTAAATGAAGAGGAATGTGTATATAAAAGCCGTTATCCTTTCATTAGTTTGTACAATATCTAAAATAACATATCTAGAGCAAGTGTAGATTATTTAACAAAACCCACCTGACGAGGCTGAGTAATAAGAGTGTTGGAGTCCTCCATGTCACTATGAAGATCACCTTCATAGTCACCAGAGTCGTCCCCACAAACACTTCCATTATCCCACGAAGGGAACGATTCACACTCATTGTATTGATCTCTAGATCCATCTGCAAAAAAACACCGGAGCTTGATATACAATCTGGTGACAACGAAAAATATTCTAAATGTTCTCTAAATTTGAAAACTACATGCACCCACATTTACCTGAGAACCTTTTTGTCCTCCTCCCAAGACACTAAAGAAAGAATAGAAATCGTCAGATATAAAATAAATATTGCTTCAAACCAGAGAGCACACTGAAACTCATCCTTGTATCTTAAAGAAACTACCTTCACATTAGGGAGAAGAAATAACTTGACAAGATCCTCTGGCTCATAATGGCAGTCCTCTGGAAGTTTTGTATTGCAAGGCAATCTGCTTTCAGGAAGCAGTAACGATTTGGGATTCTTGGGAAGAGAAAATATATCTAGCATTTTCTCCTCAAGAGAATTTGTGAAATTTAAATCAACTTCGGCCTGTTTCTTACTCCTTGGCTGCCTAGTTTTCACAGTCGACCCATCTTCAGATATAGGATGAACCTCTGAGACTACAATAAAGATTCTCCAAAAATTACCATACTGAATTACAAAAAACATATAAGTATTACAATCTTATCTGGCCTCTAAACCCACCTTTGGATCTTCGATACTTCCAATGATCGGGACCTGCCCATGCGTTTTGTTTTGAACTAAAACCCAGACTCAAAAATAAATAGCCGTCAACATTTTCAAATCTGTCATCCATATCGCGGTCTGGGGAAGGAAATGCCTCATTTTCCTAAAAGATTTAGAATGTTATAAAAACAAAGGCATCATTAACTTGCTAAAATATTTAAAGAATATTTTTAAAAGCACATTCAAGACAGTCATAGATGTTTCCATGACCAATACAAAAACCTGAGGGTAACTAGGAAAACTTGGATCTTCATCATTACAGTCTAGATCAGCAACAACTGTTTGATCGTCGTGATCATCACTCCAGGATGTGCAGTTTTCATATTCTTCTTTGTCAAAACCTTTTTCACCATTAAAAGCAGGATCAAGATCTGCAGCCGAATTCTGGTCATGAAGTTGAAAATCAGTAGGCCTTCTATTACTTTCATCAAATTGGTTTACTATAGTCCTAAGAGTTGGAGAAATTTCATCCTTCACACGCAGGTCCAATACCATCTGCTCAATACAATCTATAAAGAAAAGTAAGCCACCATTATCCACATTAAATGTGTCCTTTTGCAGATGTAACAACAGTTTCACCAGATTTTTCAAGATGCAACACACCTCTGGCAAAAGAAAGATCGACAGTATCTGAAAAATCAGGTTGATTTTGGCTTGTCATACACTTAGCAGGCACTTCTAGTGAATCAAAGAGCACCCTACATCGACCATATACACCAAGATTATTCATTAAAAGACCCTTGGCTCCTCCTTCATCAAATTTTGCTGTTGTCTGGCGATAGAGAGGATCTACAACAAATGCAGCTGAAATACAGAGAGTAATATATACATTTTCAGCACAAACTCCTCAACTCCACACCCCAATCAAATAATAGAAATAGAATAGGATTTGAGATCACCATCAAACTTCTTTACATTAAGAACCTCAAAAGACGATTCCAGTGTTGACAAAGGGGACAACTGCATGAACAAAACTCTTAAAACTCAGAAAAAAGTTTCATTAGCAAGGCAATTCCAGAAATCTAAATACCGCAGACCTTTTTGTTCGTCTCTTTCTTGCCTTCTTCATGTCCACTCTCAATATTAGCACCCTCCTGATTAGTGTCTGACAATTGTGACTTAGCATTAGAATTTTGAATTAATTAAGAAGTAATAAGAACAAAATATGTTTCACTAGAAATACTACAATAAGAAAGAAAAACAGTCTTCCATAGCCCCCACCCACAATGCAAAATAAAAGTATAAAAAAATAGATAAGAAGGTAAAATTTGCATTAGGCTTGATAAAAGGGTATTTAAACTATAACCTTGCTCATCAGCTTCTTGGCCTGCTCTATTCATCCCACCGAGAACTTTATATGCCTCGGAATGTACTGAATCCACCCTTAATGAATAAATTTTGACTCCAGCCTCAAGAGTGCAGCTTGCCTGCCCAGACAAAATTTCGATGAATATATACATTCTACACAATCATAACATTTCCTCCTAGTGTTATTACTGTGAAAATGATATTACATTCACCCATAATTGCAAATACATACACAAAGAAGCGACTCTTCCGCATAATATAGTGATTGAGTGCGCGAACCAATTTAAACGCACGTGCCATTGCATTTGGATTTCTAATTATTGCATATGATATAACAATTTGCAGCAAAACCCTATTTAACAAAGTTATCAAACTTCGAATTAAACAAAACGTACCTTTTGAAAATTAGTCTCTGCATCATCTTCTTCCTCGACCTTAATAATATCAGTGAGGTGATCAATCAAGTTCAACTCCCACGTGTTTTTCTGATTAATTTTCTGCATACACGTAAATTCACAAAAATAATTAAAAAATCTCAAACGGGATTCGAGTGGCGTCCAAGTGGAATACGAAATTGTCGTTGTTGTTTTACGTTTTCGCTGGCGAGCTTAATGCAGTTTTGGAACAAATCAAGGATCTGGCGTTTGTTTAGGCAGGGATCGGAATTGGAGTGAAGAGGTTGGGAGAGGGCGAGGCTCTTGCGGCGGATAGCGGCGGCACGAGCGGCGCGTGCCTGGGCACGTTCGAGCTGGTCGTCGTTGGAACCCAAGAAGAAGGGGCTGGTTGGAGATTGGATGCGGAGCCTCTGCTTCTGACCCAGCGTGGGATTGGGGCTTAGGGTTTCGGCCATGGAAATTGGAGGGCAAAAACGATGATAGGTTTTGGTTCGGAAGTGAGAACGTCGGAATCAGAGAGATCTGTGGGAGACGGGAATGCTTAGAGCTTTCCCTCCATTTCTGTTATTTGAATTGGTAGTTCTTCTTTTCCTTTCAAAAAATAACATCACGTGTCTAAAAATCAACCAGGCCTCTCTGACTATATTTTTTTAAAATGTTATAATTTTTATTGAAAGTTATATAAAAAAAATACTTATTTTTAAATTTTTAATCTATTTTAACATATTTTTAATAAAAAAATATAAATTATCATTTTCTTAATACATATTATTAAAATTCTAGTTAACATATTTTTTAATCTATTTGATATCTCTCTTACCTCACATAAATTCAAACTCTTGGGCAAATTAAATAAAAGAACAACCCCACATTATTATTTTCGTTTCTCTACGTCCAAACAGATAATTCAAATAGAGGAACTTTTTATTTTGAAGTATCTTTTTTATTTAGGTTTGACTCAAAATAAAAATAAATAAATAATTGTTATAATTAATACCTATTATCATTGAATTCATTAAATACATGCATATTTAATTAACCAATGTTTGGATTAACGAGTAGAGTTAACCTCTAAAAAAATTGTTGGTCAAAGTTCGTAGCTCATAAGCCATTTATCATACCTAAACCATCCAACACTAGTTCTCTTATCGTACCAAACACAAAATGTCCCTTTCTTCTTGATGGGCTTCACATCACACTATACTCAAAATCCATCCTTAACACTCTGATTACTTTACTCGTCTGTTAAACTCTTAAATCATTATATCGAGTACGAAATCTTAAAATATATTCTCACATCAAATTATTATTTTTTCTTTTAGTTTTAAAACTATTTCTTTGTGTAATATTCTACATTTTTAAATTACTGTGACATACAAAATTTTATCATATGAAATATTCAATATACTTAATTTTATATTGCCATCAGTTCGTCCTTCACAACACTTCAACTGAGTCATTCATGCAAATGCTTTAGATAATCAAACATAATAATCGTTATTGAATAAAAATTAGTATATCACAGAAAACAGTATTCTTATTGTTAAATAACTATTAAAACGCATATCTTAAGAAAAAAGATGTGTTTCATTATTAATAATGAGAGTTCTACTTTGTTGAATAAAATTAGTAAGTTTCTTCGACATTATATAAATGTTTTTAAATTTGAGTAAAAATGAAATGCCATTATTATTAAACAATGGTGACATCATGTACTTTAAAAAATGCATTTAATAATATATAAGGATAAAATTATAAAAAAAAAGTCACTACAAAAATAAGAATTTGAAACGAAGAAATAAATTGAGAAAATAAAATATGTGAATACAAATTAAAACAAATTATTTTACAATGTTTAATATAAGATGTCAAAATTCAATTTCAATTGAAAACTGACTAAAATTAAATAATAACATTTAAGAAAAATAAAAATAAAATAAAAATCAATTATCCTTACCCTACCTTATTATTCAATTCTTATACCATATTATATTTTTTTTCTTATCATATATTCACTGCCCTGAATTTAAGCTTATCATAATTCAATTATAAAATTTCAAGCATAAGACCCCCAATCAAAGTCATATTTCCATCAATAATCAATAATCCAAGTATTTAGACATACGTGTCCATTCCCCCGTGATGCATTATTTATATTAATTGTCTTTGCTCCAAATCAAATACAAAGTAGTTAGCAACACTACAAGAAAATAAAGAATACAGAAACGTGTCAAGGGCAAGAGAGTAATTTCGGCCGACACTCCCTACGCATATTCGACTCTTGTTTGTTTGGGTTCTCTCTCTTCTGGTCCATTGCTTATTAATATTCTCCTTTTCCAGGTTTGGTAGGCGGCACCTCCAAATCGGACTCTTCCTTTGTTCTTCTTATTCTTTTTTTCCAATTCCCTATTCCTCAATTTATCCAACACCTTCTCCTCAAGTTTCCCGAAACACACATAACTAAAATACGTTCCTTAACATCTGCCACTCTGGTCCGTTAAGAAAGGAAAAGTCCACGCACCCTTTTTCCCTCCCATCACCCATCATTGAAAATCACCCCAAGTTTCGTTTTTGATCTTCTGTGGTTGCTTCGATTTCAATTGGGTATTGAGAATGTTTAACGGTATGATGGATCCCGAGTTGATCAGGATCGCTCAGGAACAGATGAGTCGCATGTCACCCGCCGAGTTGGCTCGGATCCAACAACAGGTATCTTTTCTCCCCCTTGTTCTGTTTTGTTTTCTGCAATTGCGTTTGTGGATTTGTCGCATTGTGTTGAACCAACGCTGATTCGCCGTGAATTCAACCCTCTCAGATGCCCCTTGTTGGAGGAGAAAAATTTTGTTGTTTGATGAAATTCTTCTTGTGTGTGTGTGGGGGGGCGGGGGGTTGTGATTTGTGTTTCCCTTTAAGCGCCTAGATGCGCGTGAGATTGAAAGTTTAAATCTTCGTATAATTTTGGTTTCGCTGTGTGAATTCTTTTAATGTCCGTGTTTTGTGGAGATTTAAATCTGAACGGGAGAGTATGAAGTGTTTGGGTCTAAGATAAGTGTTTTGGTTTTGTTTTTTGATGTGAAAGAGCATGTTTTGGTGTGTATAGGATAAGTGTTAATTGTGGTTTTGTGCAATGTTTTTGTGGGATTGTAGATGATGTCTAATCCGGAGCTGATGAGGATGGCCTCGGAGAGCATGAATAACATGAGTGCTGAAGACTTTAAACATGCTGCTGAACAGTTAAAGCATACACGTCCCGAAGAAATGGCGGATATTGGTGAGAAGATGGCCAATGCAACACCTGATGAAGTAGCAGCAATGCGTGCCCGTGTTGATACCCAGATCAAATATCAATTAAGTGCGGCTGAGACGTTGAAGAAGCAGGTGAGTCCTATAGCATGAAACTTCAACTGGCAGTGTCTTTGTGAAACTTGAATCATAAACCACAGGCATTTTTTTAATCTTATATTGTTGAATTCTGTGTGACTGGGATGAATCCAGGTTATAGAGTAAAAACCTAGATTGTCCACTGAAAAACCAAATTATGATGCCTTGAGGAAAATCCGTAAATGAAATTACACTTGAATAATATGCTTCAGTTCATTTGAATGTGATCGGAAAATACACTTGCTGTTATTGCATCATAAGACATGATTGTTACTCTGTCTATTACCCTGATAACTGATTATAGTTTTTCAATTTCTGTAAGACTGGTTGGAGAGTCTACCATGCGCCTTGATGAACTAAAATTAAATTTTGCAGGGAAATGAATTTCATAATCAAGGAAAATTCAGTGATGCTCTGAAGAAGTACATGCTTGTAAGTAAACATTTTGTGGTTGGTTAACTGTCTGTCTCACACGCCTCTTTCTCTTGATCATCCATGTTTGGAGGAAATTGTTACTTTTTTGTCTATTACATTCTATTACATTCTATTACATTATTTTCATTTTTTCATATTCTAGGCTAAGGAAAACATTAAAGACATTCCATCTTTCCAAAGTAGAAAGCTTCTCTTGGCATGCTCTCTCAACTTGATGTCCTGTTACTTGAAGACAAGGCAGTTTGATGAATGCATAAAAGAAGGTTCTGAGGTATTCAATATTTCAATATTCCATTTCTTTAATAGCCTACTGCAATATTAAGTAGTGGTATGATAAGTACCTTGGGAAACCTATACCACAAAAGCTAGTCATTGTAGTTGGAGAGATCAAGGCCTAATAAATTCCATACTAGCTACTTGAGTCCCACTCCCATACTTTGCAATTGGATCCTAACAATAACATGATATCATGAGGAAATTTAGCAGCCAGAGAAGATTAGAAGGGAAAATTATGTCGTAAATGTATTATATAAGGACATAATGCTCCCATTTATGATGCTTATGTAAAAATGCAAATACTGTCTTAGATTGTAATTTGCTGTTATATCAAGTTCCTTGTTTCCTCGTACAAGTGCATTAATGTGTTTTATATATGGTAGGTTTTGGCATATGATGCAAAGAACCTTAAGGCTCTTTATCGAAGAGGTCAAGCATATAAGGAACTAGGTCTACTAAGAGTAAGCTTCTTGTGACTCAATTAACGTTTTGACATTAAGGTTGCTGTTGTATTTAGTTTATATTTAATTCCATTCTTTGTTTTTTTAGGATGCTGTTACTGATTTAAGTAAGGCACTTGAAGTGTCCCCTGATGATGATACAATTGCAGAGCTTTTAAGGTGTGATCTTGCTCCCTTCCACATACTTGCACGGTTGCACCTATCTTAGAAACAGAATTATTTATTGATCTACTCATCACATATATCACCCATCTGCTGTTGTAATTGATGAGTCTCTGATTATGATTTATGAGTGATTTTTCATCAAATTCTACTATAAAATAAATCAATGTAAACAATGGATTGTATCCTGAATGAAGTAAATCTGTGATGTGTTTACCATTCTGTTTTATTATTATTATTATTATTATTATTATTATTATTATTATTGAATCTTGTATAAGCTATAGTAAAGGAATTGATATATTGGAAGTAAGCTAATATGAAATGCTTATTTCAGGGACACCAAGGAACAGTTGGCAAAGGAAGGTGGTGACTGTGCACCTGGAAGTATGTGTTTTTCCCATTTATTTTCTTTTTCACCTTTCACTTTGCCTATGCCCCTTGAGCTTTATGGTTCTAGTAGATGTTAAATTTAAGTTGACCTTACTGGCATTCTGCACACAGGGCTGGTAATTGAAGAAATAACTGATGAAGTTGAGGCTGTACCTTCTGGAAACAACAGAAGCCCTTTGGAACAATCAGTGGTTCAACCAAAAAAATATGGTGACTCCTCTGAGAGTAGCAGTACTACTAACAATGGAAATAAAAAAACAAATGCAGACAGTTTAGATTCATTGAAAAAAGATCCAGAAGCTGTCAGGTAATTAGCATTTCTGTAAAAGGTGCTGGGCACATTATGTTTCTTTGTTTTTAATTAATCGTGGTCTATAAAAGATTTACATTCTTGTTTTTTATTCTATAGATCATTCCAAAACTTCATGTCAAATGCTGATCCTGCCACACTGGCTTCTTTGAACACTGGACAATTCAAAGATATATCTCCAGATATGATTAGAACAACCTCAGACATGATTGGTAAGATGTCACCTGAGGAACTTCAAAAAGTGCTTGACATGGCTTCTTCATTTCAAGGGGACAATCCATTATTTAGAGGAGGTTCCCCTGCTTCTCCTTTGAACGCTGGATCAATTCCTCCCAATGTGACACCTGACATGTTTAAAGCTGCGAGTGATATGATAAGTAAAATGCCTTCAGATGACCTAAAGAAGATGTTTGAAATGGCATCCTCACTGAGAGGGAAAGAATCTATGCCATTGTCTGTAGACGAGATTGAAAGAAATGTTTCCCATTCAAACTTCCCATCATCAAGTACTAATGCTTTTGGGGAATCAAGTGCTCCACGTAATGCATTTTCAAATATGAGAAATTCTTCTCAATCAAACTTCCCTTCCTCAAGTACTGATCTACAAGAACAGATGAGAAACCAGATGAAAGATCCGGCTATGCGACAGGTACACATTTGTAATACTTGTTAATGAGACAAAATGATCACTAGCCTTCTCCACCTACCTGTATGGAATAAATTCAGTCAAGTTCCCTCTATTTCTTTTCATATGTTACTACGAGTAATTTCTAATTAAGTTATTCCCCCTTAATTTTGTACCTGTATTACTTTTTAGTTGTCACTTGTCTGAGATTTGCTTATCATGTGGTCATGTTGTGTTTTTTCTGACAAGTCGTGCAAATGCTCTATCTTGAAACATTTTTGTCTTCAGTATATTATACATGTTTCCTTCTCTTAATTTTTTAGTTTATGTTGATTTGGCAGATGTTCACGTCAATGATTAAAAATATGAGCCCAGAGATGATGGCAAACATGGGTGAGCAATTTGGTGTCAAGCTTTCGCCAGAAGACGCAGCAAAAGCTCACAAAGCCATGTCATCCTTATCACCAGAGAGCTTGGATAAAATGGTATCTTCATCTCCAAACTCTACATATATTCTTTTAGTTTGTATTCATCAATAAAATCTTGTACCTAAGATGAGGATGGTAACATGGAGGTGTGGCAATACTAGAAAATGAAAGATAAAATGCAAGGGAAAGCTGGAGTAGCTTATAAAACATTCAGCTGCAAGATAATGAACATTTTCACTTTGTCTTTGCAGATGCTTTGGGCAGACAGGATTCAAAGAGGAGTTGAATCTGCACGAAAGACGAAGAACTGGCTGCTAGGGAAACCGGGCATGATCTTTGCGATATGCATGCTCATTTTGGCTGTCATTCTCCACCGGTTGGGCTTCATTGGTGGCTAGAATAAGGGGCAGGCATTATATGAGACTCCTGAAAGGTTCAACCTTCAAACTCAGGCATAGCCTTCTTTTTGTGGTTAGATGATTGAATGTGTTGTCTCAGCAAAGTAACTATGAAGAGAGGAGGGGACATACCATTGGTTATTTGGAAAGCAATGCCAAATTGGCATCTCATTAGATATGTATGTCCAAATTGAGGAGGATGTGATGGGCACTCTTTCTGTAATATATTTGCTTTTGAGTTGTTTGCCATTTAGCATTGGCAGTGACCCTACCATTCAATTAATCCATTACTTTTTGTCATTCTTAGGTCCTATCTCCTAAACCTAGTGCTTCAAACAGTCAGCCACCTTGCTTCAAGGTTTGGGAAGATTCTTTCTACGTAATTTATAAGATTTTACAAAATTCTATTTTTTGTTTTCCTCACATATATAAAGCTATTAATTTAAAGATCTAATTTTAACTCTTGTTTGAATGTAATATGCTTTATCTAATCATTTGGCATTACATTTTTTATGATAAACATTGTTTAATGGTTAAACATTTTAAACAATAAATTCCTACATGGTTAGATAGTATTGTATAAAAAGTTGTGTATACTATGAATAAAAATTAAAATTTTAAATAAAAAGCTTTGATTAAGTACAAAAAAATAATTATGAGAATTGTGTATAGGATATTAGGATGCTTAGAGTTGTGTATGGTTGTCAATGGTCAATGAGAATTTACCTAACAACGTTAATAAAAGGTTTGATTCTTGCTGGTAATTCTTTAAGAGGCTGAAAATTGGACAGTTTCTGCTCTCTAAACATCTTTGCATCACAACGCTGTTCTTGGTGTTAGTTAATGCAATTACACATTTGGTTAATTTCTACTGATTGTTTTTTAACTTTTGTGCAACCAAAATTGGTGATATTTCGTACTAATGTTTTTTTAAAAGAAAAAAAAATCTGTTACGTAATACCTTCAAACATGGACTAAAGTGACCACTAATTCCCCTTTCAGTCAATTTCCGACTAAGCTGAGTCGTGATTTCGTTGGTCTTCGCCGAGTACATGACAATTGTTTTCTGGTCATTTGGGGTGGCTGTGGTCCCATGTTTGCTTATCAGTTATCAGGCTCTATGATTCTTATTTAAATGACCAACTCACACTATAACTAGATAATAATACCAGTGTTTTCAGGTAAATAAATTTTAATTTCTCTTCTTTTTTTTAAGTTATTTGTTTTCAATTTATTAAAGTTTTGTTTGATAGCTGATTCTTTGAAGGAAAATAATTACGTGATTAGTCTTGTTTAAAAGATTTTATATGAAAAAAAATTTATAAACTTTTTGATTCTATATTTTTAAATTTCTTCAATTTGAGAGATTTTGTATTATCTTCCTTCTTTACTCTTTAAACAATTTTTTCCTCATCTTTTCAGACTTTTAAACAAATCCTTTGACACAAAATTTAAGTTAGTTATTTCAATAATGTTGGTATTATTTATGGACTAAAATTACATTTTAAATTTGATAATTTATAATTATCTTAAATATAAATATTTTACTAAAATTAAACTTTAATGTTAATTAAGAAACATTACTTAATTTTTGTTGTAAAGTAAGGCTTTATTGTTATTAATTTATGGGATAAAAATAAAATAAGATAATTTTTATCTTATTTTAACATTTATTTAATCAACAGAATGTGATAAATCTATTTTATGTATTTTTTTTCTAATATAAATTTTACCTTGTGAAAAAACTCAAGTTAGCTATAAATAAGGATAATATATATTTAATTTATTATTTTAATACACATAAGATATAAAATAATAAAAAATTATTATACTCTTATCATATTCATATTGTATATATAATATGATAAGAGTATAAATAAGGATACAGTATATCGATTTTTTAATGACCTTACTTGATTTGAAAAATAAAATTAATGTGTTATCTTTTGTGTTTTGACACATAATCCTTTTTACAATTGATTTTTTCAAAGATCATGTTGTAAGCAGGTTCCAAGATACATGTTTCAAATATTTGACTTAAGTTTTGATCTTTTCTTCCTCTTCGCCTTACAAGGCACACTCTTAACATTCTTAATATTATTTTTTTCTCACACTATTGCCTCAATAACAATATTGGATTGAGAAAAATCTAGTTTTAACTTAATGCCTGATTACCCATGAGAATGTCCAATAATCAAGTCATTAGATTTGCCTATAAACTCTTTTTGTATCGCATCCTTGTCTCCATTTACTCCTTTGTCAATAACACTAAGTTGACATAATCTTTTATCAGTTCCTATGTCCCGCCAATTCTCTTACTCATAAGTTTCGACCAACAATGGCCTAACTTGGTCAACCTCATTTTCAAATGCATCCTCATCTAATTGCACAACATCTACATTATAATTTGAATTCTCTCTCATTCGCGCATCTGTTAAGTTCTCCATGTAATTTATTTCATACTTTCAAACTCTCTTGATATTGTGCAATGTCTGGCACAAAATCACCTAAATTTTGTTTTCAATAATCCAACCCTTTTCTCCCTCTTCCGTGCTCTTTACACCACCTTTGGTCACTATTTTTTCTTGGCTATGCTTCCTGCCTTTATATCACGACCCTTCTCACCATCATTTGAACTTTCATTCTCTAAAGCATCTAAATCCAATGAAGAATCGTCATAACTCTCCGATGATGAAGTGTTTGAATCATGATACCACCACCCTCCTTGAAAGAATTCTTCCCCATATTCCTCGCCCATCTGAATTTAGAGCACAAGATCATTAACATGAATCCTTAGATCTTCGTTAATCAGTACGTGTTTGAGTCCGTAAGTGAACTCTTGCAAAATCCATACATCTTTGGGACGTCGTATCATCATCCATGCACACAAAATCTCTCAACAGTAACATTATCTTTCAAAAGAATGTCTCTAATTAAGCATTATATGGCATGTTGTATAAATAAACCCATGTTGCCCTATTAACAACTACTATACGAGGATGCTACCAATCAATGGTATAAAATAGCTTAGACAAGCTTTCCGACCCTCCAATTTCAATAGAACTATATTGTCACCCATGATAATGGCCTTGACATTTAGTATGGATTCAAAGTCAACCACACTATTGAGTTCTTCTTACCCATCTAACCTTTCCACTACTGAGTTCTTCTTACCAATCTAACTTTTCCACTATCACTTTACAATACCTTTCAATCATATCCTGATCAACATAAAACTCTGACAACACTATTTTTCTTAGGTATTTACATCACATTCTTGTTTGGTCCTCCAAGAACATCATTCTCCTTCACCATATGCTTTGGCATATAATCCCTTGTTCCTTCAACTTGAAAGATTAAAATAACGTGAACTTCACCTTAACAATAAAATTGTAGTGTTTATATAAAATTCGTCTCACACTGTAAAAGAAATATTTGCAAATTTTGTATGATTCAATCAATTAAAATGATATTATTTCATATCACCATTCATTTTCATTTTTATTTAAGTGTTTTTTAAATTTTTTTTTCCTTGTGTATCATATTATGGTCATGGTTATTGGAGTCATTGTAGCATCCTTGGTACTCCCTCTCTCCGTAATTTTTTTCCCCTTATCTGCTCAATTTTCTCAGAATTTTGGAATCCTTGATCCGCATTTACAACTAAAAAAGACATAGGCTTTTGAATAATTAAAAAAAAACAATAAAAGCATATTTATTTAATTTACTTTTTAAAAACAGTTTTTAATTTTTAAAAATAAATTGTAGTATAAATAAAAATCTGTGTGAGCATTTCCTTTTTTTTTATTAACAAATGGCATATATTTTTACATGCAGCAGAAATTTATTCCTACATATTATAGTAATGTAGTGAGCCAAAAGAATTATTTAGTGAAAAAAACTCAATTATCAGATAACTAGGGAGAAAAATGAATCTATAACCAGTTGTCTACTAAAGCACTTTATGATAAAAATATATAGTTACGTTATATCTTCTTTGATAATTTTTTATTATTTCGAAAAATAAATACAAATTAAAAAGTATATATTTATTATATTGAAAATATAAAAATATTTAATATTTCCATTTAATAATTTAAATATATAAATATAAAAAAATAAAGAAATTATAAATATCTTGATGATAGGCATGGAGTGATTCGGATCATCACGGTCCATAGAGCAGGGCCACAGGTGTTATTATCCGAATTTAATAGATGATTGGCTACATTGGTTAGTGACGTGGAATCGATAAAGATGCAAGCTATGCAAAAATCTTGCCGATTTTGAAATTATTAAAATAATTTACTGACTTAATTGATTAAACTAAATAATTAACTTCTTGTATAACAAGACTTTACTAAATATATGTTTAGTTGAGTTATTTATTTAAAGGATATAAAAAAAACGCTATTTATATAAACATTTCTTTAGTCTTGTTCATTAATTTGTCTTTTCTGCATGAGAAATGAATATTTTTTCAATGAAAACTCGTTTAGATAATTATAAGACAGTTAGGTAATTGTATTAAAAAAATTATAATTCAGAAAAAATATTTAATTTTTTCATTGACTTAAAAACTAAATTCTAGAAAAATATAAAAAAAATGTAACGTTTCTTAAAATATAATCTATTTTAAGAATAACTTTGAGTTGTTGAATATAATTAAACTAGATATATGAATTAATATAGATCATATAATATTTATTAAAAATATACTTTATATTAAAAATATGAATATTATTATTTTTAATTAAGTCAATCTACTTTGATGTTAAAACTCATGCCAGCCTGGTTTGGGAGACTAAATCAATTGATGACGTAAGTCTTACTATGCAAACAACCTAACCTTACAATCAAAGTTGGCATTCATGATTTTACAGTCAATCTAAAATCGAGATATTACATAGAAGATCAATAGTAGTATGGTGGTAGTCAAACTCTGCTCTTATTGAACTTATAATATAATCAAATAATGAATCTGACTAACTAGTATTCTTATAGAAAAACATTAATTAAAGAATAATTATTATTTTTATTAAAAATAAATTAAAATCATAAAAATATAATAAAATATTTGTATTTCTTTAAAAAAATTATTAACTGCAATTCATACGATCGAATTTAAGTATTAAAAAATAAAAATTCACTAAAAAATATATTTATTATATTAAAATTATAAAATATGATAATAATTTTTAATAAATGACTATTATTAATCATTTAACATCAATTTTATTTTAATTATTGAATTAATGGTATAAATTAAAATTTTCTTAAATAATTAAGCTATAACATGAAATTCAAAAAAGAAAAAAAATATCCGTGTTACAGACATGTTGAATTTTTTATATATAGAATTTGAAAAAAATATATATATTAAAATATGATATTATTTTTAAATTATAAAATTATAAGTTTTAAAAATATATATATATTAAAAATTATCACTAACAATATTTTTGTATAAATCCAATAAAACAACGAAAAGTTATTAAAATTTTAAAATTATTACCAATAATTTTTAAAAAAATATTAAAAAATTATAAAGAGTTAAAACTTGTCAATAATAATTTAAAAAATTTAAAAAGTGTTAATAAAAATATTTAAAATAATAATAATAATTTAAAGTACTAATTGATATTTTTGGACCAAAAATCATCATTCATGCTTTTTGAAAAACTTTCATATTTTTATCTTTTTTTAAAACATGATATTTTAATATATTTTTTCTGTATATAAAAAATCCATGATAAAGTTAAAAGTTAAATATTGTTTTTTTAAACATCTATTATAGCAAATAGTTAAAATTTTCATCTATATGTTAAATTAATAAATAAAAAATTTTAATTAGTGTATTTAAATAATTATTTTTATAAATAAAATCAGAAAAATGTTATTAGAATTAAAAAAAATGATAAAATATATTATTTTACGGTACTTAAATTGTGTACTTCTTTGAGTTGTTCTAGAATGGTCAGTAGCTGAAACCATTGTATATTAGAAACGCGTGCACTACTGATAAGTCTCATCGTGTGTGAAATGGGAACACGTCTCAACGGTTACCGTTCTCAATTCTAATGTCTTCAATTTCGCTTTGTTCTAATTTCTTATAGCAGTTAGTTACTATCCCTTCTTCCAAGCACAACCACCATTTTCATCTCTATCTCTGTTCCATTAAAACAAAAACCGTTTTACATGAAAAAAATTCTCAATCCAATCACACACTCTTTCTCATTCATTAATATCGTTTTCAATTAATGACTCGCCAAGTCGTCGTCGTTTCGCAGCCGGCGCATAGCCACCGGCGGCGGGGCGTCGGCGAGATGACCGGCGCCGCCGCCGCGGAATGCGCCGCCGTGTGCTGCTGCTGTCCCTGCACAGTCCTCAACCTCGTCGTGCTTGCCGTGTACACTGTGCCCAAGGGCCTGTTTAGGAAGGCCATGGACAAGAGACGACGCCGTTTGATCTCGAACAGCAAGAAAAACGAAGTCGTTTTATTGCAGCGGCAGAGGTCCAGCAGCACCGTCTCCACCGACATTCCGTCGGAGGAGGCGTACTTCGCGACGGAGCCTGCGGCGGCGGAGAAGTTGGAGAGCGTGGCGTTGGAGAAGGAGATGTGGGCCCGGTTCGCGGGAACCGGGTTCTGGCGGAGCGAATCTCAGCGCCAACCGTACCTGTAAAAACCGAACCGATCTTGTAAATAAGATAAAAGAGGATTGAACCGGTGTCGTAATGCGAAGCGCTTCAAGAGGTCGTGGGACACGTGTTGAAATGGTGGAGAGTGGGAGTTCCTGGGAATCAGGGATTCGGCGGAAGCTATGTTCGTGTGATTGGAAAAAAGCCAAATGAGACAACGTGTTTGGATTTTTATTTTGCATTGGAGATTATTTTAGTTAGAAACACGTAGGAGAATTGTAAAAATATGTAGTATTTTTCATTAAACGATTTAGTCCAATTGTTCAAAGTTCAAACATGATAGTATGGAATTATAGAACTGCTGTTTTGGAGTTTGGAGAAAACTTTTCTAATATTGTATAAAGGAATATTCCCTTGTACGTTTTGTTTTTCTGTTATTTTATATCCGTATCTGTTTGTGTGCATGGACATGGATCTTAATAATGATTATTACAGTTATGTTTCATGAAATAATGAGTGAACAGATAATAGTAGTGCTAAAGGAAAAGAAAAATGGTGAGGGACATTGGATTTTACAAAAAATCTTAGAAAGTTTCAAAGAGAAGTGTTCACTTATGGCAGTTGGAGATAACTAAGTGAAAGGAAGCTAAAAAATTTGTGCGTAGTTGTTGTTGAACATGTCTTGGCATATAGCAGTAGTATTCCATGCTGGAAATATGGAGGCTAAATGAGTGTGATGGTTTACCAACTCATTCAGAATTACCAAAAGTTTTTACGTGTCCCATGTGTTCGCAAACCATAAGTTTCTAAGATCCAATCAGGTTCTTGCTGTTTTGTGTTATCCTCATTATATTTCTTTTGTTTTTGCAGCCAGTAATTGGTGGAGGTGGAGGCAGTGGAAAGAGAGAGAAATGAGAGGAATTTTAGGTTCAATCCATCTAGTACTAGTATTCTTATGCTAATTTGGAAGGTTATTTTCACTCTGTTATCATGCAATTTGTGATTTTTGTGTTCCTGTGCAATTGTCTGTTGTTGAGAATGATGCTGATCTTGAAAAGCATTTTATCCCGCACGTAGCTCAAGGTAGCTCACACTTGACTTTCTGGACCGTTTTAATATTTAGAAGCTGATACATGCATCGGCAAGGCTTTTAATTTTCTTCACTTTACATCTTTAGAAAGTTCGTACAGGAGATCTCCAAGTACTCAAGACCGAACAGGACCATCAGAATTACAGTCATCTTCGGAATCTCTGAAGTCTAGGCTAAATGCAGTGTCAATGGTGTATTGAATGAAATGATAATTCCATATACCATGTTGGCGTAACACCATTTTTCCTTTAAAAAATCTAAACCCTGTTTGTTACTTTTATCTATTGTCTTTCATTTACAAATGTCTATTTCCAGGATCAAATAACCAGCATTTAACTAACACTGAAGGTGACAATCGTTTGGGACAAGCAGCAGGTTCTGCTTCAAATTACTAATATAGAAGGAATTGCATCAACTATGATCGTTGTATCTAATGGTCATTTATTATATTTCCGACATTAGAATAACCCCTCTCATTTAATATGCCTTGTATGTGTTTGTGCACACAAGAAATGATAACGTTATGTTTCATACTGGGTATGTAAGAGAGCTAAATGAGTTAGCGTTATAAGTTAGTTTTCATCGTTTGGATGGATAACAAGAATTTGGCATGTTGTGATAAAAAGGAACAAATATTACTTCCTGATTATTGAGTTCTCCTTTAGAGTCATTTTATTTTGAGATCCTTTGACTTTCATTTATTGATTGTGAAGGGATAGAACAGAAAAACTAATTATCCATGTCGAACCTACCGGCATGCTCAGAGAAATTGCGGCATATATTAGCTTTGAAGGTGAAAATTTTGTGATTGCAATTTAGCAAGGCTTAGAATGTTATTTTTGGCCCTTGTCATCACGCGTGTCTAAAACCCATTAGGAGTTGAAATTTGAGACTAAAAGCTACTACAGTAAGCATGCAAGTCGATTGTGTTTGAAGTCCTTCAAACTTTTCCCATGCCTCATTGTTTGATGTTCAACAACAACTTGTTTATTGGTTCTAAACTTGGGACCAACAGGGAAGATACCATAATAACATGCATGTTGCAAGCTTGCAGGAACATTTGAAGCTCTCAAACTTTGCCGGAATGCTTCTCTATGAATTGTTTGATGATCAACATCAACTTGTTTGATGGTTCTGAGTTGGGATCAATAGTGAAGAAGCCATGTTGTTGTCCTTCAAATTCTACATACTCTATATCTTTACCCCACTTCTTAAGCCTCATTGCGTAATCCTCTGCCCTGTCTCTAAGCAAATCGCTTCCTCCAGCCACTACTAGAATTGGGTCTAGATCAATTGCTTCAAGGCTCTTGTTCATTGGTCCAAACGGATTAGCAATTGGGTGATCAGTATTGTCCCCAACGGGTATAGAAAGCCTCCAAAACCTGTTCAATCAAGACACACAAACCCTTCACTAGTTTGCAACAAAATAACAAAACAAAAATGATCCAATGCACGCCAAAATTTGACACTATTTTTACATTCGTTTATACCTATTAATTAAAAAAGTTGAACCATTGTTAATCTATGTAAACATGATGCAAATTTAAACACACTTCATCCAATTTACCAACCTATCAATAAGTTCTAAATTGAGAAAAGCATCTTTAGGTCCTTCAGCTTCGGACTTGGTACGGATAATTCCACCAAAGAAAGGCCCCAATAGAACATAACCCTTGACCCGAACTGGCGCCAACTCTGGCGACCCAACTCCAAGCCGAGCCGCCAAATGGTGAGCCATGTTACCACCAGCAGAGTCACCCGAAATGAACACGCGGCTAAAATCAGCCACATCGCTCAACCAGGGATCCGGTTCATTACTCACAGCTTGGGCTTGTAGCCACTTAACAGCCACAAAGCCATCCTCAATCGCATCAGGGAGCCGGTTCTCGGGAGCAAGCCGATAATCCGGGGAAACTACAACGGCTCGAAGCTGAGAAGTGAGCCGGAAGCAGTAGTTTTGACAGTTAGGCCAAGTACGCGAGCCGATGCAAAAACCACCACCGTGGAAGTAGAAAAAAACGGGAAGCTTGGAGCAGGATGAGTCGGCTGGCTTATAGAGCCGAAGTTGAAGATCATGGGCAGGGTCAAAAACAACGTCTTTCCACAAAACGGTGCCATCGTCAGAGACATGAACGTTGAAGCTTGAGCGTGAAGAGCGTACTATGGAACCATCACTATACACATGCAAGACACCACGACACTCATCCACTAAGGTGGCCTTGCAATCAGAAATTTTGGACATTTTTTCTTCTTTTCGTGGAATAAGCAAATGAAACAGAAACAGTGTATTGAAGTTGTGGTGCATATGTGAGGAAAAGTTGGCAATATAAAGAGAGAGAAAAATGATGAAAAGGAGGAAAAAGAGGTGAATGACAATGATCGATGCATTGTCGCGAAGAAATGGCGTTTTCTCATTGTGCTTGCTTTCTAGACTTGTGTATGCCATGCAAGACAAAGATGGCGGGTTTAGTCTTTGTGTGGACTGTCTTCACGGATGACTCTACGTTGTTTTGTGTGGCTCTTAGTTGTGCATTTTCTTGTTGGACTCCATCATGTAAATTAAAGTAGTCTTGTTTAGTTAAATATTAAAGTGCTTAATTCACTTTTATGTTAATCACGTTTTCTTTAAGACGATTTATAATGTAGGTTATGAGTTTCTTTTTAATTTTTATAATAATATTCAGTTTTTTTTTAAATTATGGTTTTTCAAAAGTGAATGACAATTAATGATCAGTAGGGATTTATTTGAATTTATTTTACAGATATAATGATTCACTTAAAAATTTAACAAAACTTACTGTAATTTACCTATAAGATAAAATATAAGCTCCAATTTGATTAATTAACCACGGCTTACACAAAAGCATTCTAGAAGAAAAAAAATCAAAATACTAGAAGACAAAATTTCACCTAAACAAACCCTACCCATACATGAATTAAAACAAGTGTAGAAGTCCATTTTCACAAAAAGTATAGAATATATGTTAAGGAAGTAACACTTTTTATTTTCCTTCCCACACGACATGTATTTTTTACGAAAGCAATCGCATGTTCATTTTTTTAATTTAATAGAATTAATTTTAAGCTATCAAATGTAATAGAAATATATTTTAATATTGAAATTAATTTTATCATAACTTTTTTAATTAAAGCTACACTTTCGTTTAAAAAAGTAAAATTAATTTATTTACGATAAATAAAATAAATAATAATCATTACATGACATTGATCACGGTATCCAAAACACAAATACAAATTCACAAACAAAATCATAAATTAAAAAGAAGATCAAATAAATTTTTATATAATAAATTAAAATTAATTTAAAGATGTTAAAATTTCCACAAGTTAGATAAGATAATTTTTTTAAAAATTAATATCCATAAATTAATTTTAAGTATTGTAAAAGGTTTAATTTATTTCACTTTTTAACTGTTTATACATTTTTGTTATAAAACTTATCTAAACTGCACCTAATTGAATTTTAATGACACAAAATTCTCTTGTCACGGGAATACATATCCTTCTCATTGCATTCATCATCTTTGCAGCAGTGAGAAGGTTCATAATTCTTATCAAACTAAAAAATGTTAAAAATAAATAAGTTAAAAAGACAGCCTTCAGGTACACACAAGTTTTTTTTTTTTTTTAGAAAAAAAACACGCACGTTCACACAAATTTATGTGATAATTGACGATATAAAATACTTTATACATAGTTTTTTTTTTTTTTTTCATGTATATAGTTCTTATGAGCACAACAACAAAATGGAGGCCCACTCATCAGCGTACAAATCTGGACACCCATTAAGATTCAATAACAATCTAAGTTAATTAACCAATTGACAATTTTGTCTGAAGTTTCAAAACTTTTAGACACGGTCTTGATAATTTTGAAATTCAAAGAGAGTAAAAAATGTAACTTAAACTTTTGTCAATGAAGAAAAATTATAAGTTTCTATGAAATATAACAAATGCATAATTATATATGAGGTAAGATTTTCTTACACTAGTTTAAATTTAAAAATTTTATTTAATTTAACTATTTTATTACATTTGATAAATTATAATTTATTACTTTATTAACTCTTAAATATAAATTAAATAAAATATTTGAATCAAGTGTAAAATTTTTTAAATTTATACCAGTATAAAAAATTATCTTTTTTTTATTATATATTATAATATATCATATATGTGGGTTTAGAGGAGATAAGACACGTTTAGATATATAAATCCACACACTTTTATAAATAAATTATTCAAACTTGGATCTAAATTCATTTAATAAATAAAAGTTTAGCTATCTTGAATCTCTATATATATATATATATGGTAAGTATATCATTAGTTACATTTGAGCTTAATTGTTAGTATAAAGAAGCAGAATCTAAAGTATATATAGTAATCTGTTTGGAAATTTAACCAAACTGTAACAAAATATATAAGCTCGAAATTTGACCATTAGCTATGCATGGTACAGAAGACAAAAAATGAAGAAGACAAAAAAATACACCTAAACAAACCCATATGTTTTGTATATAAAACAAGTGAGACGTCCATTCTCACAAAACTATAAAATACATATTAAAGAAAATAACATATTGAATTTGTTTAATCATCCAATCACAAAAACAAAAGCAAGCACACTCGTTTTGACGAGGTGTTTTGTTTGATAGCAAAGTCAAGTCAATATAGTCCACAATACCCTTCATTATCTCCCAGGATTTTAAGTTTTGGCATTAATTTTAGAAGGGTGTTTTGGTGAATTCAAACTTTTCGTAATTATATTCCATGCCAACTACTTAAAGATATGCCAAAGTCAAAAATTATAAATACCAAATACTGAAATAATTTTCACTAAATGATTATAGTGCCACCGACAAATTTCTAGGGGCAAAAAGCAGCCTGCAAACTTAGAATTTAGCTCATTTGAAACAATAAAAAATGTAAATATTAATTAATTACTAATTTGAATTAAGTATTTTAATAAATTTAATTAGTTTTAGATCAATAATAAATGATTTTATTTATTTTTTACTTTATATGTTTTTTATTATTTTTAAAGAACCAAATTCGCACACATGATCAGCAAGGGAAAGGAAGCCAAAATAGGCATATATGGTCTTAATGCTTTTCCCCAGAAGTGCCTCTCTCCTACCAAACTATTGAGGGATACACAAAACCAAACTCATTTAATAATGTGATAAAAATCATTGTTAAATATACAATAATGGATTCTTCTTCCACTCACTCACCGAATTCTGATTATAGAATTACGTTCTTATTCTTAATCACTTCCACTTGTCTGTTTACGAGCCAAATCTATAGTCAATTCATTCTTTATGCGACTAATTATTAGCGCAAATATGTAACCATAACCATGACATAGCCATTTTTCACCCTCGTTTTTCTTCATGGCATTTGCACACTATTATCATCGTTATGTCTTAATTATATATACATCGAGATTGTGGTTGATTTAGTAATCGTAAGCAACTTTAAGCTATAGAGAATCTTGACAAATGAATCCATGCAAATCATACATGCAATTGGGTTGACATTCATAGTAATTAATTAATTAATAAATCGATGAATTCTTTCACCATCAATCAAAGATTGATACCTCTTTTCAATCTTCACATTCATGAGAAGATAAAAGTGAAGATGAAGAAAAGAAAGATCAAGAGACAGATTAACAGCCCCGGTGGGGGATAGGTCACCCTCCATACATACAACACTTGTGCTCTGTGTAGGAAAAAGGTAAAGAAGGTATGAATCCCTTGTTATATTTTCAAACGTCTCCACCAAATATCTAATAAACTTTCCTTCTAAACTTGTTCATCCAAATCCCTTAACAAACAATATTATCCAATCCCTTCATTGTTGTTTGTTTTTATCTTATTTTTTCTCCCTTCCAATTTATTCTAGCTACCAAACATAGGATAAACTCCCACATGCACAGTGTTGTGTGGTTCTTGCAATCCCCTTAAGCTTTTTCTAGAAATAATTTGCATTCTTAATTCCAAATGTATTTTTCTGAAGGGTTGCATTTTGGTTCTCTAGAGGACAGAAACAGCTCAGCTAATACCCCGAACAAAATTAGCATATGAAGTGGGCACCACCACTCTCAATTCTTAAGTCCATAGTAGTATCTTTTCTTAATTTGCTTCGGTGCATCAATCTACACTATTCCATGTATAGACACGATCGCTGATCCACATTAAATTCACATAATCTTCACCATTTCATAAATATATAACTTATTTGAAGGAGCACATCTATGGCATCCTTCTTTTTTACCATGCAAAGCCAAAAAACCACTAATCAAAAAATGAAATTTACATTAGAAACTCATCGACAAATTAATGACTTAAATATAAAACTAACTACTAAAAATAACATTTTCTTAACTTTAGTCTTTGAATTAAATTAAATTTAAGTGTTAATGGTAAAAAAAAATTATAAAAAAAAATTATATTTTTATATTTCTAATATAATAAAATTTTAAATATTTTTAAAAATTAACTTAACAAATTCATAAAAAGAAAATTGTAAGAAAAAGGGAATGGTGGTGATTCTGGTCAACTGACGAAGAAGGTGAAAAGTAAATGCACATCCACGTGAAGAGACAGTGAAAATAGCCAGTTACAATTATAATTAGTATTATTGTTAATGACAGTGGGTTTATCTATCTAATAACAAATTACCTATCCGCCATTCATTAACGAGCCAGGTAGCAGTTGGGGTGTACTGGGACCCATCCCAATTCTGTTCTGCTCTTGCTTCCCACCACCGTTCTCACACCGCTTCCTCTTCCCCTCCAATCAAACACTGCCACGTAAGCCAACAATTTTCCCAAAGCTACCGACACCCCTTGATTAACCCAAACCACGTGTAAGTGAAAGCAGAAAAAGAATCAGCATAATTAAGCCGCTAAACCCAACTTCATCCACAATTAACCACACCATTAACACACTAACCCTTCATTCACATCACATCTAATAAACAGAAAACACATAACCTAACCATAATAAATCTTGGCATTTACCCACCAAGCAAAACATAACAAACACCACCACCTGGTTTAGTACCCCCCCAAACACAACACAGAAACATAGCTACCGTTTTTCACTCTCTCTTTCATTGTGCTGTGCCATGGATTGCTGCATCTATGGCGTCACGAAGCTCCACATCTTCTACACTTTTCTCCTCTTCCTCTTCCCAGCCACCACATTCTCCCTTTCACAGCCTCAAATAAACTCAAACTCAATCCTCGTGGCTCTATTGGACTCGCATTACACAGAGCTCGCAGAACTCGTGGAGAAAGCCATGCTCCTCCAAACCCTAGAAAACACAGTGATGAAACACAACATCACAATCTTTGCACCCAGAAACGAAGCACTGGAACGCGACCTCGACCCCGATTTCAAACGGTTCCTTCTCGAACCTCGCAATCTTCATTCTCTGCAAACCCTCTTGATGTCTCACATCATCCCAACCCGAATCACCCAATCCGAATACCCTCCCAGGTCGACCCGACACCAAACTCTAGCCAAAAGCCACCACCTCACTCTCCAAACTAACCACACTCTCCAGTGGACCATCGACAGTTCCCGGGTCACCCACCCGAATACTATAACCCGACCCGACGGCGTCATCCACGGCATCGACTCCCTCCTCATCCCTCGCTCCGTCCAACACGACTTCAACCTCCGCCGCACCCTCCGCTCCATCGCGGCAGTCAAACCCGAACCCGCCCCGGAAGTTGACCCGAGAACCCACCGCCTGAAAAAACAACCACCGCCGCAAAAACCAGGCTCCCCACCGATCCTTCCGATCTACGACGCCATGGCACCAGGCCCCTCCCTCGCTCCGGCGCCGGCGCCGGGACCCGGTGGACCCCACCACCACTTCAACGGCGAAAAACAGGTAAAAGACTTCATCCAAACCCTCCTCCTCTACGGCGGTTACAACGAAATGGCTGACATACTCGTTAACCTAACTTCCCTGGCAACGGAAATGGGTCGGTTAGTTTCAGAAGGTTACGTGTTAACGGTGTTAGCTCCTAACGACGAAGCAATGGCAAAGTTAACGACGGAACAGTTAAGTGAACCGGGTTCACCGGAACAGATAATGTACTATCATCTGATACCCGAATACCAAACCGAAGAGAGTATGTACAATGCGGTTAGAAGATTCGGGAAGGTTCGATACGACACGTTGAGGTTGCCGCATAAGGTGGTGGCTGAGGAAGCTGATGGCTCGGTTAGGTTCGGGCGTGGTGACGGGTCGGCTTATTTGTTCGACCCGGATATTTATACTGATGGCAGAATCTCCGTTCAGGGGATTGATGGGGTTCTGTTTCCGCCTCAAGAGGTCGATGTCGTTAAGAGTTCGACCCGAACCCGAACGGGTCTACCCGCTAAGGTCGTTAAGCAGAGAAGAGGTGCGTTGCTTTCTTTTCACTTTTAGTTTTACTTTTTACTTTTTCTATTGTTTGGGTGTTTCTTAAGTCAAGATGGGGAGAAAGGTGATGATAACGTGTTTGTTTATTTTACTAATTTATTATATTTATAGTAATTGATTGCTGCCATATTTTATTATAGAAGATAGGTGTTATGTTTGGATATTGAGTGAAAAGTGATTTTAAAATAATTTATTATGTGTATGTTTGACTTAAATTAGAATAAAATTGATTTTGATGAAAATTGAATTTAAACTCTTGTGATTGAGGTTATAAATTATTTCTGAATCACACCACACACTTTTAGTAGGATGTGTGCTTTTGGTTAAAAAGTGCGAGACTTGATTTTTTAATTTTAAAATAAACAAGCCTTATGTTTTGATTGTATGAAAAAATTACTTTTGGGGGGTTAAATCAAAAAAAAAAACGAAATTATGAGTAATATTTATTTGCATTGGAAGTAATTAATTATTAAGAATTAAATGAGAAAATAAAAGGTGACTAGAAAATAAATTGATAACTTTTGATTATAAGTTATGAAATTTTGTTGATATGAAATAAGCTGATTCTTTTATAAAAATAATAATAAAATTTATAAGCTAATTTTTAAAAGGTGCTGAATAAAATTTCTTACAGTTTTTTTTCTTTTCTTTTCAAATAATCAGTAAAAACAATCCAGGTCAAACACACAGTTGGTTGGATGAATATATTTATTTATTCTTTGTGTTTACTTTTTAAGTGGTTTTTTGGTATGTGGCTAGACTTGGCCTGGGTTTGGTCAATTTTGTTAATTGTTGAGCATGCTTTTTTGTTTTCATGCTATTGATTTGGACAAGTGAGCGTGTTTTTGGTTCTACAGTGTGTTGTTGGGGCGGAGGTTGGAATTGTGAGTAATATTTAAGGTAGTTTCTTGAATGGGGAGGTTAGGAATATGTGAGAATTTATTTATACGGTTGTAATAGAGGACTTTAGTTGTTGAGGTTGAAGATTTATTTATTATGTTATTTTGCTTGTTCTGGTTTGCGTATGTTAGGTTAGATCATTAGAAAATACAGGGAATATTGATGTGGGAAAAATAGAATTCTTAAGCTTTAAGAAACTAGTCAAAGACTTCAAAAAGTAAAGGTCTTAACTTTTTTCCTTTAACAAAATATGACGATGTAGTTTTCTAATTTATGGAATCCTTTGTCACTAAGGTTTCGGGTGATCATTGTTGCAAGGTGACTTTTTAAGCATATTTAACTATAATCCTGAAAAAAGGCACGTTGAACAAATTTTCAAAATTAAAAAATGCCTTGCCTTTGTCCATTAAAAATCAGTAAACAAGAAAGTGCTACATAAAAGTAGTAACTAAGGCTTTAGTTTTTCACTTGGAGTAATAATAATAGTTTTGTAGTTTTTGAAATAGGTGGCAGTGGCACCACTCAATGTATCAAATTACATCCTTTGAAAATTTGCTTTTGAGGTCAAGCTTCTGAAAGTGGAAAGGAACTTTTGAAAGTTGGGCTTATAGCGAAACAAGAAAAGTGGAGTGAAATCCCTGAATTGTTTTAATAGAAAAGTGGACTCGTTGAATGTTAATAGAATTTCCTGAATCTTATCTGATGCTGAAATTTTTGTCTTTATTTTGCCACCAGTTGTAACAATTGTCATGCATTTAGTAACTAGCAATCATATTTGATGATCTATCATCTCCAAGTTAAACCTTTTGCTTCATAGAAAGTTCACCCTTTCACACGAAATTGTTGAGTGCTTAAATAATTCCTACTTTATGCATGCTTGCACTGAGAATAGGGAACTAAATGGAAAGCTATAATATCTCGAAAAAAGAGAGGAAAATGGTGAATGATATCATAAGACAAAATTTTCCAGATAGATTGAATCTCAACCTTGGTAATCTCCTGACTTCAACTTTGTAATATTGGACCCTGTGATTATCTTGTTAAAATGAATGTTTCTTCTTTTTCACTGATACTTTGTAATTGATAATTAAGTAGTTTCTGTTTAAGCTAAAGTTTAAATGGTGTACTGCAGGAAAATTGTTGGAAGCAGCATGTTGGATGCTTGGAACATTTGGACAGAATTCTAGGTTCATCTCCTGCCAATAAAGAGCTCTCATCGGGATGCTAGCAAGACTCAGTTATAAAAACAATGGTGAGATTCTAGCTTACCAATGTTTGGTGATAACTAGCTAATTCATTTGCTGGGATCTTGTTAACTTCAGTAAATGATTGAATCATAAAAAATGTTTGCCTTGCTCGTGCATGGCAACTTTCATCTGGTTCTCTTGTTCTCACGTAGTCTCATTTATCTTTACTGTTACTGATAGTGTTCCTTAGTCGGTGAAATTAGATGTTCAAAGCACAAATTCCATCTATTCATGTTTCTGAGTTTTTCATTTTTGGTTCAATTCAAACAAATGCATGCCATTTGGCCTTTGACCTGGTGATGGTCAACCACTTGTTATCAGTATCAAGTGGGTCTAGTAAATCTCCAACTTGAGTTTGAATATCAAATACCAAATATTAAAATATAAAAGAAGCTTCATTTTGGGCATAGGAAGCTTCTTTTTATTACTCCCAATATTCTCATTTTATTTAGGAGGTTGGTGGGGTTAGTTAATACATTTTTCTAACCACATTATTTTCCCAATTGCCCTTAAGTTGACATTTAATTTCTTTTAACATTGTCTAACTCCATATTTATTGCACATGCATTGATGCAGATGCACAGGATATTCCAAAGATGTAAAAAGTCAACGCAATATGAAGGCCAGGTTTCTTGAATGGTTAAATAACAAGTCTTATGGGTTTGGTTTTTACCACGTTTTGTTATGTTCTTACTCTTTCTCCCTCTTGATTTTCTCCTTGTGGATTTGGGTCCTTGGCGTGAGAGCATAAGCTTCTCAAGTCTCCACATAATACAATATATAGTGCATATATTATATATGTAATTTAGATTCAATTAGTAATGGTGCTCCACACCAAAAAATAGTAATGGTGCCAAGTTCGTTGGGGGGTTGTGCTGGTGGGATGAAAAGGTTTTGTGTAATAAGTTGGCAGGGAATCTGTGCCTGATTCAGTCAGTAACTTTACGCAAGAAATGCAAATGGAAAATACAGCAATAAAATGATTCTTTTCTGTAATGATTTTGTGTTACCCAATTCCTCTTCCTTCTTTATGGCCCTTTTATCACTGTAAATTTCGTCATGGTCTCTTTGTATTTCCTATAATTGCCACTCATCTATGTGGAACAATTTAATTAGTCATAATCAAAGAAATTTATTTGAGTTTATAGTCGTGTTTATATAAAAGGAGTAATGTTGGTTACAAATCTGTCATAATAATTTTTTTTGCATGTTTATTAAAGTTTATCTGTCGCTATTTATTTTTAATTTCCTTTTCTATTACTCATCGATAAATCAATGGTTCACAATGCTTCCTGTGAAGAGCTGATTTGTGTAAACAGTATTTATATCCCTTTATAATTGAAATGGCTGTAAGTAAAACTTCACACGAGAACTAAATTATCTATTTCTGCCAAGCTTTTAAAAAGGGGTTATTGTGTACTTATTTTATTAGGTAAAGTCTTCATCAAAGTGACATTTGTTCGACTCCTGACGTTCCAAATTACTACCAACTACCTTCGGGTGAGACAATAGTGTTTCGTTCATAACTTAAGAATTTCTCTTCATCTTCGTTCATTTGTTAATTTAATGTTCACTATGAATTGAACTAATATGGAAGGTTGGACAATAAATATCAAGAGAGATAATGGATAGATGAAATAGAAGACACATTTTTAAAATTGTGAGATGGTAAATTTGAACAAAAATATTAATTATCCTCTTATGTGTAACACAATGCCCTTTTAAGATTAATATAACAGATCAAATCATGAATATATGATAATTCCCTCAATTCTCTCATCAAGTATTTGTAAGAGGCAGAAATCATGAAATCTTACAGTAATTTGCTATTAATTCATCCAATATTATCTTTTTCGGAATGAAACATCGCTCATCCAGGCAACATGATATCGCTATTCATGTCCTTGCAGAATATCAGGGAATAAAACATTAACTCAATCCAAGAATTCTTCATAATGTATCATGCAAAGCACCAACAAAGACATCATCTACATTCAAAAAATCAGGGCCACCACGTAATCCATGTTTCATGGAATCCTCCTTGGAAAATTTACTAGAAGTCAATTCTAAAATTCATTACGCCCTAAACATCAATTCCATGAAGCACGGTTCTATACATTTCTTCCGAGTAGCGGACTCCCGAAAAAGGCACATTTTTAAATATTTCTTCACCTTTTTCTTTTAGAAGTAGCCTTTGAAGTTTGAGTAGCCTTCTGCCCAGATGCAGAAGCACCTTTACCTCTACCACCGGATGTCTTCTTGGAACTTGAATTTCCCGTTCCCTTCAATTCCAACTGTACTTGCATGGCTACATGCACAATAGTAGAACAGAAATCACGACGCTCATCTATTTAAAGGATAAATCACCTAAAAGTCCAATCAATCAACATGCTAATGGCATATGATGACCTACCCTTTGAATTCAAACTTTGAAGTTCTGACTGCAGCTTCTCGCCAGTGGTGGTGTCTTTCATCATAAAGAAAATGTAAAAGCAATCAATATAAAAAAGAATAACAAGAATAAAAGAGTAAAAAATGCATGTATAACTTACCCAACTCTTCTGTATCAGAGGTGTTTTCTTCTTCACTCTCGTACAAGGCCTCGCCTTCACCTTGTTCCACTCCTTCAGCTGGTTCAAGAATAGCTGCAATCCGCTTCTTAGGGACCTTCTTTACTCCAGGAAGAGTGACTAGATCTGCAGCTCGAACTTTCCCAGATTTGCTTTGCTCTTTGTATGCTTTTGTCAAGGCAGACTTAATCGCAGGTTGTATGCCATCTAGTGGATTAGGATGACCCTGATGCATATAACACAAAAAAAATCAACCAGAAGTTGAGAGCTTTTTATAATAAATGCAACAACAAATAAAGTTAAGGAACCTTGAATTTTGATAACTCTACTATAGTATCAAAATCTTCCTGATTGATAGAGTATGTATTCATGAAGTCCACAACTTTCTGAACAGCTTCAGCCTGGTCGTTTACAGAAGGGCCATGTGTGATTCAGTTAAAATTCAGTATTTTTGCTTAAAACAATCAACATGCTTAAAGCTAAAAAGTAACCCAAGTACTTCCAACCTTTGGCAAGACTCGCAGTGGTTCTATCAATTGTTTCAGAAGAAGAGTAAGGTATTCCAGGCGAATGGTATCCCTGCACCATTTAGTGAAACATGATTACAATGAGTCCACAAGACATCCTTGTAATGGAGTTCTAGGCTTTCAATAAGTCTACAGGGTCCAAAACCTAATAGATAGCACATAAAGACCAAAACAAATTATATCCCAGATTCACAGATTTGTTGAACTTAAAATAGAAGCGCCTAAGTTAAGATTGACTATTTTATTCAACACAAATAAAAATCAAGAACAAATTGACAAATGCATTCACATGGTTTAAGCAGCACTTGGTTTCTATCCAAAATATTAGCAAACTCATTGAGAAGAACTTACGAAATAACCTGCAAGTTTGACAGCATTCAAGCCACCAGATGAAATTAATCTCACTGAACTAGATCCATGAGAAAAGGTGACAAACTGAAGGTAAAGGAAAAATATTGAATTCATGTTTACCTTCCTGAACTAGATTCACGAGAAGCAAGAATGTGAACATGCAGATCGTCCAAAAGCCTCTTGTTTTTGCCCATTGTTGAGTTCTTCCCTAGCCACCCACCAAATCTGTTAAAGTTTCGTTCTCCCTGCAGATACAATGCCAGTTGTGATAGGGCTAAAAGCAAATCAGATTACTTCAACAAGAAATACAAGTTGAAACAGATGATCTGCAATAGTTCACCACCGTGAATTACTGTTTGAGATATAAAACCATTCATGACTCTACCCAAACGCTTAAGCTATCAGGTGAAGATATTCACGAATGGTTATAATATCTCTAACTATGCATCTAGATTGGGGAACGCAATCAAACTATAAGTCAGAAGTTTGACCTACTCATACTAATTCACTGGGCCTGAACCAATACATGAAAACTTAAGAATTAATAGAGATCACGGGGAGGAGGTTGGTTGGAAGGGACATATAACAATAGCTTGCACAAGAGAAACTATTTTTACCTGTTCAAGTGTTTCTCTCTGCCCATGCAACAATGAAGCACTGAAAAATATAGACAGATAATAAAAGAGAAAGGATGAACAAGTAGATGGGTAAAATCTACAAAGGAAATATAGTTATTTTCCAGAGCAGTGACAAGGCTACATACGGAATTATACATGAAGCAACAGAACTAGTTTGAGAGAGTTGCCACTGTCGATATCTGCGAATCTGTACGTTCACTATATCCCCATCAGCAATAGACTCAGCGGCACGGGCAATAAGGTTCATGCGTTTTATACCACCGTCATCCTTACCAGCCAAGCTTGGTTTATAATTAATATAATTTTCCTGCCATATATAATGCCAAAAGATCCAGCTAAAAATAAATTACTGCCTAAAGTGAAAAGAACACAGGTTATTTTCAACTTCCAGACAATTCCACGAAAATGAAAATGTCTCCCATTACCAACAGCAAGATATGATTACATTAGCACAAATATAACTTATGAAAACTTCCCTTTGAAGCTAGTTCAAGAATAAGAAGATTGTGCAACGACTGATTTATCATTGGGAAGGTTTCAGATGTATTTTCAGTATGGCCAATTCTAGAATACAATTGGTATATTGAATAGTATTAATATTCAAAACCATTTCAATTATAACCCAAATTTAAATTAAATCAGCCATTCTATGATTTTTGTTCACCAGTTACATGGTAAATGCAAATAAATGGTTATCTTAAAAAAAAAAAAGTGAAGCTAATGTTGGTGGATCTAAGTTGAATGAGGTTAATGCCAGATGCGGTATCCTAACCATTAACTACCAATTACATCACAAAAGATAACAATTCCAAACAAAGTTGAAAAAACAAAAATTAATTAAAGAACCTGGATAATAAGAGGAACAAGATCAGGATCACTCATGCTAAGATTTATCCTCTCGTCCATTTTCAACTTCCCAGCATTAAAACCAAAAAGCCTACAAGATAAGAGAGGTTATCATGAGATTGAATTCAGTCACAACCTTCTGAACTGTAAATGCTTTATATTTCAAAGGATGAAATCATTGTCATGCAGAGCCCACTGAATCACTGATAAAATGCCAATGAATTCACAGGTCTACAGTTTATAATCATTATAAATGTCATCACATCCACATTTATATCACAAAGCAAACTAGTGAAAAATAACTCAATAAAAAGAAGCTACCAACGGTTGAAATGAAAATTGTGACCCTCAAAAAATAGGCTTTGAAAATATAATCATTCCAATGTGGCATTGTCCATAACGACTAGAACAAAAATGATAGCAATGAGAACCATATTTAATAATGTTTTCCATAGAATAAAATCCAATTTTTATCCTCAATATACTTTCTTCTTACCCCATCAAGTTACTAATTGAAAGCATATACTGCCTCCAATTGAGTCCTGCATTTCCTTTGCATGGCCATGTACTGAATTTATCTGAAAATTCTAGCTATGATTTGCTGATATTAGATAGCAAGCCTAATTCTGGAGAAATAAAATATTTTACCTTGTTTTATAAGCTCATTGGAATTGCAATGCCATGTATCCTCGTCATACTTTTTCTTATCCCATCAAATCACTAATTGAAAGTTCATACTGCCTTCAATAGAGTCCAGTATTTCATTTGAATAGTCATGTATGAAATTTATCAGAGAAATCTAGCTATGGTTTGTTGATATTAGATATCGAGACTAATTCGGGAGGAATGAAGTATTATTCAAGTCCATTTTATTAGCTCACTGGGATTGCAATGCCAGCAATGAAGTTATGCAATGTTCAATTCATATGACGTGTAACCACATCATTAATTTTTAGTTCTAATTATCACATCACTCTGATAACACTAAACAGACCACTCAGCGTTCAGGACCAATAAATTCAGCCGTTTGAAAGGGGAAGAAAAATTAAATGTCAAGTAAGCAACAAAAAAATATTTGAAATCTAGATATATAACACAAAAAACACAACAGTGTAAGCCAAACAAGCAACTAAAAATTTCGAATTACACTTGAGCAAGGTTTGAAGCATAGACAAGAGATAATATAAATAGCATACTTATCAACAGCAGTGAATGGTGAAACGTCTTCATCTTTCGCATTGGTAAGAAAACGCTGCCTAATATCATCATAGGCGATAACTGACATGGAGAGGCTCATATAGTGTAACTGGTTTAGAGCCATGCGCATATCTCCATTAACTCTTTCTGCTAGTTCCTCAAGAGCAATCTTAAACAATCATAGTGAATGATTCAAGAAAATAGAAAATATGAATAAAGAATTTATAATTTTGTAAGCAATGGATATAAACAATTCAAAATAATATTGTACCCTCAGCCTCAAAGTCCACACAATTAATTACAGTTATAGATCTACATGAAATAAGATAGAACTATGCAACTTATCAAGTAATCACCTCATTAACTTGAAGCCCTTCAGTCTTTGCAACATCCATCAACTTCTTTGCCATCTGGCACAAATAAAATATCAAGTTCAAAACTCCCACACCGCAGCACACATGCTTTAACATGTAAAGAAATTAGTATACTTCAGAAACTATAGATATATGCTATGACTTGTAAGATAGACTAGCATTTTCGGGATGCACTATGCAGACTCAATACAAATAATAAGCCAATTGGATCCTCATATACGATGAACTGTTTGCATCACGGAGCAGCACTAAAAATCACTTTCATGAGGATCTAATGAAGTTATTCAGATTGTACATCCCATCTTTTAGAGACAAAATATGTATTATTCTCTAATACAACTCAGTATTCGAGAGACTTTGTTCTCTCCTCACTCTCTCAGTCTAATTCTTTCAATTTCAGCTTATGACATTCAAGAACTCAGCAAATCCAATTTACAGAAAGCACATATGTCAAAATAATATAATATATAAAATATTATATATATATATCAGGTATTAGCATTGAAGAAGAGGATATTTCAATCTCCTATAAGCATTAAGTATTACAAGACTCATTTGGCAAAGGGTATCCCTATTGTTTTAACAAGCTAAATAAACAAAAAAGGAACAAACACATAATTTGGATAAAAATAGATTAACAAAAGGATCTAACCTAAATAAATATTTTAACTTAAAGTTGAAGAGAAACAACAATTATGTTACTAGAAACACAGAAAGACCTGTTGCTTTGTAGGCTTCCGAAAACTTAGAAGTAAGCAGTAGTTCACAAGACTTTTCAATTTTTGGCTGTAACGGTCATTGCAAATACAGATAATAGGAATTTTTGATATCTTGATGCTAGCAATAAGATCAGCAACACCACCCCTATCACCAGCTGACATCCCATCAACCTCATCCATAATGAGCACAGATTTGGAATGCTTTGACCTGAAACTTAAAATTACATAGATTTAACAAGATGCATATTATAGACTAACAAATTACATATCATGATAATGAAAGACCAACCGATCCATATTAGCACCAATGGCCTCATTGGTTACAAGTTCCTTGATAGAATTAGCATTGCTCCCACCAACACCTTTCGCAATTTTGCTATCAGCTTTTCCACGGCTATCACTAGCATTTACCTTCAATACAAATATGGACACAGGTGAGAAACGAGATGGTAAAAATATCATTTCCACATAAATTTCACAAGAAATGTTGCCACCTCTATGGCTTGGAAACCAAGCTCCTGACAGACCAACTTAGCTGAAGTTGTTTTTCCTATACCAGGAGTTCCACTTAACAAGACAGCTTTTTTGGAACCAGAGTCATTTGGCTTTTTTCCCTGTTTTTTGTTACCACTGTCCAAAAATTGCTCATGCCAAGTTTTCAACCAATTACGAAGCTGTGAAACCTGTATGCCATTACATTTAAGAATATGAATATCATCCAAATTTAGGTTTATATATAAGAACAAAATTTAACCAACAAGAAATGGTAATGAAGACTAGTAATTATACAAGTGACTGATTCCCTATGATATCCTTCGGATTAGTAGGTCGATGCTTCTCTGTCCACATCACAGAAGACTGAATAGCATTTGCAGTCTTTGGCTTGGCTTGTTTAGCAGGCGAGTTTGAAGATAGAGGGACTGCATTTGTTGATTAAGGAATGCAACTCAGAACATAAATAACCAGATACCCTTTCATTGTAACAACCCAAGCAATATAAACAGTTCACAACAACAAAACCCTTATCTCACTAAGTAAGGTGGGCTATATGGATCACACTAACAACTAGAAAATAGAAGCATCAAGAATACAGCTTATAATGGCTTACCCTTAGCTTCTGATTTTGGAGAAACTTTTGACTGGGATGCTAATGCAACAGCCTTATTCACAGGTTTCTTGTCTTGTGAAGGAGCTTTTGCAGATTTTGATGCACGAATCATATCAAATAACCCATCCTCTGTGAGAAAGGAAGTTCTATATGAAAAGAGAGAAGTACACAATGAGTGCTGGTAAAATGTGGTCACTGTTTTATACTTTATAAAAAGTACAAATATAAAAATGCTAACCCTATCTCTTTGGCTTTTGCAGACTTACGTCCCCCAATATCTTCATCACACAACAGGTAATTCTGCAAACCAAGGATGTTAATCGCATGCTGCTTATGTAAATTCAATTACAATTGAATAAAAAAAAACCCTTATCCAACCGTTTTCTTGCTGACTGATCCAGTGACACGGCCACCATGGCGTTTAATCAAATCTTCTGCTTCTTCTCTTTCCAAACTGCAATTGAGCAACAGAAAAAGTATAAAGACCTAAGATAGTAAATCATGACATGCAATAATTATGGCCTGCACATTCAAAATAGAAAGGGAAGGAGAACAAGATGAGGAAAAATAAACTTTAAACTGAGCTCTGAGTCAAGCAAGTCAAGAAAAATATGTGAAATTTATAATAGAATTAAAATAAATACCTGTCCAGTGTTCCACTGATCACAAAAGTCAAGCCACTTAAGCAGTCAGGAGCGCCTTCAGGGACTTCCTGTCACACAAAAGAAGTTTCAATGTATTGACAACAAAAAAAATCAATCAGTAGATCCAGATGCTCGATAACCTAGAACCTTTTCTCCTTTGTGTGGAGGATCTTTTCTTTCTCCAAAATTCATGAATCCACCCCTGCCACCCCCTCTACCTCTTCCACCAGTTGATTGAGCTGATGCTCCTCTTCCACCTCGACCCCTTCCACCAGATTTAACAGCAGACACAGCATCTTTGTCATTATCCTCATCACTTTCTTCCAAATCTGCAGATTTCCGGGGAATCCCCCTACCTGATCCACTCTTCAATTTTTTCGTTGGTGTGACATCAGCTAACTTCTTTTTATTGGTGGGCAAGACAGAGTCATCTCCATCATCTTCATCAGCATCATGAGTTTTCTTTGAAATAAGGGGCTCTGTTGTACCCTCGTTGTCCTTCATATTCTTTCTTTTAGCGGGGAGCTCCTTTGTTTCTTTATCATCTTTTGGCTTTTGCTTATTTGTATTAAAATATTTGCTAGTTATCCTCCTCCCTGAACTTTCTTGAACTCCAGGAACCTGCAAGAAGACATTTTTCCCCTTACTATTCAACAAGTTTTCATATATTCAAATACCCTACTATCCCTCAGCCCTAGGAGAGAAAATTAATGCCTTGAACCCCAAAGCACTTGATGAAACCTATCAAGGGAACCATTCAACCAGAACCAATCCATTTATGACTCAGCCAAATTATTAAAAATTGACAATATCAAGAGGAAAATTAAACGCCACACCAACTTACCATGCAATGACTTGATTTGCTCAAATACATATCACCGAAAACAGAATGCTAGAGCCAAAATTCTTGCATTCTTCAAATTCTATATGCTTTTCATTCATCCCCTTTTCCGTTAAATCATTGAAAGAATACATAAACTAAACCTACCCTCTAACTTCACAGGAACAATAATTTTTTAAAAAATTAAAAAAAAAAAATGAACGTGAAATACTACTAATAATAATAAATAAATAAATAAATAACAACAACACTCACGGTTTTCTCCGTCTGAGGTTTATCCGAAGAAAGTTTGGACTGATTGGAAGATTTGGAGTCACTGGCATTGTTGCCTTTGTCATGTGATTTCATGAACCACTTCCTTATATCACTCTGTAGCTCAAACAGAAAACAGAAAAATCAAACTGTGAAGGAAGATACCCAAACGCCAAAGAAATTGTTGTTTAAAAGCGTAAATAAGAGAGAGCAGAACGAAGAACCCTAACTTACCATCTGTGCGAAGAGGCGGGAGAGCACAAACTTCGTTCCACCTGAATGACTCTGCAACAGAGACTGTAAAGCTCTATTATTATTATTATTATTATTAAATATTAAATAAAAAATTGCCTGTTCGGAAAGGAACAGTATATATGCATCAATCATATATCTTATTATAATTAAACAACTTTTGTAATACATCCCTTCTAACACGTATACTAACAATATATACAAATAAGAATATAAAATAATTACAAAAATAAGACTATAACGTTAAATGTTAAAAAAATTATTTTTTTCCTTACCATAAAACTATAGAAGTAACTTGATTTTATTTTCAAAATAAACAATCAGCGTGTTTTTATCTTAGAATAATAATTTCTCATCTTTGTTAGAACTTTCAAAAGTAAACCAATTTTTCTAAAGAAATAGTATCTATTCAAACATGTGATAAAATTATAATTTCGGTGCAAAATTAAAGATGTTAAGATTAGTGTTATGATAAATTTGCAGTGAAAAATAAAATCATCATTCCTAGTCGATGGAGTGAAATTTTGGAAATTTTTTATCGAAGTTAAATCCCAAATAGTAGTTGATTTCTCAAAATGGTTTTATTTAAAAACAAGATTAAAGAAAATAAGAAACTTATCTTTTAGAAGGGTGGAATAAAGAAATACGAGTCATTACTTTTTGTTTCTATCAGAAATGAATTTTTCACGTATATGTTATATATATATATATATATATATATATATATATATATATATAATATCATAAAAAATATATATCATTAAAGTTGCCCAGGATGCAGTAAAAATATAATTTGTTAATTTAATTTAAATAAAATTATCGTTATTTGAGATAACTATAAAAATTATTATAAGAATATAGTGTCTTTTGATTTATTTATTATCAAGTGTCAAAAATTAAAAAGAAAAGCTCGTTGTAAGCTAATTTTTAAATACTAATCGATTGATTTTCATTTTTATTAAAAAAACCATAGAAGTCTTTTCTTTAGTCTTCTCTTTTATGCAAAGGGGTTAATTTTTTAAAAAAAATTATAAAATCAAAATAAAAAATATTATACATGAAGGATAAATTATGTCGTATCTTTGATCTATATTTAGTTGTCTCAAAATACTATTTTTCAATTTTATCCCTACACTTTAAAAAATTTCAAATCAATCCCTAATCATTCTCACAATGCCCTTATTTAAATCGTTTAGTTTTGATTATATGATTCTATTCTAGTTTATCTATTTTCTTTCTCATATTTTAACTTGTTAGCGAGTTCAGTCTTTTCAAGACCAGATTATATAACAGTACTAAATTTTGCCCAAAAGCATATAATAAATACCTATATGCAGTGCGTTTTATAATCAATTGTATAGTCAACACTATCAGTGATCAAACCAATTTTTTTTTTAATGTATCATATTATATATTTTGCTTTTCATTTGTCTAATTTCAACTCGCAAAAAATGCTGATGGATGGACACACTAGTAACTAAACCATTAACAGCAGTGTGGAAGCAAAGCCAAATTCATCTCAGGATTTCAATTGGAAATATAAGGTTCATTATTGATAAAGTTAAAGCAAAACTCAACTTCTTCAACTGAGAGAATTCAAGATAGAAAAGAGCTTAGTGGGGGGAGATTGTAATCTGCTTTATGTCAAGTTGTATACTGCAACAAAAGGCATGAGAACACTTCCCATCCAGAGTTTCCCATCCTTCTCCTCCACTTCACTCACTGCTTTAACAACTTTCCCCTCACTGTCCTCCAATATCTGCACAAGTTTACCTTCAGGGCTATACTTAACTACTACAGCATGTGGGTGACCTCCTATTTGAAGCAGATATTGAATCTTTGTTGGTATAGGAAGCTTGAGTATGGCTTTCCTTATCTTTGGGTAGAGACCATTAAGATACGCATACATATACCTTCTACAATGAATAGCCACCCAAAAATCACCATCTTCATTCACTCTCACATTGTCTGGATATCCAGGTAGAATGGCTAAGATCTCTGAAGTCCCAGCTTTATCTCCTTTCAGCCAGTATTTACGTAACCTGCACAACAAGTAATGATATGAGAAGGTAACTCTTGCATTAATCAACATGAGTTCCAACATAGCAGTTACTAATATTAAGTTCAAATTAAAGACTATTAGCTAAAGAAGAAAGATTCACTCACTAGCTTTGTTTAATAGCTATCAGCCAACAACAACCAAAAAACTGAATTTGCATCATTTCCAATTTGGAAAGATCTCTATTACAATAAGTTTTTGAGTAAGTAAAAAAAGGAAATGGTAACCTTCCATATGCAAAATCAAGCATAAAGCATGCTCATATAAGGGTAAAATTGAAGATACAACGCACATAGGGGAGAAGTTCTTAGGTTCCCCTGAGCAAGAGAAATCTTTTGCCATGTGTCATTAAGATATATTCAAGTGGGAAACACATTCAGTAATACAAAACAAGAAATTTCTCTTACTGTAAGAGCAACCCAGAATTTCTCCACAAAGATCTATGTGATTATTAGATTCACCTGCCAACAACCCCTTCACAGAAGACAAAGAAGGAACCATCCTTGCTTAAGGAAATGCCATTTGGGAATTGAATGTTCCTTGCAAGAACAGTGGTTTCCTTAGTGGTAGGGTTGTATTTCAAAACCTTGCCACTGTCGTCCCCAGAAAATACCAGCTGAATGAAATTCCTGTTCAAAAATTACGTCAGACCCAACAAAACAAGACAGATAAAACAATACAATATCAGCATATAGAACTCAAAGCTCCGAAAAAAAGCAATGACTTATCAGAGATCTAACACCTGCGCAACTAATCATATGCTCAATGGGCTTAACTCCCTCATAATTAAAGAATCCCATGCAAACTTGTTTAAGCAAAAAGGTCACTCAGAGATTTCACAGATGCATGTTGGATTTCATATTAAGTTTATGATGATCCCCTACATACACTTCCCATAAATTTCCTAATGTGTTTCTCTGTTTTGTTTTTTGGTCGTACTTATCAATCAGTAAGAAAATGTAATCAAATCTCAATTATTATTACTACTTGGTTATCCAGTCTTAAGCTTTGTAGCATTGTCCGAAAGATCAAGGAATGTAATATGCGAATTAAATTATATTCACTCAATAATACCCCTTACATACATTCTAAACACCATCATGCCATTTCTTAATTGTCTATGTTTTAGTAAGAAAGATAACAAAATAATTCATTGTCAGACATTGGATTTACTTCAGCTGTTTACCAATATGTGTGTAACACCATTCTATTAACAAATAGTAATAAATTCCCTCCACTGCCACAATGCATGTGACAACATAAGAGTTCAACAATTGTACACAGTAATCAATAAATCAAGTTCTTCAACTATTTTGAAATACTTATACCCAAAATAGTAACAATTTCTAAAAGTAAAAATTCTAATAAATGAACACAAAACCCTACCTCCTCGGATAAATACAACTGCTCTCCGTGAAATAAACATTCCCTTCCTCATCAACATCAACATCATTAGTAAACCTCAAAGGCACCCCTTCAGCCTCAGTTACAAGAGAGGTTGCTAAACCACCCTCAGGGCCCACCTTCAAGAGCCCAAAATATGCATCTGCAATGTACAAATCACCTGTTTTCTTGTGAAATCTAAGTCCCAAAGGCCTTCCACATATATGCTCAGTTTTCACAAAACTGAAAGGTGTCGCAGATGCTATAGGATTACACAGTTCTGACCTGCATTTAATCAACTATATTGTTAACAGAGTCACATTTAAATACACAATCTAATTATCCATTTATTCCATATATTTTTCAAAACAACAACTTATATCATAAATTTAACCATAAAACTACTAAAACAAGATAAAAATAACTTATTTTGATAAACTACAAAGTACCCTTAATTTAATTTTTGCACATTGTATTGATACAACGTGATGTGTGTAGCATTAAGGAAGAGAAAAGTGACCTGTTGGGGGAGGTATAAGCAAAGTCAACCCAAGAGTGACCATTCCAGAAAACGATTCTGCCATCGGCGAGACCGGTATAAGGGCCACGACCAAGAGGGTCAAAGGCAATGCTCTCTGGACCCTGCACCTCATTCAAAAACTTTATCTCAGATTTTTGCAACAAGTTGTGTTTGTCTTGCTGGGTAGGAACCTCGGACCATGTCGGCATGTCAATCTTTTTGGCGTCGAAGTCAGGGAAGTTCGCTATTGGGCTGTGTTTGAATGGGTCCAGCCCACAGTACACCGCCAGTAAGAGCAGCACGACAGCGAGGCCTCTACCCACAGCCATGGCTACCGGAGAAAAACGGAAGTTTGAAGGGAACAGTGTGTGTGTCAAATGTGAATGTTAATACCAAAATATGTACGTTGAAAAAATATCATCACGTGTGTGGTGTGTGCAGACTTACTTCCTCAGAAGTAAGAAAATCAAATATTTTTATTAGAATTTAAGTATTTTTCAAGTATAACTAATTTTAAATTAATAATAGATAAATTTTTATTTTTATCTTGCTTTACAGTTAATACAACTCTTGTTAAGTCTGTTTGAAAAAAATTATAAAAAATATTTTTATAAATTTAAAATTGATTTGTTCAGATAAATGTTTATCTTAATTATTAAATTTATAGCATAAATTATTATTTAAATAAGATGTGTGTTAGAACTCATGCATGTTAAATTAATCATGACCATCAAGAACATAGATTAACTTATACTTAATTTATGATTTTAAATTTAAATTCATGAATCAACATTGAATACTTTAAAAAGACTTTGAAATGCATGAGAGTTACCAGAAAATCAGCAGGTGGGGCGATTATAATAAGTAAAAACGTGGGGGCAGCCGTTTTGTTTGGTTAGTTTGTAAATTCTACATAGAATGGGGAAGAGTGGGTAGGTGAGGCATTTTCTTGTTAGTGCCGGTAGATGTACAGTACAGTTAAGCGCTTTTCTGTGCATTAATATTTTCTTCATCCTATTTATAAAAAAATAAAAAACTAAATTATCAAAATTAAGAAAAATAATTAAGTTAGTTATGTTTTTTATAAATATAAATTTTGTTTTAAAAATACTCATGATATTAAATAATATAATTAGTAATTTATATATTCAATGATACTAATAAAAAATATTAAAAAAAATAACAATTAATATATCTTAAATTTATAATTTATTTATTATAATAAAAACTAATAAAATGCTCCATTTTGTTTCTTATAAAAAATATTAAAGGTAGTATTAATTAAAAATTATGTGAGATTCAATTTTTATCACTGTTAAATTAATTTTTTTATGTATTTTTTATTTTTTAATAATTTTAATTAATAATAAATAATATATTATTAATTTTGTTTATGAAAATAATATTTCAAAGTGAGTGGAATTTGGACTTTGAATTTTAAGAATACATGACTTGCACAGTATTCACTATCTATTGGAATAGAGTTTTCTCACTATTAAGATGCCTTGAAAAATATGTGTAGAGATGAAATTAAGTCCATGAATTTGAAGGGATTGAAGAAAAACAATCAAAAAAATACAAGGCCAAATAAATAATGCAATTTGATAGAACAATATATAAATAAAAAAATAGGATATTAAAATGTAAAATATTATCAATGTATATAAAAGTTACCGCAGAAAAATAAGTTTTAACTTAAATTTGATTACATTCAATCTGACTTGTTTTAATATGAATAATCGGTGAATAAGAAATTATCTATTATAATTCTTTTTTTTATTTAAATGATATTTTAAAAGAAAATTTAACTTATTTAATAAATAAATAAATAAATTATAATAAAAGATTTAATGTAGAATCATTGGTATTTTTCATCATTCTCTTAAAAGTTGAAAACATCTATATTATAGTGAGATTAATTCTTTAAACTATTTTTTAATGTAATTCAATTAAATAAGTTATTTAATATGAATGTTATATCAATAAATTTAATAATTAATTTTTATTAGTTTATGTATTTTTTTAATCAGGTCGAGTTAAATTACATATTCTGATTATTATTATCTGATCTTTTCATTCTAGGTTATTATTAAGGGGAAAAAAATAACTTCACTTATTTTTGTTTATGGACCTTTTGGGCCTTGTTTAAGTCGTCCAGGGATAGAAAAAGGCAGTATTCGGGCTCTTATTATTGCCGTGTCAAACTTTTACGTTTTTTGGTAGCTACTAGTGGGATTTTTAGGACAACTGAGAGCTAGCAATTTTCAGCAATTCTTTTTTTTTTTTTTGCCTTGTATATATAAAGAATTCTTTAAAAAAAGCTTTAATGATCTTTACTATAAGAGATGCACTTTGTAATTTTTATGAAATATTTATTATTATTTTATTCATCTTTAGTAAGTAAAATTAGTAGTAACTTAAATTAAAATTAATAAGTCTAGATGTTGACAGTAGAATTATTTTCAATGATATTAAATAAGAGGTCATTTTTTATGTAATAACATTTTAAAGAATAAAAAATTACTACCTTTAATCATTTTACTAGTTTACATATGTGAAATTACTGATTTCAATAAATAGAGAAATGAGTGCATGATAGCAATATAAATTAAATGGCATAAACTTATGCTTAAATATGTAAACATTTGACAAATTTACATAAGTCTGCAATCAAATAAATCAACACACACTATTTAAGAAAATGGTATAGGAATAGTAAAGTTATAGACCTGTGTAGATATTAATGGTTTGAATGGGGGCAGCAAAAAACCAAAAATATATTTTTCAAAATATTGATTGGTATGTGGAAGAGTTACTTCCTCCACAGTAACTTAAGCTTGAAGTTTAGAGAGTAGGATGAAGTTCTTAGGGAACATTATCATTTAGAGGGAAACTTTTTTTTATCAGCAATTGGAACCTTTCTTTTTATGCAAATGATAATGCGTACCAATAACCTATTGTCGGCCCTATATCATCAATAACTTCTATTCTTTTAATTTTATGAAAACAAAAAGAATAATGTGAAAACTTTTTAATGTAATTTTGATAGTATATTATTTAAAAATTTTAATTTATTATTTAAAAAAATATTATTTATTAAAACAAAGTAATATAATAAAATTAAATAATTTTATTTTGTTATAAAAATAATTAATAAAAAATTTCAAAAGTTAACCGGATAGATGAATCTCAATGATGTAAATTTTCATATAAATATATATTATTATTTAGAGTTTAGATTTAAGTTAAATAAAAAATTTAAATTAAATATAAATATTTTTATTATTTATTTACCAAAACTGCTAAAACCACTGCTGTGTGTACGAGTTTGGAACATGACTAATCTATTATATGGATTAGACCATTCACTTGACCGATCGAATCAGTTGACTTGCTCAAAGTTTGATGACACTAAGCCAACCCGTTCTTTACAAATAGTTTAATTTATTTTCATTCCTACCTCAAATCAAAATACTCTTTAATTAATTAGCCTTAATTGCCAATACAAACATCAACAACACTAATGATGTTGACATTTGCCATAATGAATCGGCATCACCAATGATATTGTACGACTTCACTAGGTAAGGCATAATTCCCTTATTTCCATAAACACAAACTAGGCTTCGTAATATACTTTTTACTATAAATATATATATATTATTATTATTCACAAACATTTTTTCAAGGTTCAAACTTGGTTTAGAATGACATGCATAGTTCACTTCTTATATTCTAGGTTTTGGGCATAGCAAGATATTTTTAGATGATCCTAATGTTAAGATGCGTATATTATTTATGTTGTCAAGTATCTATCATCCTAGTCATATAAATCGCCATTGTATTTATTTTAATTTTTTTTAATATTATATATATAATAATAATAATACAAATTTAATTATATACGTTAAAATTAATTTTTTTTTGTTTCTAAACATTTAAGAATTATATATTTATCTTGGACATCTCTCTATCATTCTATTTTTGTGTTTAATAATAATAAAAATATTATAAATAATAGTATTTTTTTTTCACAACTATACAAGTTATTAAGATTTTATTTAGATGTTTAGAGAAAATAGAACAAAAGAGTTTGAATGAGAGGAGAAAGAAGGATTAATCCCATCCCTTGCATAAATATTTAATTTTAAGAAAGAAAAATGACAGAGGTTAAATTATATAAATAATATTATTATCTTTTATATTTTTGTATTTGTATTTATATTTTTAAAATAATATAAAAATTAATTTTTTTTCTAAAAATTAATATTATTAAAATTAAAAATTGTATTTTTATAATTTAAAAAATTCAATTTTAAATTTAATATTATTATAATTATTTTTTCAAAAAAATTTCATATATTTTAAAAAAATTATAATCGTGAAAGAATATGAATAAGCGAGAATAAAGCCCTTAGATCAGAGAACTCAAAAAAATCAACAATAAATTTTGAAAAAAATTTTAAAAAAATTATTTAATCTTTTTTTAATTAATTAATTTTTAAATAAAGATTAAATTTTATTAGCTTTTTTTTTGTCCCCTTCCTCTTCTCTTAATACGACATTTAAATATAGCCTAAATTTTCATGATTATGTTATGTACATTAGGATAAATTTTTTTTACAAACTTTTTGAAATTGTTATATCTTAAGTAAAATTGAATATTTTGGGGAACCAAACTTTTGTTTAAGAGGAGGAAAGCTTCTGTAAGTTAAATTAAAATGTGAAAATGATCTACATTCTTACGTTGTGTTACACAACATTTAGTCTTAAAAGTGATGTGTTTCGTTTGTTCCTTTCCCAAATCATTTTATTATAACAAAATATTTTTTTTATAAATTAAAATGGTAAAACGGAAATAACAACCCCTAATTGGACTAAAAAAGACTTTAATGATGCGCTAATTAAGGATACTTATAGGGTCAACAAAAAAAGTTTTATAGAGACCTATTAACAAATTTACTACCTAATTGTAAGTACTCAACTAGTTTTTGAGTGTTAAAGGATTTCCATAAAAAAAAAGTTCCTTAAGTAATATTTAAGATAACTTCAAAAGGAATTTGATTTTCAATTTTTCTCTGAAATTTTAATACTTTTACTTGTATTATCAAATTAACTTCATTTATCTATTTTTTTTAACTTTCATAAAATTATCTTAAAAAATGTAATTTTGTATTTTTTTTAATGAGACTTTTAATCATTACAGTAGTGTTGTATATGGAACGTGGTTATCTTTACTCTAACCTAATCTAAAATTTTTATATTGTTACTTTTTTCTAACTCAGAAGTAACCCGATAAAGATTCAATAATATTAAGAGAGGATTGAGTCAACTCAACTTGCCAGTAAAATATAATAAAATCATAGAATTAATAAAGTATAAATTAAAAAAATTCAAATAATAATATCAATATAAACATGATATCGTGATATATAAAACATTAACTCTTTAAATATCATTATTGTTCTATAATTATTTTTAAAAGTATAGTTTTTTTTTCAAAAAACACAACAACAGTACCAAGTTGAACAAAACTATAACCTAAACTTTCCTCAAAATACATTAAGTATCTAAAAACTAAAACTTATCAAAATTAAAATCAGAACGAGACGCATTGGTGAAACAAGTCAAGTCTTGTACACCCCTTGATGCAAGTTCTCTCTCTATATATACAGGTAATTGATAGAATAGTTTCCCATTTTTTCTCCCCAATTATCATGCTTAGTTATATTTGTTTGATTAAAAACATTCATTGTATAACATTGTGACTTACACGTTTTGCAGTCACAAAAAAATCAACTGTAATTATATGTGGTATATATTCAAAATTCTATTAAACCTGTATCAATGTAAATTGTAATTCCCCCTAACTTTAGACAAATAGCCATTCTGGTCATCATCTTTTATCATATTTCAAACGTTTGTGATTGATTCCCTGGGTACTAATTATTAATAACTAAATAATTAAGCACATGAATGCAACAATAATACAAAAACGTCAAAAACTTTCGTGTCTAGCTAGTTGTCTTTTTATTGAACAGTGGAGACTCATAATGTCTTAATTTCTCTATTGTATCACAATGAATGATGTTCAAAGACAATGTGTGAAAGACTGAAACTGTACAAACGTGACCAGGGTGCTGATGGACATGCAGCGTGTCTTGTACACACAGCGCGCAGGCATCAACTTTTTAGTTGCTACAAGTTATAACTAAATATAGAAAAAACCCAAAATCCTTCTAACCTATTTGTCTTCAGTGTTAACTGTTGTCACCCTGTCACCACAATAGTCATATAATTAAATTTCATAAATGTTTTTCTTTTCTTAATTTCTACTTTCAACATTTACAACTTCCTCTTTTTAAAAAGAAATAAAGAAAGAAAGAATATGTTTCTCCTATTTTGTTCCTCACTTTTATTTTCTCAATAAGGAAAGTTTAGGGAAGTGTAAAATTTAAATGAATAAATACAAGCAATCTTTAAAATTTTTAACATAAATCTTGACAAATGACATGCACATGTGGCTGTTTGGTTATATGCTCCTCTAGAGGTTCATTTGTAGTTTTCAATCTGAAATTAATCAATGGTTTTACGTTAATTAACTGGATAATCAAGAGAGAGAGGGAGAGAGAGAGAGAGAAACCGCGTACTAATTAATGAAAAATACCACGTTGAGACTTTCACGGGAAAATACATGAATGCGTATAGGAACATGTCTAATCACTTTACAAGCAGTACACGCCATAGATAAGCAGAAGCAAAAATGGACAAAAGTTAATTTCCATCACTTGCCATTTCCATAGTCTTTTCGATGTCATGATTAATCCATGTTAAGCTTTGTTGACTTCATTATGTGATTAATTATAATGCATTAACTTTCAGAACTTCGCATTAATCTTGTATGGGAATGTTTGTTTTAGATTTTGGAAGCGTCGTCGACCAAAGTATAGTTGATTTGTCTTTATTTCATTTTGTTTTATAAGTAAACCTGTTTGGCTAACTTGGTAAGAAATCCATTTTAACATATTTTCTTAACTGAGTCTTGTTAACAAGCAACTTAAAGACACTGGTTAAAAATTTAATAACTAAATAATATATTAAAAATTACATTAGAAATATGCTAATTTTTTAAAATATTATTATTTGAAGTTTAGATTCTTAATGAGTTTCAAATTTAATTGTACTTTAAATGGCCAAAGTCACACTTTCTTTTTACTATATAAACTAATATTTATACTTTCTTTTAGTATTTTTTTATTTTAGAATAATTTTTATATATTTTTTAAAAAATAAAACCTAATAATGTTTAAAACATTGTTTCTGATTACGGTTAATTTTTAATATTTATTATTAAAAAAATTATCAAACCTTAAATAAGTTTTTTCTCTATTTGAAGCCAGTGTTTATTATTATTGTTGTTATTTTTACAGCAATTTTTGTTTTGTTTATTTATTAAATATTTTACATATTTTTATAAATTTACTTTAATAACTAATATTTATTTGATAAAGATGATAAATAATTGAAATATTTAATATAATAGATAAAAAGTATAAAAGAAATTTAAATAATTATTTTGATCCTATTTATAAGACACTTTTTATAATTTTTTATGAAACATCTATTATATTTTTTCATTAGTGTTTAACAAATACACTAAGTGAAACCTATATTAAAATTAAGAAGAATAAATACTAATAATAAAGTTAAGTTAAATGTTATAAAATTATCATATTGTAATATTTTTAAAATATTAACAAATTAACACTAGTTTAGTTAAGAGTCATACAAAAAAAAAAAACAAAAAAGAGTAATGACTTTTTTTTATAAAAAATTAAACTACTAATTAATTTGTAGTCATAAACATAAATCTAAGATTTTATAAAACATAAAAAATGAAAAACGTTTGTAGTCATAAAACATAAATCTAAGATTTTATATAATGTGGATTAAAATATAAAATTTGAAGATATGATTCATGAAGAGCCCTTATCCAAGGTAGAGAAATGAAAGGGTTTGTGATGGTTGCATCTTTGACAGTCATATAATAGAGAGAATGCAGATTGGATAGACACAAGTTCTAAGCAGAGACTCTGATCCCTAAAAGCAAAAACTCTCTCATCCCTAAACATTCATTCCAAATTTCAAAGCATTAATATCTCGCCCCCCTCGTCCGCTACAGAAAGCCAGTATGGTTAGAGATGGGTCACTCCCACCCACTCATTCTCTCAATCATAACACATCTTCACACCCCTTCCCCACTCTCAAAACACACGCGCCCACACGCGCACACACTTCCCATAATCCATCTTTTCTTCCTAAATCAAAAACCACTAACCCCACCCCCCCACTTCACTAGTTTTCCCCGACCAGACCAGTCCCATCCTAACCTTTGAGATTTTGTACACATCCTTTCTCTCTCCATCTCTTCATAAAACCATAAAATTTAAATTTTAAAATAAAAAAATTAAAATTTCTTTTTTTTTTTTCGTATACCCTTTATTAATTCCCTTCCGGGTCTTCTGTAAATCCTTGATGATCATGTTCACTTTTCTTTCAGCCAAGTGATTCTCTCCCCCGTGATCTGCCTATAAATCTACTAAGCACACTCTCAAAGGATACAGTCACATATAGAGAAAGCAAAAAAAAAAAATGTCAATGGACTTGATGGCAACCGAACGTGTTTGTTATGTTCACTGCAACTTCTGCAACACCATTCTAGCGGTACTATACTCTCTCTCTTTCATTTATTTTTGCCATATTCTTCTAAGCTTTCTGCTGTGACACGCCTTTCATCAGCTAATTTGGCAATACGGGTTTTCTGTGATTCCTTTAATCGAGATCGTGAGATGATAGAAGGGCAAAGAATAAAGGAAAGGCACTTCTGGGTACCCATCAAAAAGCAAAATTCACTTCAGACCTAATCAGAATGCATGTATATAAATATATATGTGGATGAAAACTAAACTGTTGGAAAGCTACAGTGACCCCAATTTTATAAGGAATCCATCACTCCAGTTAATTAAATAATTTCGTGACCTTTTTATTCCAAGAATTCCACTCTTATCTTATATTTTATGAGAAAGTGTAACTGGGTTTTGCTCCCTTTCTAACCTCTACCATGGTGAGAAAGTTCATATATATATGTTTGTGTGTGTGGTGAGTTTGGTCAGAGGCAAGAGAGATATGCAGCCCAGTAGTAGCAGAAAATTAAAAAGTTACAGAAAAATTAAAATTGAAACTTCTAGCTAGTCGTACCAAACAGCACAATTAATTGTGAGAAATAAAGGAATTCTATGAACCAGATGCAATCAATTTTTAGATGCTTATGAATAAAATGCACACACAGGCGCAGCCATGTATAAGATCTACTAGGGTTGTTATTCCCAGGTATTAGGGTTCCCTTATTTTGTTTCTAATTTTAAAAAAATGGAGAAGATTAAATAGCATCGTTGATGTATATATGATTTCATATGCTAGATATTGTATACAAATTGTACCGTTGTTTTAATTTATGAATACTTTTTTTTTGCTTGCTTTGTGTGTACTTGTGCGTTAAATTTAACTCACAGCTCACGAATCCATGTGATGGTACGCAGTGTAGTTTCTCTCTCCTCAGTCTACGATCACTTAATTGCCTTTCTGTGGTGATGAGGGTGAAGCATCGTCTTTTATGATATCGTATATATCATCAAGTTCTTTCACGGTTTCAGGCTTGTTGCTTCCCTTAAGTACAGAGGCAGTGTCCTCTCTTTCTTTCTACAATAACTTGTGGAGATTGTGAATTCATTTCATCACCCCAACATCAAACTATATTCTCTCTCTCTTTCTCCCTTTTTTTTACCTCCTGATTTTTTTCTCGTTATTTTCTGTCTCTTCTTTCATCATAGCAAAGCTGTTGAAATTAACTACCCCTTTTTAGAAAGCATTGCTTTCATTCTCTCCTATCCTCAAAGGAAGATCTTAACATTGGCTAAAGGGCTAATTTGCTTCATAAATCGTGATATGATGTTATATTATTAGCGTGTTTGGCTTCACATTAATTTACGATGTATATGGATCTACATTTCTTTCAAATCAACTAGTTCTAACTTTTGTGTTAGATTTTTCTAACGCGTTTCCAAACACACGCTATATCACTCTCCTTGGTAGTGGTTAACGGTGGTGTGGTTCTTCAAGGCCTTGCTTGATGGTTCGTGTTCCAGTCAAGTCGTTTTCACCCTCTCTCTTTCCTCCACGCTATGAGCAACAATTTCTATCTTTTATCATCTTGCCTTGCAGTGTCAGCAAAAAGTGAAGCGCACCAAGAACAAGGGACATTGTGAGAGAGTACTGAATTTTAAATCGCCCCATGTCAGGTTCTGAGCTTGCTAGTTGCTGCTGCTATAGATGTAATGAATATACCACTACCACACCACACTCTCCCTCTCTAGCTGCACAGTGGACACACCCTTTAAAAGTAGACCTCTCAGAATGAATGAGAAAAGATTACTGCACTCATTTCTCTCTCTGGCTGCTTATTTATCATCTTCTTGATGACCTCTTTCTTCTGGCAACTATGCATTTTGTTTTTTTCTCTGCCCCATTTTCATCACCTTATATAAATGCTGCATGCTGCTTTGGCAGCACCTTTCTTGGGAATGTGAAAGCATAAGTTCCCCTAAATAAATATAAATATATATATACATGTTAACCTTTTTTGACAATATGTGAAGCTTGATCTTTCAGCTCTTGTTGATTTTCAGTTCTTGTTTTTAATGGTCAAATGTATGCATACATGTGAAAAAGATATTCTTCTACTTGCTTTCTACCTATCTAGTGAAATTGTATTTGTCAAAAAAAATAAAAAATAGTGATGATAAATATTTGGTTTGTATTTGGAAATGGGGTATTGGCAGGTAAGTGTTCCATACAGCAGTTTGCTAACCATAGTGACGGTTAGATGTGGACATTGTGCCAATTTGCTATCAGTTAACATGGGAGCGTCACTTCCAACATTTCCTCCTCAAGATCCCCAGGTATATATATATATATTTCACACTTTTGTTTAATTCCCTATTTGTGACGTTATGGGCAACTATAAATGGATAATGTAATATAATTTCTTCATAGCCTTTTTTATGAAAAAGAAAAGGCTTGCATTTCTTGAAATGTGTTATGTGATATTTCATTAATTCTTGGGTAAATCTTTTGCTACTTAAGTCACAGAAACAGCACCTGAGCTTTGAAGAACCAAGCAGCAAGGAACTGGGATCATCTTCAAAATGTAACAAAATAGCACCATTTGAGGCAGTAGAGCATGAACAACCTAGGATTCCTCCCATTCGTCGTGAGTCATCACTCTATTAATTTCTCTCCTTTTTGTATTTGTTTTGGTGTCACAACGAATCTTAATTTGAATGAACAAACATACTATGTGGCTAGGCCAGCCTGAGGAACTTTATATTATGATTCACAAGTTCTACTTAACGAACAAAAAAGACTAAGGCTACTCACTCCACAACAGGCTGAGAAGCTAATTTAATACTATAAGTCTACAAGTAATAGCAGAGCAGAACAAGCTCATCACTGAGGCCACTAGCATAAAAACGAGTTTTTCTCCATCTGGGTATCCATTTTTTATTGTGGCCAATTTGGGCATCTTATTTTCTCCATCAACTTTAATGGCCCCCTCTAAGATGGTGACCTTACATAACAAAATTGACCCATCCTTAATTCATTGCTGTCAAGCAATGCCCTAGAACATATATATTATATCTTATATGCAATTATCCATGTGCAATTTCATTTTACAGTTACAGATTCCTCTCACCATATATAACAGCTCATCATGGTAATTGATACTGGCAATGGTATAGTAGTACTTCAGTTATTTAGTGGATGGATGAATTTTCTCGCTGTAAAGTGCTGCAATGACGACAAAATTGTTTGAGAAATAACAAAGAGAACCCAAAGGACTCTTGGGTAAACAAGTATAATTTGAATTGTATTTGAATGCCAAGGGCATATATATATATATGGTCCTTGATTAGTCAGTTCTGCAGCTATAGAATCTGTCCAAAAATGGGGCCTGCTCTTGCCAAAAAGAAATTTCATCTCAACCTGATGTTTTTGTTGATTTTATTAGAAAATCATAGTGAATATGGGACGTATATTTTTTTTGTTACAAATTTGTATTTTAAATTTAAATTGATGATGCTTATATATATATATATATATATATATATCAAACAACACAATCAATCATCAATTTATTATATATATAATAATAATAATAATAAAAAATTGATGATTGATTGTGTTTGTTGTTTGATATTATTGTGTCATTTTATTTATTTAGTATTCGAAACTAAATGATTTCATGATTATTCACAGCTACAGAGAAGAGACATCGCGTTCCTTCTGCTTATAACCGGTTCATTAAGTAAGTAGTCTTTAGAGCTTACTATTTTTATTCTACCTCCTTGCTTCTCGCAGTCTTCAGTCTGAAGGTGGGATTTGATCATGTATTATTCACTAAATATATTATTATTAACCTCGCATGAGACTAATTAAGGATTATATATATATATATATATATATATATATATATATATATATATAGAAAGAAAGAAAGAAAGAAAGTATGCGTAATTTAAAAAACAAATAGTGTCACTTGTTAGAAATAATGTATAAATTAATTAATAGAGGGGTTGTATGTTTTTAATCAAGAAAAATATCATTATAATAAACATTAATTTTAAGATACGTCGATATAGGCCTTATTTTTAAAGGAGTTTGATTTTATCGCAGTATGTCAACATATGCATTTGAGTTTATATATTCTAATAATAAAAATTAAAATGAATGTTAGTACTTTTGAAGGCAGTTTCATTTTCACTAAAAAGATTACAATTATTTCACTGAACGAAATTTCTTACTTAGAAAAACTTTTTTGGAGGACACAAAGTATTTGTATATATAGATATATACATTATTCCACTCCAAAAGAAAAAAACAAAGAAAAAGAAAATAGAAATAGATGATTTCATTCAACAAAAAATTAAAGGCAAATATTTTCCACTTGTTTTGCAGAGAGGAAATTCAAAGGATTAAGGCTAGTAATCCCGATATCAGCCACAGGGAGGCTTTCAGCTCCGCAGCCAAAAACGTGAGTTTAATCCAAGTTACTATATATTTCTCATTATGCAATCTAAAACACAAATGCATGCGATTTCATATCTTCTTTTCTTTTTCGTTGTTTTACGGGGCCACTTGTGTCTATTATGAGCACAGCCTTGTCTCTTCTATAAACTCCTTGCTGAAGGTGGCAATCCAATATTCGAACATGAATTATTGCAAGAAATTTACCAACTAAACCATCTAGCTAACCTTCATGGAGGGTCCATATTTATTTATTGATGTTTAACTTGAGGGTATGAGGGGAATTCACATCTTCAAACGGTTTCCATCCCCGGGGACCTTCTATTTTAAGTAATATGTCAATAAATAAAAACATGAATATAGAGATGAGAAATTGTAATCAAGCCATGGTTTGCACATATATAGAAGATGTCATGAGATGAAAAAAATAAAATGTAGCATATTTTGAATTATAATTTACAAACTATGGTTTAACCTAAAGAAAAAGTAGTTTTCGTTTTGCATTTCCACATAAAGATGATTTGAGAACCAAAATTTTGTTCAAAATCACACAATCGGGTTTTTGTATATATACGAACATGCTTTTGAAAATCAAACTCTGAATATGACAAAAAGAATTAGTGTTTATAATGGATTGCATTCTGGTTGTCATGAAGGGATCTCTTCAGAGACATGCATAGAGTTGATATTTAAAACTCCCCCGCCGTTAAATTATATTAACAAATATTTGAATCAGGAATATACATGGTATTATATGGAGTCTTGATATTTAACATTACGTTTTCTGCATCATTTAGATACCATTTTCGATATCAACATATACAACATATGTCCCATACAACATTAGGTGAGTCTTTCGTAGGTAAGTAGCCCCTGCACACGCACGGGAGCCAATCTTCTGTAAAAGGAAAAAGTTTCCGAAACCCACATAGCATAAAAGGAATGTGAAGTGACATTTCTGTGTAGAGATATTTAAGATATTTAATTGGGAAACAAAGTTCACTATCATTAAAAAAGCGTATGCAATTCCCTTTGTACATTGCCTAGAATTAGTACTCGAGTATGATCACTTTCCAAACCCAAAACATGAAAATTTTGAGAATGTTTTTAGTTAATACTATGCATTCTGCCCATGTATATGATGGTATTAGACGACAATTTTCAGTCACATATGCTATATAAAACCAGTGGCGATTTGTGTTTATATATATACACACACTTTTCTTCGTTCTATCTTATTGTTCCTATGACTATAGCATGCTCATCACCACATTACTTGAACGCCATATAAAGCCACATACAATCGAAGTAAATGAAAAATGAGACCTGATTACCTGACTTCTAAGTGCGTGTCTGGATACATGTAAATATCTTGTGAATATACGTTTGATATCCAGAAACTATATTGTGTAGCATTCATGTTACATTTGTCTCAGTAAAAATAATGCTGAAACTAAACATACACAATTAGTTATGATAGACTAAGCCTGTTCGAATTTATGCATGTTAAGTTGGACAAAAAAAGCATTATCCATCTCATCTATTAATATTTTCAGAATAAACCCTACTTAACCCTTAAGATTATAAGTGTTGGTTACTTTAATTTACAATTTTATATAGTTCTTATTTTAATATCTGTTTTGTAAAACATCAATTTAATTCTTAATATTAGTGAAAATTATATAAAAATTAAAATAAATAATGTTTTATAAAATTAGACATTATAGTAATTAAAATTATTAATTATACACTCTTTAACACACTTTTTTTAAATATTTTTTGTTATTGATTAGAATTTATTAAAAATTACAAAAATTACCTAAATTTCACATTTAATTTTTTAAAATTTTAATAATTTTTATCTAATAAGTAAAAATGTGTTTAAAAAAATATAATAAAAATTGTGTTTCTAACGCTTCTCTGAGGTAATTTGATTCTTTCGATGTTAAGAATTAAAATAAACATTTATCAAATTTTAAGTTAATTTGCAGATTATTACATGGATTATCCTGCAAGAGTCTTGACTATATATGGCATAAACAACTACGGTGTATTAGTACATATACTTTGTTATCCTATGAAATTTCTCTGTCTAAAGTGTGGGGATTGCCTTATCTTATATAATATGCAGTGGGCACATTTCCCTCACATTCACTTTGGATTAAAGCTGGATGGCAACAAACAAGCAAAGTTGGACCAGGGTGAAGGAACTGAAAAGTCTAAGGGATTCTACTGATATAAATGGAAGCCTGTGAGTATCAGCTTGTTTTTTTCATGCTTGACCTAAATCAGTGAAAAATGAGGTTGATCAAATTTCCCAATCGTACAACTGGGATGGGAAACTCCTGCAAAGCCTCTCACCAATGTTTAATAGTACATGTATTGCCCTTTTCTACATTATTGTTATGAAATGATTGCTATTCTTGTGATTGCATTTATTGTGTTAAATTTGAACACTTAAGTAAACGACACGTTCCTTCTATTATAATGATGCTCCTTTATTATAATAATAATAATAATAATCTACGTTAGAGTACATGTTTAAGAATTTATTTAAAATAAAGTGACATTAAAATGATTTTTTTACATATTTATTTAATCATAAATTGTCACATATTTAATTTTTTTATAATATTTATTTTAAAAACTATATTTAATAATAAATTTAATTAATTGAGAGTGCAAAAATATTTACATTAATAATGCATTAAAATTCATCTTTGATTTAATATCTTTCTTGCACACTAATTTTGAACACATAGAGATTATTACATCTTATATATTCTTTAATTTATTCTTTCTATGATAAGCAAGCATACCAATATTTTCACCCTCTTATCCTCGAGGAGGACCACATGAACATTTTTTTTCCTTTTTGGGTATATGGTGCTTCCTCCCGAGGGAGACTTTTACCACCATATTGCATAAACAAATAAAAGAACGGTAATTTTATTTACTCTTTAATTGACTCCTTTTTGTTCTTTTTTTTTTCTTTCTATTTTTCTTACTGGACCATTTTGTTCAGTTAATGGAGTACAGCCCTATTAAAGGAGCAACATGTAGTGCAGGTGCTGCATGCATGATCACCTGTCACACCCGCAGAACAAAGTTTTGTTTTTAAGCTTCTAAGTTAAAAAGGAACTGTATGGAAGAGAGTGAGGAAAAGAGACCCTAATTTCCTTCAGTCTCTTCATAAAATCAAAGAACAATCCAGGTTAAATAAACTAACGAAAAAAACGGCCTTAAGCAACACCTATATATATAATTATAAAGCAACATTATATTTATTTAAAGATAATAACATTCTGAGACTTGAGCATTATGTTCTATTATTTAAAAGGATTGTAACATGTTCTTTAACCGCAGTGTAATGTTTTTTTAATTATATATCAAATTGTTCTTGTAATTCTAAACAAGGGTGACAATTAGATAATATATATCTACCTCAAATAGTGATCCTAAAATTTCAGTATGACAGGCAACGAAATTCTGTAATAATTATTATAGCTAAACTATTTGTTTCAATAACTAAAATTTTTAAAATGAGTTCCAAAATGTTGTAATTTTTCCCTATTTTTTTTATCGACATAATTTCATTTTCATCATTTAACTTTTAAAACAAGTGACTATATTTTAGATGATAAGAGATAGTTATAATTGTTGAATCAAACATTAACGGTTAAAATTTCCATAGTTTCATAATAATTGATATATATACACACACGACATTAACTTTAAAAACAATTATATATCTATATTTACATGCGCGTGACTATGTAATTGTGATTGTAAAAGTAGCAAAACATTATTATATGTATACATACACAAACAGAATTGTAGCCAAGAAAACTTATGTTACAAGAGTTGTGTATTATTGTTTTGTATAAATAATTATAAATATTTTTTCACATAAAACTTCAATTATAAATTAATACATTAAATAACTTACTATAAATTAATAAGAATGAAATATAGGCGGTTATTTTTGTACGTTAGTTTTTTCTTTTTTTACTTTTAATGTAGTACCGCTATGTTTTATAACATTTTGTTGATTTAAATTCACACAAAAGTTCAATTTATATTAAATTACAAAAATTTCGTCAAATCATTTAAATCAACTGTGTACATTAAATTGAAATAAGACAAAAATGGCGCAGGAAGTTGAAGTCTTCAAATTTATCATAAATTGTTAAAATGTACGTGACTCATAAATTAATCACTGTTTCAAGCAATTGTTTTTTATATATATATATTTCTATGACAATTTAATTTTTTTATTATTTTATTTATCTCTCTTTTGTTATGTTATATTATTTATTATAATTTTTCATTTTTAAACTTTCTTTCAAATTTTTCTTCCAAAATAATTACCATGAAATTATAAAAATTTTTAATGTGTACTAAGTTTACATGCTAAAAATTTAATAAATAATAATTTTAAAATTATAAATATTTATTATTAATAATATATAAATGTTATAATATTTTATTATTATATATTTTTAAAATATACATAAATATAAATTATAAATTACTGCTATTGCTACAATGTTGTTTCAGTCACAGTGACGTGACGTTTAATGTTTGACACAGTAGAGCTGATGGCTATATATGGTCATAACATGCATGCTTATATACACAGCTACTATTTGACCGTCTCCTAAATTAACTATGGGTCATTGCTGTCTTTGAATGATAACGTTGGATCCTTCATTCAAGGAACGCACACGTGAGAGAGACATATGTTTGCTTCAGTTGTGTTCTTCATGGTATGATATTCAAACCTCCCACAATATATCCAATTCGTAAGAGACAAGTGGGGTTTTACGTTATGATCTTATAGTTTTAAATACAATTACTTTTCTTGATTTCATTTACTTGTACAACGTAATTTATCCAAAACATTTCGATAACAAAATTACTGTGATAAATTCATGAGTGATAACTTGGTAAATTTCCATGAATCAAATTGTTTATAGCTTTAGAAAATTGAAACAATATTAATGATTTTTTGTCTCCTTAAGTAAAATGAGAGAAAACATTAATAGGAAACTTTAATATACTTTTCTTAAATAATAACACGTTTCTCTAAATGACTTAAATTATTTAACAAACATTAGAAAATGAAAAAAAAAATGATGAGATAGATAATATTAGAGATAATTGTAAAGAGTGGAGGGTTTGTCATGTGGGAAGAGGTCAAAAATAGAGAATCTGAAAGGTCAAATCAAAGAGGGGTTAATTGGATCCATGTGTGGCTCTGCTCTGAGGAAGTGGGTCTTGTCTGAAACAAAGAAAGAAAGAAAGAGAAAGATGGGTTACTTCACTTTTATCTTTCGCTGCAAAAAACAATAAATGGATGTCTCTGAACCTATTCGGACTGTCATGTCACTTACTCGCTTGCCAATTGCATCACTGCCACACCCAATCCCATAACCCCAATGCTCTCTTGCCTTATTCTTCAAATTACATACATTCATCTTTTATCTTATAATTAAGTTAATTCCTATAAGTATTTGTTTTCATAAGATTTTGCGTCAATAGTCCATCATTTGACTGTGAATAAGAAATTATGTAAAACTTTCCTTTCCTCGGGTAAATAACAGATTTAATTAAAAAAATATCATTTTTTTATTTCATCTATTTATTTATATCCCTTATTTAGACCCTATTTAATTCTTTTTACTTCATTTTAAAAAAATAAAAATATGTTATTTATTTTAATTATTATGTTCTTTTATCTAACTAAATAAGTGCATGTTTAGATGTAATTAAAAAAAAAAACAGGAGTGAAAGTTTTATTTTTCAAAATGTATATAAACCAAAAATAGGTGAAGAAAAAAATATTTTCCTGATTTATTAAATAGAGAAAATAAATGTACGTGGGACTTGTAGATTTTATCTTTAAATGCAGTGAAAATGAAAAAACAATAAAAAAAAAATGACAAAGTTGTTTATTTATTTATTGTACTAAAATACTATTCTATTATATAAAAAATTATAAGAACTTTGACGCACAAACTAGATGGAGCTTACGACGCACATCTCATTTAAAGTGTATATTACTCTTCGAAAATTAATGTTATAAGTCTCGCTCACAAAATATCTGGACTTTTATATGCATATAATTAATAAGAATTGGTATCTTCTTGTTCTTGTTGTTAATGCATGGTTGTTTTTGTAAGATCAATTTTTGATTACTTTGCTATGGTGGGCATTTTAGTTACTTCTCTTTTTGGAACTATGTTGAACGTAATGTAAAAAGAGTAATGTTATTTGTGCTTAAATTTTTCATAACACTTTTTTTTATAATTACTTTTTTTTTATCATATTATTTATAATATCTCTCTCTCTCTCTCTCTTTATTGTAAAATATGTTATATTACTTTTGAGTATTAATAACATTTTTCATGTAAAAAACAAACAAACATTGAATTCCAACTGTTTACAATGAACATGGTCTTTGCTCATAGCTTTTATTCAATAAATAAATAAATTATTATTATTATTATAAATAGCACAAATTTATATTAATAGATTACTATATTATACTAAAAAATCATTTAAAAATGGAAAAATACATAAATAATTGGTGCATAAAATATTAGCATCAAAGAAAAACATCCTCCTATCCACAATACGCGTAGCATTGTTATAGTTAAATGTGTAAATAGTTAGTCAAGCCAAATATTTAAAGTTTAAGCTTGATTTATATATATATATATATATATTCATTTATTTGAATAATTTAACTTTAAAACTTGAGTTTGATATGATTAATAATTTTGAAGTTTAAATTTGACTCATTAACTGATTATACATTTTTTATATTAATTTAGTATTTAATAAAAAAGTTATACTAAAAAGTAAATTAAAATGGTAACACAATATAATTTCATTTATATGAAGATGTGTTAAGTTAAAAATAAAAAAATTGAAAATAATTTTTTTAATTATGTTTACTTACAAAAAATATAAGATCAAAAATTAAAAGTAAATAAATTATATACACATAATACAATGATAGTAATAAATAAAATTATAATTATCTTAATATACATATATATATATATATATATGACAATTTTTCATAGTTATTAAGTTTGCAAAACTTAAGCATACATGTTTAAATAATTAATTTAAATTTTAAATTATTTATTTATTTATTTAAATAAAATTCCCTAAATATTTAACTAGTCAAATTCAAATAATTTACAATAACTTAAGGGAATGAGATAAAGGTTAAGGGGTGCTAGAATGGCAAGGGATCAGTTGAAGAGATCTCGTAGAAAAGATTAATTGCCTGGTTATGTATGCTCACAGCCTTTCTCAAGGGAAGTATGAATATTTATATTTACTCTCTCCTGCTTGCTTGTTGCCCTTCCATAATGACGATTCTCTTACATTTTGTCAAGAGTTGTTTCTACTCTTTGCTTGCTTTTTATCTTAATTTCCCCACATTGACA